CTTTGTATTTCTCATTTACCAGCTGCCTAAAAGAGAAAAACTTTGTATTTCAAATGAGAAATACTTTGTAACCCTGGCTGTGGCTGCAAATCAACTTCCAGTATTCAAGTACTGAACAGAACCATCATGCCATGTTATACAGAGTGAGTGTATTTAATTATACTGTTTTGTTAAATTAAAATCAGTTTCTGTTTTTTTTTTTTTTTAGCTCTGCATGAAACAAAGACCTGCAAGGCTTAAAATTGTTTTCATCCTGCTGTCAGAATCTAAAATACTTGTTCTCTGCAGATTTGTGTGTGCAATAGTTGCATGTTTGCAAACGCTTGTGACAACCTCGCTCACATATGTGTGTGTTTGTAGGTTTTCTTGGGAATCTGTCTCCTGTAGTTGAAGTGTATCTTTGCGAAAGCCCATGAGAGTTCATTACTTTGATCTATCTCCCTCCCTGATGCTGCCAACACTAACATACCGTGGCGTTGATGCAACTATTTTTAGTTTTGTCCGCATGTGTGTATATCTGTGTGAGTTTGTGGTGGTAATTTGTCTTAATTTGTGTGTTAATCATAATGAATGATTTTCTTGTTTATGCTCTCAGCCACAAAGTACCACCATTCCTTCGTACACAAACATAATCAGTTAATGTCCTCTTTAGTAATTTGAGAGACCAGAATCCAAGCTTTGGTTTGTGCGTCATTGGTTTCAGTCTAACAGGCACAAGTTCTTTGATGCAGAGTCCACGGCTTTGTAAAAGCCTCTTGATTTCTTCCCTCTCATAAAATGCATAAATGTCATCCCTTATTTCATCTGAGCTTTTTTAAATGTTACACTCAAAATCACATAAGTAAAAAGAGCCGTCCTAGAGTTGCCCAAGTCCTGTGACTTGAGCGAAAGTTTAAACATCTTATCTCTTGTTTCTTCCAAATCGGGGTGCCTGGGAGATGAGATTCATGTTGAAATGCACGGAGAGGTCAGAGCTTGAAGTGACACAAGAAGTTACTTCAAAATCAGAACTGACAGGAGCTGTCACTGGAAAAAGTTTACATATTTAGGATTGTGCCAATGACTTCTGTCAGAGGAGAGCCAGAGTGCACAAAGTCATCAGATATTTCCAGGAGAGGCAGTTCTTTAAAGTTCTGGTTGAATTATTGCGTTTCTAAAATAATGACAGCTTTGACACACAGAAGTCATTAAGCTCAGGAGGACAAGACACTGTAGTATCATGGAGTAGACACTGCTTAAAACCATTAGTGTTTTAGTACATTGGCTACCGTCCATGAATCCATTTAATCTAATCCTTATTGCTTTGAATTTTATGAGATAAAGACATATTGATTTAAATTTTCTTATGTATTTCAAACTGTTTAAGTGCATTTAATTGACATTTGATCTGAAAGTGCAACACAATGCATAGTTTGTGTTCAAGCTGATGTGCTATGTTAGGGTTTGGTTTGGCATGGTTAGGTCACCTTCAAAATGTCCATGACAGGACATGTCAACAGAAAGACTCTCTGTTGACATCGAGTTTATTGTTCATAATCTTTCCATTCTTGGATGATGCATCAAAGTTTTTTAAATATAACCCCGTTTAAAACTTCTCCATAATTTGAACTCTGACCTGTCTGCTGTGTTTCTTGGTCACACACGACTTACTTTATTAATGATTTCATTCCTAATTGACAAAAATTGGTTGCACTGAATTTGTCACTATTTGACTAAAAGTAGCTCAATACAAATACACAGCATTGTTTACAGATTTGCATTTGTAAAATAAGACATGTATATCAAATGCTTCTGTATGTATTCGAAAACCGTGATTAAATAAAGTCCTTTGTGTATAAATTCAATTTTATGACGCTTTAATTAAAAACAGACCTGCCCACCAATCAAAATAGGCATTTCAATAGTTATAATTAAGAAAGTTTAAACACGTACCAATCTGATGTTCATAATATAAACTTTTCATTAAGTCAGAAAAAATTTCCATCTTAACGATCTGTTTTGTGGTTTCTGTTCAACGCTGCAGCATTTTATGCTTATTTATGATATAATATTGCATCATTTAAACAAATGTTTATGTGGGTTTTCTGTTCGAATGTCTCTACCAGTTTCTTTTGCTCCTATCTCGGATGTGTGGCTTAGCTTTGCACTCCTCCATGAGTCACAGACTTGAGGTCTGCTGTTCTTTAAAAAAAAAGTTTTTTTTCAGTTTTGCAGCGTATACCTATCACTTCTTTGTTGCACTACTTATTTACGTTGGCTATCATCTGAGGTGGTATTTCTTACCTTCATGATAATTATTATGATTTCTACCATACTAAGTTTGACTAGTTCTACCAATTCTGTGTCAGTACATCACTTCACACATTTCTTAAAATTTAAATAAAAAGACATACCTAGGGGTCTGACCAAACCACAGGCATGAAGTTGGAATTGTTATTGTTTGGTGGTTTAATGATAGATAAAAGGAGAATTTACAGCAGGAGTGTCCAAGACTCAAGATCTACTGTTGTGCAGTCCCCTGAAGGGGTCGTAACCAATTTGGAGAACAAGCGGTTCTCCAGACTGATTTGCACTTCTGTCAGTTTGTGTCTCATTAAATTTTCCAAAAGGATAGCACTATACAATCTCAACTGAAGTTTTTGAATACATTAAGTGCAACAAAATACATGCATTTTTTGTTATTTGTCCATATTCTACTATTAACAACACATAAAGGATTGGGAACCATAGTTATTATTAATCCATAATAGCTTCTATTGCTAATGGTAGACAGCTTGTCAATGACCACAGTTGTTAGCTGTTAACAATTACCAAATCGGAACTGAAACATGGAAAATTCAATTGAACTCAAATCTAATATGAAGTAGGTTTCGCATAATTTAAGATCCATGTTCTGCCTTCACAGGTAAAGAAGGAGACACAAATAGTAGTTCTTTGTTCTCTGCTTTGTCTGCTTCAGTTTATATTAGGAGTTATGGAAATAGACACAGCTGCTCTTTTGTTTTTCTGGTTAGGAAAAAAAATCAATCTGTCTGAACAATTCAACTGTTCAGTATTAGTCATGGATATCTGCCATCTGTGGATTACACAAATATCACAGTTTGATTATTTTCTTTATATAAAAACTTTACCTTCCCCATGGAAGAGGTCTTTTTTCATGTTTTGCAGGTGGGGAAGGCTTATACACCTATTTGTATTAACGGTGTGGATTTATTTTTAGTATCTTCTTACTAGATGCTGGAGGAAATGTTCTATTTAATGGATGATAAACTGTCTTATCTCAAGCATAATAAGCAGTTGCATTATTTGCAGGTTATACAGACATAAAATTATTCATTACAGCCGTCAGGTGGCAGTAAGGCAGTGTAAGTCGACATTGCTAATACAGTGAATTGTGAAGAAGGTGAGTCCATAAAGAAAATAACTTGACTTGACCATTGGGAATTTGAAGAAAAGTAGATTTTGTTACAGGAAGGTTAGAGAGAGAGAGAATTTATGCTGTTCAGAGTTGTGCAAAGGGAGGGGTTGAGTTAATCAAATTACTTGATGCAATGGACAGCTTGATTGCAAATAGAGTTAAAGAACAGAAAAGGGAGTGAAAGGCTCGATGATGGGAACAGAGAAGAATGAAATAGGAGTGTGAGAGATGGTGACCAAACAGGAAGGAAGATAGATTGTAGCCTTGGAGCAACATGAAAACCAACTCTCCTTTTGTCAGCAACACAAACCAAGACTCATTAACAAGCTCAAAGACCTTCTCCACTGAATTCAGACAGAAAATGTTGCCTGTTATGAGGTAGTAATGTGGTGTGAATACAGGAGTGAGGAGGGTGAGGAGTGACACAGGTGTAAACTGTACACAGGACGATAAATGTCACTAACAGAACAAAGCAGCATGAAGAGAAACATCAAAGGAGCTTCCAATGAACAGCTTTTGGCTCTACATTACTTGTCAAAGCATGTAAATTTATTCAACTTTGAAAAAAAACAGAATGAACTAAAAACTCTTTCTTCCATGCATTAAAAAAACACATCTAAGGGTAGAGGAGCTTCATTTTTTATTTGATTTTGTTTTTACGGATTAATTGACTTGTAACATACTGTCACAATAAGAGACAGTTTTAACAAATCTGGAAAAAAAACATATTTTTTTTTTCATACTGTAGAAACAAGTATGGAACATGAGAAAATGAACTGAAGGGGTCTGAATACTTTAAGGCCCTATGAGTTCAAAATGAATCCATTCACTTATTTTCTTCAAATTATTCCTGACTGGAGCTGAAAATAACTATTTGGTTAATTTAATTTAAGTTTTAATCTTTCATAAAAAAAGGTCTAAACAATGTTTAATTTATAGAAATTGATAGCTGTCTGATGCATCTCCACTAATGAATTTCTTACATAAGAGGAGAGAAGAAGTAAAATGTCTTTTGGTCTGAAAAGGTTTTGTGCTTCCTTCAACGATTCAGTATAATTAAACCACTCGGGAATAAAAAGCTCCAGCAGATTCATAATTTAGTCGGTGAAAGAGGTGGAGGCGGGGTCAAGATTACGGCGCAGGCATCAGTTATCTCCTCTTGAGGGGAAGTGAAAATATTTCATTGTTCAGGGCAGCCGTGTTACGTTAGCTGTCAATGAATGAACTTAGGAGTGGGCGTACAAACACTGACACAGGCCAAAAGACAAACCACAGGCTGAGATCAGACACACAAGAAAAAAGCAGAGCTCATGGCAGAATGTGCTGAGTCGGCCTGCCAAACTCATAGCGTGGGCACAAGTGGGCTTGCAAGGAGTCTGGCATTTTTGTGCTTAAAGGGGAAAAGATTAATAAATGTATTCTGATTTACTTGTAACCTTTGTGGCTTTATTTGAAAAAAAAAAACGGCTAAAAATTGTTATGGTCGTAACCTTGGATTACAGCAGAATTTGTTTTTGCAAAGGGCTTAAACACATTTCACCAACAGGCTCTCATTGTTGTCTGTTATCTGTTTCGGTCCCAGGCGGATGCAGCCACCAGCTTCCTGCGTGCGGCTCGATCAGGAAACCTGGACAAGGCCCTGGATCACATCAAGAACGGGATAAACATCAACATCGCTAATCAAGTAAGATGTCCTAAGCTGACTGAGTCACACTTTGGTAAAACATATGAAGGTGTGTCAGTGAGAGTAAGACTTCGATAAACATGACAATGGATTACGTGTCAAAGTAGATTAGAAGATTTAGTTGGTTTAACTTGAAATTTTAGCGTAATATACGTATGTACCTAATAAATACAACTAGTATTGTGTGCTAAATTAAAATATTCTTTTGAATATCACCCAAATATTTCTCCTTTTTTTTACCTTTATGTGCACTTTGACATTTTTACTTCTTTATAAAACAATATTATTTATCGTTACTAGCTAAGACTGCAGTTAAATGAAAAAATGTTTTCCACCTATACACGGAAAAGTTAAAAAAAAAAAAAAAACTGTGCTGAAGCAGAGCGTGTTGAACTTGCCTTCTATGGCGGGAATGATTCATTTCTTCAGTTATTAATGTTTTAAGTTTCCACCGCAGCAGAGTAGACATGTTCACAGTGTCTGTGTTTTTACCCACAGAGACAAGTTAAAAGTTTTTCCTCGTTGCTTTCGACTATTTCTGTAGGAAAAGACTTTTTCTGTGTCAGATCAGCTGGTTTAACTCCACATTCATTTTCAAGTATCTTAGATACCTTTTGGCGGCCATACAGAAAACGTTCCCTTTACATTCAGTCCATCCATGGTGGTTAATTTGTTGTAAAGATTTGCCCTTCCTTCCCTAATGGTTGTAATTTGATTTTTAGCCTCTTCCTCGCTTTTCCTCTCTTGTTGCTCTGAACTCATTTTATGAGAGGTCCGGTTGTGATTTACAACATTCTGTCTCTGGTTGATTTATGTTGCTCGGCTGTCTGGCTGTTCAGCCCCTTTGATTTGTATTCTGTGTGTTGTAAAGCATTTTCAGCTCCTCACCTGCTTTATCCATACGTTTCTGATTTCTTTTTGACTCCTATAATCATTTTTCAATGTCATTAAGGCTCTGAATTACTTATTGTTTTACTATTGGTAAAACATTTGCATTTTTGACAAATATCAGGAATGATTGGTGAAAGCAGGACGAATCGCTCCTAAGAGATGTTGTGAACCCAGAGTATTCCATATTATTTATACAGAAAGAAAAGCTGACAATATAAGAAGCAATAACAATAACATAAAAATATTAATGGCTTAATAGAGTATTTTAACACTAAGATGAAAAACATTTCTCAATGAATGTTGTAAAGTAGTTGTCTTTATACAGCTAATCCACCACATTTAGTGCCGCTTTTATGCAGAAAATATCTAATCTTTTCTCAGATAACCACCGTCTGGGAAGTAGTTGATTTGTTACTTTAATTGGCTAAAATATAAAGTGATAACAGTTCCCAAGAAGAAGATGTTACTTTAGTTTGGAGACAGTAAACCGTATCTCTGTGTCCAGTTTGTTGTTATTTGTTCTTCTCAAATAATTCTTATGCATAAAAAAGATCTAGATCTATTTAAGTTAGATGCATGCTTTAAAGTAGAGGTATGACTTTTGACACGTCAGACGATAAATCTCAGCGGAACACTTGTGTGGAGAATCAGCAAATTGAGTCAAATGAGAGGCTATGAAGATAAGATAATTAAAGATTCATGCATTTTCTTCTGTCTTTGTCTAACATGCATTAATAATGGAGATATTAAATTATAGTTTCATAAATGTTTAGTTTTACCTCCTGTTCTTCTGCCCCTTGCTGAATCAATGTCATAAAACAAAGAAGTTTGGCCACACACACAGGATAATTCCTGGTCAATCACATTTTTCTGTTAGTTGTTCTTTCACATGAGTGTGTATCAGACACTTAATCAGATTTTGAAAAAATAACTCCACATTTTGACCAAATAAAAACACCCTTCACCAACTGGATAGAAGCTTTGTATACATTATCAATTACCTTAACCCAATATAAATCCTCAAAATCAGCTACGTTTCCAGATTCGCAAGACGTTCCCTATAATACCCACATTTTCCTATATTTTGTATTCCTTCTGTTTCTTCCCTGCTTTGTGCTTGTACATTTTTTACTCCACGTTGACACAAGGGCAGGTATTTTTATTTGTGATTTATTGGGCTCTCTGTCCTTGCTATGGTCACAAACCTGTGGGCTATTTTTAGTTTTCTCCTTTTCTCTCTTTGTCTTCATGTTCTTGACATCACCTGATCTCGTTCAGACATCTAATTACCTTTAATTTTTATACAGTAAGTTTTGTGACTGTCACTAAATACATGCACATATTTTAAAAAATTAAGACGTCTACAATATAAACTACACACAACTGTAATAAAAGAATGTTCATCAGATCTCGCAGTTGTAGAGGAAAGAGTTTCACATAGCAGGTTGTAATAAATATGATCTGGTCTGTAGATTCTAGAGCTATTTATATCTTATTTGATCAAAAACACACCACTGATTACACTATTACTACTGTTCTAAGGATAAAGCCAAAATGCTAAGAAGAAAACAACATAATGCAATAACTTGTGGAGTCATCTTTGGCAGCCATAATCTGAAATAACTTTTTTCTCTTTTCTCTACATTGTATAATTAACAACACTCCAGTCTAGTTAACAATCAACATTTTGTAACATCGCCAAAAGAAACATTAAAACAGAAGTGGTGTACTTAGTTCTTTTTCTTATACTTTTCTAATCTTTCTTTATTTATCATTTATTGACTTAAACAGGAAATGTAAAATATAACTTACAAGAATGACCTGGACAAAAATAACTAACACTGGACAAAAATAACTAATACTTTTTTTAGTCTTTAGCTGATTAATAATGCCAGTGTGTTTTAGTAGATTTCAGTTTAGATTTAAACAATTCTGCCACATCCTGATATGTGTCTCTTGGGTTTACATTTCGCTGACGCAAAATTACTTTTCATATTCAGCTAAACTTAACTCACTATGCTAAAGTACTCTGTCTTCAACAAAGAATTTGATTCATGTAAGGCAATTTTAGGTGCAGCAGCTAAAACGTTCATCCTCTGTCTCTAACATTGTTATGGAGAATGTCTTGCCTTCTTTTCTTTAAAACATGTCCGTATTGTGTTTTGCAGAAACCAATATTTCAACAACTCTCTTCAGGTTTTGCCACCGTTTTTTTAACCACAGAAAAATATTTCATTCCATTGCAGATGAGTGTTTGCATTTTGTATCTCCTAACTTATAAATCAGTTTAGACGTGTGACAGACGGCCTCACATTTGACTCCTGAAGTCTGTGGTGTGAAGTCGAGATAAGAGAGTGTGTAACTGAGACTGATACGCAGCTTTCTCCCAATTACTGTGTGCAGACTTTACACAGGGAGCTGCCCACTTGAAGTGAGTGACACTGCGGTACGATGAAAAGGCGGAGAACAGAATGGATCACAGTGACCCCTTGTGGAGAGATTGATTACAGCAGACTAGCTACAGCTAAAACATCAATAATTCAAATTATTGTAATAGGAAGATAAAAGAAGTCTGGCCAAGAGCTATGTGTAAAACAGCTGAAAGTTAAATGATAATCACAATAACTGAGTAACTTATTGTTTTGGTTTATGAGTTGACGTAAGATGTCTAATTATTTCATCTCTTGTGCCTTCATCTCTCTTTTCTCAGAATGGTCTTAACGGGTTACACCTGGCCTCTAAAGAGGGCCATGTCAAAATGGTTTTGGAGCTGCTGCATGCTGGCATTGAACTGGAAGCTACCACCAAGGTAATCTGACTTCTGAGCACATTGAAAACTGTAGCTTTAGCTCTGGGTCATGGACACTGGATGTGACACTAGAATTAGAAGATTTGTATAAATGCAAGTTATTTATCTAATGTTTTTTATTATTACTATTATTATTATTTCAAAAGAGAGATGAAAAAATCGCAGGTGTCTGTGATGTAATTCTATGTAATCTGTGACTTTTTTTTTGTCAAATGGATTCAGGGAAATTGTCCACTTTTCACCTTTATACTGTAGCTCGATTGGCGGTATTTAGTACCTCCACAGAGATCTGAGTAACCTTGATGCCTAAAATGTAAATTTAATTACACTGGACCTGTTTCCACAGCTTGTATTTCAGTGTTAAGTGTGGAGATCTAGGCCATTAGGCTGCCATAATTGTCTTCTCACTCTCTTTAATTTCCTTTTTCTGACCTTCCATGTTTTTTTTTTATGTGTGTGTGTGTGACCTCCAGAAAGGGAACACTGCTCTCCATATCGCAGCTCTGGCAGGGCAGGAGAAAGTGGTGGCTGAGCTCGTCAACTACGGTGCCAATGTTAATGCTCAGTCACATGTAAGTCTCTCAAAGCTGCTATTCAGTTCAAGCTTGTTGAGCGAGTGTGCAAATATTTGTCTGTGTTTCTTGTCTAACTGGGACAAAACTGCTGAAAGTCAAATCTTGGTTGCATATTTATGCAGTGTCCTCTAAATTTAGGTTTATGGGCTGTAATAAAAATGTGTCTCTCACAATCTCACTCAAATGATCCTGAGAAACACAGAAGTCTACATGCGTTTGTTTGTGCTTCATACGTGATGTTTTGATGCCCAAACAGAAAGGCTTCAGTCCGCTCTACATGGCTGCACAGGAGAATCATTTAGAGGTGGTCAAGTTTCTGCTTGAGAACGGTGCAAATCAGAGTCTCCCAACTGAGGTATGTGTGTCTGAGATTCTCATGGTATGAAAAGCTTGGACAAAAATACAACAATTTTCATAAAAAAATATGAAGCAGAATGAAGTAAAATGACCTAATATCTTATATTTAATCATAAAAACATAAAAGTAACTTTTTTTCTTGATGTTAAAATAATCAAAGTAATGTTTATGGTTACCTTATGTTAACTATAATGTTACAGAGCAAGTCAATACAATTAGAATATTATTGAAAATATATTTTATTGCAACTTTCCATTTCTCTATATAGAAAAACTCCAGTACCTCTGGTTTTTGCTTGCCATCTTAATATAAACTTATATTAAAAATGTTAAGTTTATGGTTCTTTGAAATGAGTCGTTCCCATTTTTTTTATTGCTGCGTTTGAAGTCAAAGATGAAAGCTGGAGTGTTTTGCAAAGATAAATTAAAAAAAAATCTTATTAGAAACTAATGCAACATTGAATCCAAACAAAAGTGGTAAATGTTTTCTTTTGTAAAAAATTCTCTGATTTTTCTGAACTGTTTCAATTAAAAAATTTAATGCCAAAGTCTTATGAAAATCATCAATCACAAAATAAGGTTCCGGGGATGATAATCCTTTTTTTTTGTTTGTTTGGTGTTTTTTAAAATATATTAGATATGTGACAAAAGCATAGTTGAAATGTTATTAAAATAGATGATCTCCCTTTTCCAGAAATGATAACGGATTTTTCTGGATGAGGTTCAATTCATTTTTGGCTCATTAAAATGGTTCCAGCACTCAACAAAACTTCAGCCTAAGGCAAACACGTCCAACTTAAAGTATGTGGATATCATCCAATACATGGTCAGCTTAGATCATTAATCATTGTATTAATTTCTTCATATCAGCAAACACGTAGCGACTGCGGAACAGAATTGATTCAAAAAGGAAAATTAAATCATGATAATATTTTACAGGAAACAGAAACAAAGAGTGCAAAGAGTTAATCAGAGCTACACCTCATTCAGTGACTCTTTTACATTCACTTGAAAAGAGAAATAAAATCATCACCAATACCTGGCCAAGAGTAAATTTATTTTATAACGATGTTATGAACACATTACAAATTCACTTTGGCAAATGGGTCATCTGAAAGCTTAAATATCATGCTGCAATGATAATAATGCAACAGGTTAAAGAAGGAAAAATACAAATAGCAGTGTTGTATTTTACTGGCATATGCTCATAAATAATTATTTATACATTATATTTGTCTGTATTATTTTAAAGCATCTTGTTTTCTCTCCTTACTTCTTCCCCTCCATCGTCTGTACCGTCCCTCAGGATGGCTTCACGCCCCTCGCGGTGGCCCTCCAGCAGGGCCATGAAAACGTTGTGGCGTTGCTCATCAACTACGGCACGAAGGGGAAAGTCCGCCTCCCAGCACTTCACATAGCTGCACGAAACGACGACACTCGCACTGCCGCTGTCCTCCTGCAAAATGACCCCAACCCCGATGTGCTTAGCAAGGTATGCACTGCTCCACATTAGGTTTGCTGTGTAAAGAAAATAGCAAATTAATTAAACAAGATGGAGAAAGAAACCAGAGGGAAAGTGCAGGAGTTTGTAAATAAGACTTAGTGGTTATATTGAAAGTACAGATTATGATTTGCAATACAAATAAATGTGTGAAATGTTGTTCATCTCCTTCTGACCTTCATGTTCTCACTTCCTTTTCACTGCAGACTGGTTTCACCCCGCTACATATCGCAGCTCACTATGAAAACATGAGTGTAGCGCAGCTGCTTCTGAACAGAGGAGCAAATGTAAACTTCACCCCCAAGGTCAGTTTTCATGAGCCTTGATGCATTAAACATTAGATCAAGATGCTGCAGTGTCTTTGCATGAGCCAGGTACAACAAAATAACAGTGTCTCAGCAAACATTCACATATAATAACCATCTTTTAAGCTCTACCAAAAATATAGATTCCCTTGCTTCTTCCACTATCGACCCATAGATTTCATATAATTACACATTCTCATTATCCAACAAGATGAAGGAAAATTGTTTTTCTCCTCCAGTACATGCTGCATCCAATAACTCCTAGCAAAGGGCCCATGATGGTTATGGGTAGTTTGTACAGGCTGTACAGAAATGGATAAAAATCTTCCTGTTAGAGAAGAATTGCTCACCAGCTATTTCCCTTCTCTTTCAATAAACAGCATAGTAGAAATCTACCAAAAAAAAAAGGGAAATTATTACTATATTTGTGATTATTGTTTTGTGATTATTCTGATTGTCACTCATGGGAAAATGTCCCATCTATGCAATACCATTAAACAAATGCAATTTAGGTTTCTAGAACCTGAAATATGATTATAACACTGACACAAATCAGTCAGATTCACCATATTTACCATTATTTTACTACAACTACTCAACCCTGTAATGAAATGTGAGCGAGAGTCTCATAAACTTAATATAATTGATTTTTGAGAATCAGCTGTAAGTGTCAAAGAAAACCAAGCACAAAAACCCCATGTTCAGGATTCAGATACATATTAAAGTTTTGGGCATCATGGAACCGCGTTGCCTGGTTGGTAGAACTTTGCAGAGGTGCATTATGTGACTGAGCTGGACCTCTGGATGACCGAGTGGTGTTAAGTGGTTCTAAAATCTCCTGAAGTGGAGCTATGACTGCTGGGAAGATTTCTCAGAAAGTGATTTAATATTGTCAATTGACCTATAAAAAGTTTTAAGTAAGGTGGAGGATCTACAATGCCAGACGTCTGTTTCTCTTCCAAAAGCCCTGAAAACCTTTTCTGTGAAAATCACCAGAAGAATTCCTTGAAAAATCAAGAAATTTTTACATCAAAATGTGTTCTCTGCAAGAAAGCTGAAAAAGGTTATTATTTAGCATTTTTGCATGATGATGATCCTAAACAGAGATATACACTGCCAGTCAAAAGTTTGGACACAACTGCTAATTCAATTCAATGGTTTCTAAACAACAACAACAACAAAAAACTACTTAAATTTATTTCAAAGACTTTTTCAACATTTTCTGTTGTAGGTTGTGACCTACAACATGCAGCAGCTTATATAATTCATGTGTTCCCCAGAATGGAATCACACCTCTTCATATAGCCTCCAGGAGGGGCAACATGATGATGGTCAGATTACTGCTGGACAGAGGAGCTCAGATCGATGCCAAAACAAAGGTAAACATTTCAGCTCCAGTCGAATTCCATTTTCACGGGAGCTTGTTGATGTGCAAAACCATCCCACTGCTTGCTGATTATGTGTTCTGGTGAATTTGAAAGCTAAACGACACTGTTATTTAACTATTTTTTATATTTACGTCTGACTTCATTTATCTTTTCGCAGGATGAGCTGACTCCTCTTCATTGTGCAGCTCGGAACGGTCATGTTCGCGTTATTGAAATCCTCCTGGAACACGGTGCTCCCATCCAGGCTAAAACTAAGGTAACATCATTGCCACTTTCTTCTCAGCTGATGACCAACACAAATAATAACTTGAAATAGTAAAGCAGTCACACGGCAAAAGTTGGTCAGAAATATGCCTCTTTCACAGAACATTTCTGTTCTAAACCAAAGATCAGCTGCCTTTGAACTTTTACTGGCAGCGTAGCATGAAATGTCCCCATCCCACTATTTTCAAAGCAATGATAGTGAATGTGAAGTGGACCACAGAAAAGGCTTCAAATTTAAGAGATGTATCCCATCTTGCTGCTTTTGTTGTCAGAGGTTATTTCTGAATCTTGTTTATGCTCTTAAATCCTGTGGCTGACAAACTGCACTTCATCACTGCATCACTTCTTCAGTGCTCCAAGTCGGCATGCTCTCTTACAAATCAGCTGGTGTGGGGCTGTGACTGCAACCCTTAGTGAGTTAGGGACATAATAGAGGAGGGTTGACTTCAGCCTTCCTCGCCAGATTGGTCTTTCACATTGAACACATTGAAATAGCAAAAAGGAGCCATTATCCCACCTTGAAGTGTCTTTTTAGAGGGTCTAATGGACTATTCAATGAATACTATGATGTTTTTCAGCTGATTTTCAGAATAAATGTTCCACTATTAAGAGATTTACACTCAGACCAATGTTATGCTATCATTTCTTCCAAATTTACCCTTTTCTGCTTATATTCCTTTATTTCTTCTGTAGAATGGTTTGTCCCCAATTCACATGGCAGCTCAGGGGGATCACATGGACTGTGTCAGGCAGCTACTGCAAGACAATGCTGAGATTGACGATATCACACTGGACCATCTAACCCCGCTTCATGTAGCAGCCCACTGCGGTCACCATCGCATGGCCAAAGTCCTTCTGGACAAAGGAGCCAAAGCTAATGCTCGTGCTCTGGTGAGTTTCTGTTTGGTTTTGAGTGAAATTTTCTCACTTACCCCAGTCATACTATATTGAGTAATCTGAAAGTGATCATTCCTTGAAAGTTTTTCTGCTGGAAATATTTTATGCATTTATCCATGTTGTGTTTATAAAACAGAACTTGCTTCAAAGATTCAAAGTGAGTCCTGACCTTTTTTTTTTTTTTTTTTTTCTTGTGCCCTCAGAATGGCTTCACACCTCTTCATATTGCTTGCAAAAAGAACCACATGAGGTCAATGGACCTGCTGTTAAAGCACTCTGCTTCCTTGGAAGCTGTCACGGAGGTGAGATGATGGGCCCAAATATCGTGTCAAAGTTTTCAAATAGAAAACAACACCTGGCAGTTCTATTCCACAACTTTGAAATAAAACTTCATTCAAACGTGTAATCATAATCCTACTCAAATAATGTTAAAAGTACTACATAAAAAAACAAAAAACATTAATTTAATGTTGTTTTCATTGTGAGAAACAATGGCATTAGATAGGATACCTTACAAAAAGTTTTCTATTGCTTTTTATGCATGCATTTTCATTTAGGAGTGAGGACACTCTGCTTGTTGCAACTGCATTGCATTTAATCCTGCCTCAGACTTTCATTTTTGATTGGTTGGGAAATTCATTCAAGAACTAACACCATCTGTTTTCATTTTTCAAAGTTTTACAAAAGGTCTCTTCTATTTGAATGCACTAAAAAAATGCTACTGGTTGTAATGCTTCCTATTTAAATCACTGTGATTTTTTTCTGTCTCTTCCTGTTCATATGTACAGTCGGGTCTCACTCCTCTTCATGTAGCAGCATTCATGGGCCATCTAAACATAGTAAAGAACCTGCTCCAACGAGGGGCTTCACCTAATGCTTCCAATGTGGTAAGAACCGTTGACATGCTGAACCCAAACAGGTTATTTTCATCAGTCAGTGATTCTCATCTTTATCACATTTTGAATACGATCCAGAAGCTTTACGTAAAAGATTAAAACATTGTATTCACGTTTAGATATCATGTATGAAATTCATAGATGGGTGAACCTTTGATGTAATTGTGTTTGTTACAGGAGTGTGAGTGGACTACCATACTTATTTTAAAAAGAGAGAAATTATTTATTTGATTTAAAAGGGGGACTGTGGTACAAAAATAAGTAGGTCTTGTGTTGCATCCATTTTCATCACCCAGTACAACACTGTCACAACCTGGCTCATTGACTATTACAAAAATGTGAAAGAATGGTTTCGAGGCACTCATTTTACAGAAAATAGCAAAAACAATCTATCTGTGGCGCCGTTCCGAACTGACCGCCTTTATAGAAGCTGAAGTTGGCTTCCGATTGCAGTTTCTGATTCCGAAATGGCTAAAGGGCGATTTTAAGATGTATTAGAAAACTACTCAACTAAAGACTAGAAACATCAGAGATTTAAAATTGGATGCCTCGTGGGTTCTGTGCGTTATCCAATCAGTATCTGATTTTAGCCATGCTATTTCATTGATCAGCAGGATCAACTGTCTACTACTTAATAGAGTAAAATTTTCATCAGTTGAGTATTGGAGCAGCTCGATTTGTACTGTCTCTCTGCATCAGAAAGTGGAGACCCCCCTCCATATGGCCTCCAGAGCAGGACACTGTGAAGTGGCTCAGTTCCTGCTACAGAATGCAGCACAAGTGGATGCAAAGGCAAAGGTATCATCATTTGTACTTTTATTATCAAGAAAAGCAATTTTTTTCTTTCATTATTGGCTCCTTTTAGCATTCACAAAGACTCACTTCTGAATATCAAGTCTGCAGCGTCACTGTGATTAATATCATCATTTAATTTGCTGTGTAAAACAATTTCAGCACTATTGTTATCTCCCTGCAGGATGACCAGACACCCCTACACTGTGCGGCTCGTATGGGCCACAAGGAATTGGTCAAGCTGCTCCTGGAGCACAAGGCTAACCCTGACTCAGCGACGACTGCAGGTCACACGCCCTTACACATCGCTGCGCGTGAAGGACACGTCCACACCATACGGATATTATTAGACGCAGGAGCTCAACAAGTGAAGATGACAAAGGTGGGGTAGATTATGAAATTATGGCGTCACATTTTGCAGTGTCCATGTGTAAATGTGTCTGTCAGACGTTTTTTGTGTGTTTGGTTTTTCCCGTCTCTGGAGCAGAAAGGTTTCACTCCTCTCCATGTAGCTTCGAAATATGGAAAAGTGGATGTAGCGGAGCTTCTTCTGGAAAGAGGCGCCAATCCAAATGCAGCAGGGAAAGTGAGTCATTGCTTAAATCCTGCACCTCAGTTTGTAAAACCTTAGTGAGGAAATGTTGCTTTCTCTGCTTTTTATCATATCACGGGTCCCATACATACATACATACATACATGTTTCTGTGTCATATTTGTGTATGTTCATCTCTAGGTTTATATATGTTTACATGTGTATATGTGTGTGGTTGACAGAACGGTCTGACACCTCTTCATGTGGCCGTGCATCACAACAACCTGGATGTTGTTAAACTCCTGGTCAGCAAGGGAGGATCTGCACACAGCACTGCCCGAGTAAGATGCTCACCAATGAGTGTGCACATTGCTCACACAGGCCCTCAGCCTATGGAGAAATTCTTGAACCTGTCCTTGCCAGAGCTCTTTAACAGAACAATTCAAATATTTACTGTGAGTTGCACTCGGACAGGTGTTCCAAAGACCAATGTCCATGCTGGTGTGTGTGCCTTTGTCTATTTCTCCAGAACGGTTACACTCCTCTGCACATAGCTGCCAAGCAGAACCAGGTGGAGGTGGCCAGTGTTCTGCTTCAGAATGGAGCGTCCCCAAATGCAGAGTCCCTCCAAGGCATCACGCCCTTGCACCTGGCTTCACAGGAGGGGCGGCCCGATATGGTGGCTCTGCTCATCTCCAAACAGGCAAATGTAAATCTAGGAAACAAGGTAGGCTAAAATGGAACTAAATGTTTACCTCTTGTATTTTAATATACAAAAGGTGCTAAAGGAGGCAAGCTAAACTGAACTTGGCTGGTTCTTTTTTGCCGTTGCTTTTCAGAATGGACTGACTCCTCTGCATCTCGTAGCTCAGGAGGGTCATGTGGGCATCGCAGACACTTTGGTCAAACAGGGCGCATCCGTTTATGCTGCTTCACGGGTAATTCACACCACCGGACAAGGGCATTGGTCGACAAGATTCGTTGGATCCGATAAAATACAGAGACTGACATCAGAATCTCAGATTGGAATCATTGGCTCATTTGAACAGAATGCTGCTTCATAGTTCTTTGCCTAATTTTCATTTTTGACAGAGGTCAAAACTGAGAAAAGGGAATTGAGATGAAGAAAAATCTATCAGTCGGATTTATTGTTTTCAGAAGTAGAGGTGCTAACCAAGATGATGTTAACTGTAGCAATGTTACAGAGGAGAAAAGAAAAACTAATCAAAACAGTTGGTTTACCCTGTGTCAAACATTTAGGCAAATAGAAATCGTTGGCAAAAAATAGCTAACAGAACTACAAACATATTTAAATGGTAAAGTATTCATGCCAATGTGCTCATTAGTTCTTATGTTTTATAATTGAACTGCTCTTAATAAACAAAGGTCTTATTTGTCAAGAAGGTGTGTCCTGTTTAATAATGCATTTTTTGTATTATCTATTAATAAATCTAAATCATTTAGATTTTTTTAATTATGTTGAATCAGACAATTAGAAACTATTCATAAAGTCGTTCTTATTTTCCTTCAGATGGGCTACACCCCACTCCATGTGGCCTGTCATTATGGAAACATAAAGATGGTGAAGTTTCTTCTGCAGCAGCAGGCTCATGTGAATGCCAAAACAAGGGTAAAACTTTTCTGCAACTTTAACAGCTAGAAACTTTGCTTTTTGTCTTCATTGAATGTACATTTGTTGTTTGTACTCCTCCAGATGGGCTACACCCCTCTGCACCAAGCAGCTCAACAGGGCCACACTGATATTGTGACTTTACTACTAAAACATGGAGCCATGCCTAATGAGATCACATCAGTAAGATATTCAAATATTTTTTTATTATTTACTTGCACCTAACAGTATTAAATTATAAACTCTGCACAGAAATGAAATATGCTGATATTTTATTTGGAAAAGGAGAAAATTCTTGAAGTATATTTCTATATTGCAGAACGGGACGTCTCCTCTTGGCATCGCTAAGCGATTGGGTTATATTTCTGTCATCGATGTGCTAAAGCTGGTTACAGAGGAGTCTGTTTCCGCTGTGAGTAACGCATCACCCCCTGTGTACAATGATTTAAAAAGCAGGCTTCAAAATTAACAGAAAAAATATAACTTGTTTTTTATAAAATTCTTAGAAAAAAGCTGAATTCGATGTTTTCTTTCTCTACTTCCATCATCTTACTTTACTTACTTAATCTCTGTTTGGTTTTTCACAGATGACCACAGAAAAGCATCGGATGAGCTTTCCTGAGACAGTAGATGAGATTTTGGACGTTTCTGAAGATGAAGGTATGTTTTCTGTTAGAGTTATGTTATATCATGCAGTTTTCAGCATCTTTCACAGTTATTGGCATCACAGTAAATGGATGTTATATCTAGTCGTCAGTCAGACATGTTTTCTTTCAGGCTTTAAATTTATGGCACACTTGCATTCCATGGAAGCAGGAAATCATTGAGATTGTAATTGTAGCTCCTGATCACCACAGCTTTGCAGAAATAGAAATTATTTTATTAAGTTTGAATCTTGCACTTGTAATTATTGTTTTGCATGCTGTACAATGTGCCTCTGGTTCATATCTCATTCGAAAAGTAGATTTTATCTCAAGTTTTTGTAAAAATGCTATTTTTTATTAGAATTGTTCAGTGTTACTGATAGTTGTGGCTTCAGTGATTTTTGCAGTTAAAAAATAATTTTATAACGTTAGCTTTGTATCTCTAAAATATGGTTTTTCAAAGTGTGATTTATCTGTTTTTCACTCATCTTTGCCAAGTATGCCAAGGGTGCTGTTGCGTTCATTGTGTTTATTTCCATCTTTTCCTTAGTTAGCTAGAGCAAAACGTCATGGGAAATATAAAAAGATGCCACTATAGATATTTGTGTTCATATGCATACAGTGTATAACCTTTCCTTCTATTTGTTTTGTAGGAGTTTGCCAGCTAACTTTAGGTATGACTGTATCTGTTTCTCTGCCTTGTCCGGTCCGGTGGCTAGTGAATGTGTGCCGTCATCGCAGTTACTTTCATTATCTCTGTGTGTCACTAATTGTCTTTCTAATTATTCTTTGTCTTTCAACTCCAGCACTGTTTTCTTGTCTTTATCTTCATCCTCTCTATTTTATCTCTGTTCTGTTTTCTATTCCAGCTTCTTCAGAAATGTATTGTAAAAATATTATTCCTGCTTTTCATCAGCATGTGTAGATGTCTCATTTTGCTTTCACCGGCGCCCGATGCAAATTTGAATGGGTTTATTATAGACAGTATTCCAATTAGTCAAAAATGGCAAATATAATGTTGCTCTTCTTTTTGCAACATAAATTAAACACATGCTGTGCAGCAGCTGTGACTCTCCTGACAAAAACACACAACCCCATTTGCCGTTTGATATGAGCACAGGCAGTTGCACATCAGCCTCGTTTTTCAATCCTCTCGGTCTTGTTTAACGTTTTTTGGCGTTTGCGGAACAGCCTGTCCTGGTGGATGTCTGTAAACATCTCTGTTTAAGTGCCTAATTTAGAAGTCATACATATTATTTCTGTTTAATAACAGTTATTTTCTCCTACACAGAACCACGTTATTTCATCCTTTATCAGCATGCTCACAATCAACCCAGCTGTCACCAGGTTGCCTTGCAGTCTCCCTTCCATGCAGTGTACTAAGCTGTCCTAATGATCACTGTCTTACCGTTCTTCATTTTTTCCACTTCTGTAGTTTCCATTTGTTCTCAGTGTTGTTGGTTTGACTCCATTGCTTGGACTACAATGTTTACAGTTGCCTTGTGGCCGTTGTACTCTGTGGTTTCTCTCAGGCAAAGGGATGGGAAAGAGGTGTATTACCAACTATCTTAACTTTTTGGATAAAATCAACTGCAATTATTGACATTTAAGTGTTATAGATAAGTTTTTAAATTACACAACAAATAAATTATATTGGCATGCATCTATGTATAATTTTTTTTCTTGCTATAGGAAATTTGTAGAACGTAGGAGATGAGATCGGCCATCATTTTGCATGGGCTACCTTGTTTTTTCTCCTAATCCTGTTCTCTTTACAACCTGTTTTTTACCTATTTGAGATTTTTTTTTTGGCTTTCCTCTTCAGCCTTCCTCTTCATTTTTATTGTGTCAACAGGAGATGAATTGCTCGGGCTGGATGGAGCACGCTATTTGAAACTTGATGACTTCAAAGACCAGGATGATGACTTTCTCTCCCCAAAGAAAACCCTCAGAGATTTTGAGGGTGGGACGGGAACCACGTAAGTCAGGTTTCTGAGGTTCATGCCACACTTGCTGACTAAATTAGATCTTTTTGGCTTCAAAGGTAAAGTTGTGCAGATGGTTACTGTTTAAGGTCTTCACTGTTCAGTGGCTACATTGTTAGTTTCTCCTCATGTTGAATCAGATTTCTGGATTTGTTTTTGTCAAACAAAATGTTTTATTTTTTTAAAATCTTCATCGAAAGTTTAGTTCAACCAAGTTTACGACCTTGTAAGGATTACAAAGTGGTCTTTTATTTATGACTAGTTAGAAATCAGATTCTGTTAGCTCCACCATTATTGTCTGTCTATATTTAAAACAATAGCATTGCTTATACATTTGAATGCCACTGTATATTTTGTCTTAATACATAACATCATGCATTCCTGTTAAGAGCAAGCATGCATATGATTGTTCTTGACAATTAGATGGAGGAAAAATAATTACCTAATTAATATTTTATTGCATAGCAATATTAAGTCACTGTGTTCTGCCTTTGATTTTCCTCTTTTCCTCCCTTGCAGGCCATACTCCCCTGCTATTCCCAGGATTCCTTGTGTGTCCCCGGAGACAGTGCAGCTCGACCAGGTATCCTTCACCTTCATTCACATTTAACAAGCATATGTTCCTCAATAAAATAATTATTTTAAGAGAGTTTTTCTGGCTGTTTCTGTCCTTTCTTTACATTTCTTACATTATGGAGCATTTTTAATCATTTATTTTCTTCCTTGTTCCTTTTCTGGATCTTAATCTTTACATTCGTGGTTGTGTATTTTTTTTAATTATTATATTATTATTATTATTGTTCTCAGCACACGCCCATCCCTTTACCAAAAGAGTATGATGAGGATTCTCTTATCCCAAGTAGTCCAGCTACAGAGACCTCAGACAATGTCAGCCCTGTGGCCAGCCCCATCCACACAGGGTGAGGGAATCAGTTAATAATTAACTGATTAATAAAGGATTAATCAGTTAATCCCTTATTAACTAATTAGCTTATTTTTAAAGCTCCTATTAGTACTATTGCATTAAAACCACCTGTCACCCAACAATGCCCAGATTCCTGGTGAGTTTCATGGTGGATGCACGAGGAGGCTCTATGCGAGGAAGCAGACACCACGGCTTGCGGGTGATCATCCCTCCCCGCACCTGCGCCGCACCGACACGCATCACCTGCCGCCTTGTGAAACCCCAGAAACTGACGACGCCTCCTCCACTGGTGGAGGGAGAGGGCTTGGCCAGTCGCATTATCTCCCTGGGACCCTCCAGTATGCAGTTTCTAGGGTGAGTTAAACTTGGATTAGGTCAGCGTGTGTTCAGCAGTGTTAAAGTTTGCAATTTTAAGTATTTCTCAAATATGTGGAGGTTATTTAAGAAAAATAGTTAGTATTTTCATAATTACACATTTTTTTCACAATAAACATTCAGCCATTCATTAATTGCTTTTCAATCTCTGGCTTTTGCAGGTTTTAAATTTAAAGGCAGACCACACTAAATAAATATCTATCTCAAAGTCGGAACGATGTTGTGGGTAAAAAAAATTCTGGAAATTATAATCTAGAAAGTTTGGATATTTAACCTGAAAAATGTACAGTAAAAAGTGTCAAATGAAGTTTTACATGGAAATATATACAACAGAACATCCCTGCCCAACCAATTCGATATTTATCAATTAATAAACATCATAAAACTTTTTTTTATTTCTAATATTTGCATCATCAACTAAAACTTGTTAGTCTACAAAAGAAGTTTTAAGTTTTCATTTTTATTGTTTGAAACTTTTGAATGTCTTCTTTTAAGTATTGTTTGTGTTTAAATGCACTAAGTCACACATAGCATTTTGTGACTTAGTTCAGTCTCTTGACTTCACATATAAATGAAGTCAAAACAGTAATTTTGTCTTCATTGTTGTACCTGTTCGTACTTCGGGTATATTAGATAACGAGTAACCATTTGGTCTGCGCATTCCTTTACCTCCATCCTGGAGGGAAAGTCCACGTGATGCAGGGGAGGGAGACACCATCAGCTTGCGCCTTCTCTGCAGTGTTATTGGTACTGTTAAAATGTCTCCCTTGACATTAGAAGCAGGGAGAAGGAGCAAGCATAAGGACTTCAGCCAATTTGTCAGGACACATTTCAGTGGCTATTCGGCTGATTCATAGAAGCTCCATATTGAGTTGTTGTTCTTGGTCTGCAGAACTCAGTATCTTTCAAAAATGTTCCGGTGAATGAGCAGTGATGCTCAGTCAGGACTCATTAAGACAAGTGGAGAGTAAAGACTGGCCCTTGAGGTTTTATCCATTATCTGCTTGATGAGCAAACTCTGGCTCAATTAAGGAATGATCACAAGAACGACAAACATCCTTATTTCAGTTTTTTTTTTTTTTCATATTTTCTCTGTCTGACCTCTACAAACAAGTTCTATTTAGAGTTCTGCTAAGAACCCCCAGTTATCCCACAATGCAATACAGAAGGACATCCATACCTATTCTCAATAAGAAGTTAATGCTGTAAACAAGTCAATGCTGGTTGCAATAAAAACGTTCTAAAACAGACAGTGCTCCACAGTTTGTATCATTACTGCATTCTGGTCATAATTTTGTGCCTTATTGGCCTATTACTCAGACTTTGGACAACGTTGTTGGTCCGTTCATTTTGGTTTGTTGTAATTCCCACTCTACCCTTGTGATGTCCTCAATTGTCCTTGTTTTCAACTCTCACCACCCCCATTCTTCACACCTATCAGCTCTGCACATCCTCCTCTGCTCCTGCTCGTCATTGGTCTGGTTGTGTTTTGTTTGCCTCTGAATTTGCTTTGCCTTTGCTTTACTGACAGTTTGTTCATTACAGAAGTATCTTGTGTTATTCTGTTGAAAACCAAAAATTTCTTACACCAGCATAAATATGTAATTGCCTCTAACTCACTGAAGACTTTTGATTCAAACTGAAAAGTTGATAAAGACGTTAAAGACTTTTAAAAGTACTTTTTATCTTTACAGGCCTGTCATAGTGGAAATCCCCCACTTTGCCTCGTTGGCCCGTGGGGACCGGGAGCTTGTGGTCCTCCGAAGTGAAAACGGCTCCGTTTGGAAGGAGCATCGCAATCGCTATGGAGATGAAGTGCTAGAAACCATCTTGAATGGCATGGATGAAGGTCAGTTTCATTTGAACAGGTACTGTTTTCCACAGCAGCTTGCATGTTCTCAGAAAAGTCACTTGTCATCTTGAGAAGCAACCCTCAAAGGAAACTTTCTCAAGGTCACTCTCTCAAAAAACATTGAAAGTCAGCTTCTCCTGATTTACATTTAACCGATAAAAATCCATCGTTTTGCCTCCTTCTGACCTTTGTTCACTTTGCTATAGACTTGGAGAGTCAAGAGGAGCTGGAGAAGAAGAGGATACGTCGAATCATCTCCACCGACTTCCCCCTCTACTTTGCTGTGGTCTCTCGCATTCAGCAGGAAAGTGATCTTATTGGCCCTGAAGGTGGCCGGCTCACCAGCAAGCTGGTGCCCCATGTGGAAGCCATCTTCCCTGAGACGGCTGTTACTAAGAGAGTGAGGCTGGGATTGCAGGTACAAAAACAGGAAGACATTTCTGCAGAAATGCATAGAAAATAACTGTTTCAATGTTTGATGTTTCACACTGTCTTTGAGCGAGAGAAACTTTGTGGTCTGTAGTGGCACCTTTACCTGCTGGCTTAATGTTGGCTTTCATTGATTTATGTTTTTGAGCTGCTCTTTTTGGCAAATAAGGGAATATACTATACTTTTAGTTTTTAGGACTCATGTTGACTCTGTGCTGCCCATTTAAGAATATCTAAGAAACGTAAGTCACTTCTTTTCTCAGCTGTAAATCTGCGTCTCGGCCCTTCTGTTTCAAACACAAGAAATTTGCCAAACTCTTAGTTAACACCCCTTTTGACAAATCTAATACAACACATGCATTAGAGTCTAAAAAGAAACAAATAACAACTGGTCACTGTTTACTATAGTTATTCCTGATTGCAGTGAATATGAAATAAATGTGTGAACAAGTGTAGATTTCAAAATGCGTGTTTAAACTTCAGTCCTGACTATGAAACCATATGATGGACTGTATAAAACCAGTATAAAGCACCAGTCATGCAATCTTTTTTGTTGTACATAACATGGGCTTTTATTGTATTTTGTTGTCTTTGTTTTGGTTACATACCTTATTAATATTTTTTTGTCTTGATAACAGTCAATGTAAAATAAAATGCATGTGTCTGCATTTTGGTTTGCCTTAAATTGGTTTGTTTTATGTTTTGCTTTTATCCAGCCGTTCGTCTCTCCTCAGTTGCCTGATTTAAGTTGTGAGCCACACTGAGCTGATGCACTGGTCTGAGTTGGGTCAGAGTGAAATATGACTTTGTTGCATGTGTGAGTATGGCTGTGAGTTTGTTGTTTCAGTTTATTGCACATTTTTTCTTCAGTTCACTTTTGGCATTAGTTCCACACTTATTCTTTGAAACTTGATGCACTGTTTTTCTCTTCGTCTTTCTTTCATTATTTTTTCTCGCTCCTGCAGTCATGTTTATTTCTAGGTTTTCTTAAGAATATTTTGTCCCCCTGACTAAATTTCAGGCACAACCAATCCCAGATGAACTGCTAACTCGGCAGCTGGGGAACCAGGCAACCTTCAGCCCGGTGGTTACAATTGAACCCCGGCGGCGCAAGTTCCACCGTCCAATTGGTCTGCGCATTCCTTTACCTCCATCCTGGAGGGAAAGTCCACGTGATGCAGGGGAGGGAGACACCACCAGCTTGCGCCTTCTCTGCAGTGTTATTGGTACTGTTAAAATTTTTTTAAAAAGTCTAACTTTGAATTGCTAAGGACTGTAGAAAGCTATGCATTTGGCGATTAAACTCACGGTTTGTTTTGTGACTTAGGTGGAACAGCTCCAGCTCAGTGGGAGGACATCACTGGAACCACCAAGCTGATGTACGCGAGTAACTGTGCCAGTTTCACCACCAATGTGTCTGCAAGGTAAGCAACTCAGCACGAAATTTGTGAAAAAAAAAATCTATTGCCACCCTTCTTTTTCTCCGTTTTTATGTTCAAACATTTAGTGTCTCCTGGCTTGAATCATTTGTTCTTCTTTCCCATCCAGATTCTGGCTGGCAGACTGTCCGCGTACAGCAGAAGCAGTGACCTTTGCCAACTTGCTGTACAAGGAGCTCATGTCAGTCCCATATATGGCCAAATTTGTCATTTTTGCGAAGATGAACGAGGTTCGGGAAGGTCGATTGCGTTGCTACTGCATGACAGACGACAAGATGGACAAGACTCTGGAACTGCACGAAAACTTCTCAGAGGTGGCCCGAAGTCGAGATATCGAGGTAAGAGCAAAGGACAACAGTAATAATGCTGACAGAAAGAAAAAGTGGCAAAGAACTTACTTTTCTTTTTTTTTTATGTTCTCTCTTATTTTACTTATCAGTCTCAGGGATGTACATTTTAGAAATGTATTTAAAAGTGGATGGTCATAGCCTGCTTGTTTTCTGACATTGGAATGGTGTTCACAGCTTATGGAGGGCATGCCGCTGCACCTGGAGTGTTCTGGGAATTTAGTGCCCATCCGGAAGGCCACTCAGCAGCCTCGCAGCTTCAGCTTCCAGGCCTTCAGAGACAACAGGCTGCCGGTTTCTGTCAAGGTTTGTCTTCACGAGGCTGTTCAATTGCCTAACTTTCTATCACTTACCATTCATTCCATTTGGTTTTTGTTTTTATTTTATTTAGTTTTTTGGGTTTAACACACCAAGAATTCTCTCGACAGATGATCGATATTCTTTCCAGATGACTTATTGATGAACAGACACTTAATTATGAGCCGGACAATAACTCTTTTTAATGGCATCATCATAGAATTATATTATTATATTATTATTTATTATTATATTATTATATTATATTATTACTTGGACATGCTGTTAGGTTTTATGAGGGAAAAAAGAATGAATTTGAATGATAAGGACTGAGACAGAATAGCAGTTTTAATGTAAGAATGTCAGATTTCTCCTAACATGTTCCAGCTTTCAAAGCCAGAATGTGTTGAAACTTAAGTTCATTCAAATATCATATTTTTCTGAAATCTTTGAACCTATTGGAACTTATTTCACATCATCTCAGAACGATGTGAAATGGTGGTTTGGAATGTTTTGCTTTCCCAGGACCTTTAGCAAAAAGAAATGGACAAAATATTATCCCTGCAACGACACGTTCATGAAATGTTATCGGTTTAACTCTGAATTTTTAAGACTGCTACGATTTTTAGTAGTCTGCATAAATACCAAGCATGGCTCTGTATAATGTAGTTTCCTTTTTTATTAGCTTAATAACTTTTTCTATTCCCCCTTACTTACTTTTTTACACCTTATTTTTCACCAGTCTGTCTCTCAATGCTGGTTAGGTTTGAAAATACCTGCGGTTTGGTTTTGACTCTTAATGTAGTGTTTCAGCTCCTTCGCTGTAAAAACAAAGAAAAAGTTTTTAACACTTTTTTTTTTTTACGTGATCTCAAATCAACAAAATCAAATCTGTATGTGCAAAGAAACGAACAATAAATGCATGAACGATGTGTAAACTGATTCAGAAGAGTCGGTCCACAAGTTGATGGAGCTTCGAGATTAAATTGAGCCTACATTTGGGAGCAAAGTCTTTGAAAACTACATGGAATTCTGTGTATAAACCTTGTTTTGTCTGTCCTGTGACCATATTGATGTAATTTCATTGTGTTGTACGGTGTTCTTTTTTTCTTAAGCACAGTTGTTTTTTTTTTTCTTTCATCCATGTCTGTCGGTGTGACTTATGGGACTATGTAGTATCTCCTACCTAAATTCTTGTAGCCATGCAACAAACAACTTACCTATCTATCCCCTGACTCTCTTGGGTAATTGTTTGCATGCCCTGTGTCTCCCTCACTTTCTTTGCCTGCCTTCCAATCTTTGCGGCCTTGCCTGTCTGTACGTGTCTGTCTCACTGTCTCTCTTTCTTTCTCTCATGGTCACTCTGTAACTGTCTGATCTGACAGACGCCCAGGTAAAATGTGCAGGTAAATCTCTCTCTCTTGCCTGCCTGTGGACTGCTTCCATCCCTGTTTCCCCCTGCTTCTTGTCCAATGTTACTGCGCACCAACCTCGTGGCGCTGTGGAGAGATCTAACTCCTCTTTCTGATCTGTTTGTCCTTTCCTCTTACTCCTCCCTTCTTTTTCTCTGCTTCACTCTAATATTTTCTGACGTGCATCGTCTTGTGCACTCTTTCTTTCTCATTCTTTTCTTATCTGTTCTCCACCTACTTCTTTCTTTCTATTTTTCTGCTCTTTTCCTTCCTTGTTCTGTCATCTATATGTGCCAGGTCAGGGACAGTAACAAGGAAGCCACTGGGTTTCTGTCTTTTCTGAGGAAATGCACGAAGTACGAGGACTCACAACATGTCTTGTGTAACCTTAATATAACCATGCCACCTTGTGTCAAGGTAAGAACTTGCCATGATACATGAGCACGAATTTAAACATGAAAGCTCATAAAATGAATATAAATGAATGTTGTGAGGCCAAGTTCTTACTGGGTTAGGAATTAGTACATATCTCAAGTAGCACAGGATTAATAATGAAAAGTTATTTTTAGTTATCTTGAGAATTTAATAACTCAAAAATGTCCCATTAAAACTGTGACCAGTTAAAAATACTTGCGGTTGTGATAAATTTGCAGGAATTCTGTTTTACTGTTGGACTTAATGAGCTCTTTGAACGTATGGGGACATGCATTTTTGAAGATTTTTACTTATAATTTGCTTTCCATATTGACAAAGTAGATTTAATGACAACTCTCTTGCTACATACCTAAAACCACTCATGCCTTCTGTTGCATTTTTGATTATGTGGGCCTGTATTTATATTACTTTGTAGAAAATTGTAGCAATGATAGGATGTTATTAAAATAAAAATGTGTAATTTATTTCAAAGTTTTTCAAAGCATGTTTACCAGAGATGCAAACCAATTGAAAGGCTCCTTCATTCCATTTATAGAGTAAAATGTTTTATTTTACTTTTGTTCTCTCCATGTTTTCCAATTAAGATGTTTTCCAGACAATTATTGTTCACCATAAGAAATGATTGTTATTTGGTCCCTATTTTAGGTTGCTGGGAGCGAGGAACGCAGGCGAACTTTAACCCCTCTGGCCCTGAGAGAGCGCTACAGTGCACTGAACGAGCCTGGTGTGGGTACGTTTATATTGTCTGTACTTCAGCCCTCTCCTCATAGACACACACTGGAGATGGGCACAGAATGTTGCTCTGCCCCTTTGCCCAGACCCCCGCTTCCCTAATCTGCCCCTACTCCACCCTCTCTGCCCCTATTTGTCTCATGTGCACGCATGGCACAAAGACTAAAGCCTTGGATGCAATGCACTGCTGTACAGTATGCCCCAGAGTTTGTGGCAGTGCAGTTCGATGAAAGCACACAAGAATGTGAGGCCGAGAGACAAGCAGCCGTCTGGAACATGGCCTGAAGTAGCTCCATGACACCTGGAAAGTCTCTCTTATTCTTTCCTGAGTGTCTTGGATGTTCGACCAACGACTTCTGTGATTGGTTAAGCATGGCGCTGGTGTCTCCACTGCGACATCCAATGGCATGGCAGCAGATACTATTAGCTTATGAGCACTGAGAATGAGCAGGACCTCCCAGTGGAGCTAGACAGAGGAGCCCTTTATGCTGGTTTTTGGTAAATGCGTAATGGTTACTCTTAAAGTTTAAAAAAAATGTGGTTTTCTGATGGAGGAGGAAGGAGAAAAGGTCTCTTCTGTCTATCAAGTACACAGCGCTGCTACGTTGCACCTTGGTTCCTCTGTAATGGTTACGGAATGCTACTATGGGACTAACATTTCAGTGAACCCCAAAGTCTTACATGTTATACCCACTCTCAGTCCTAACATGACGATTACTTGGATAAAAACACTGTTGTGGTTAGTGCTCATTTGGCTGGACAGAGAAGAAAAGGTATGTATTATTATTAAATCTTAACAGAAACTTTGCTCAGTTTTGAATCTTTTTAGTTCACACATGACAAGCTGTGATCCTATAACTTTTTTTTATAGCTATACTCAACTTGAAATGTTCCTGACCAAATTAATATCAGGTTTTTGCCTGATTTTGAGTCTGACCTACAGAAACTAAAGTTCAAACATCTGTCACAGTCAAGGAAAGCAGACAGAACTGACCTCACCATTCATAATGTCATTGGAGAGTGAGGAAAATGCTGTGCAATCAGAATACTATTGTAGTCTACATAACACTTATTAAATATAGTTTGTGAATTCTTTTCAAGGTACTCAAGAAGATAGTATAAAAAATGTCTCTTTTTCAATGCCTCTGTATCAGGGGCTAATGCATCCTGACCGGGACATCCAGGATCCTAACATTTGATCTATCCTTATGAAGTTCAATGCTAATGAATGTATTTTATTAGGAAACCTGGAATCAAGACATTCTTGATTACAGTGTTCTGAGTTTAGAAATCTGGTGTTTTTGACACTGTCTTTTCATGATGTTTGGTGGGTCCTAAACTGCTCCTATTTTCTCTTTAGCTTCAGTGAACGCCATGGAGAGAACTGAGATCAAAATCAACATCATATCTGATCAGCTAGGCTTAAGCTGGGCAGGTTAGTAACTTCAGATTTTTACACGCTTGAAACAAATACCTCATTCAAATCACTCGTTTGAATGAGGTCAAACGAGTGATTGACCTCATTTAGTCTTGGCCAAGGAAAAGTTATTCAGGTTATGTAAACTGTAAGTGAACTTGCAGTTTACAGGCCAGGAGATAACCTGTGGTATTTACTTAATTTGTAAGTGACTGCAAAGTTTACTGGTGCAGATATTCAGTTTATTTTTATCTGCTTTTTTCTTTCAGAGTTGGCGCGAGAGCTTCAGTTTAGTGTTGACGACATCAACAGGATCCGTGTAGAAAATCCAAACTCCCTTTTGGACCAGAGCTCCGCCCTGCTCAACCTGTGGCTCAGCCGAGAGGGCAAAAGGGCCAAAAGTGAGTGAAACATTTCAAATTCTTATTAAACTGACTACCGATTTACTGTAGCGGATTAAATGCAATATTTAAAGCGGTGGAAAGGCTTTAGATATCAACCAACAGCAAGCAACAGAACAAATGGATCCGTATTAAAAGAAACTCAGAAAGAATTTGAAAGTGTAACTTTACAGAGACTTCACTGTAAGGCAGGTTCTCTGTTTATCTCTTCTGTCATTTTCTGTCTTTGTCTTTCATTTTGGTGTGTGTGCTGCATAGTGGAGAGCCTGTACACCGCTCTGAAGAACATTGACCGTGCAGATATTGTGTCTTCACTTGCGGGTCAGGCCCCACCACAGGGGCCCGGGTTGTCAGAAGAGGGGGCCTGTCGTCTGGCTGACAGAGACTCTACGTTGTTGTCACCCAGTGTCATTAATGGTAAGAAACACAAACATAGCATCAATTTAAGAGAAACAATTTTATATATCAGCAAAGTGTTACCTTTACATATGTAAATCTCATAAGCTTATGCTTGCTCATGATTATCTTAAAGATGATGATGAAGATGCCTAAAATCTCTTCTACATGGGCATTTGAGTTTAAAGAATAAAGTTTTCTTTATTGTTTTACATTTATTCTCTTTGCTATGGTTCAAAATTACAATCTTGACAATGTCCCAGTGTTTAAAATAATTTGGAAGCAAAGGTCATTAAAAAGAAAATAACTACGTAAAGTAAGGAATTACAAACATGTCGCTCTAAGGAAACAAGCATTTAGACAAAATCTCTGTTTTCAAACAGCAACTTGCTATTTAATTGAAACATTTACCCTGTTTGAGCCCCAGAAAGTGCTCTGCCGTTCCCCTTCATCTGTGAAAAATTGCCTGCTTCGTGAGAGTGTGGGTAACAGCCACTGTGCCTTGTTTCTGTTGCCCCACAAGAGATCACGGACACAAGGCCTTCACGCATAGTGCACAAGCCAAGAGTTATTAGACCCCCGTTTTTCAGAAGGGGTAAGTTGCTCAGAAACTGGGGCTGCATGGTGGTTTGCTGCTCTTGATGATGATGATGATGATGATGATGATGGTGATGAGTCTCGGACGATGATTTTGAGGTCTGAGGAATGGTGTCGTTCTCCCACCATGAAAATGGCTTCTGTCAGCATGCACTAACACCGCCTCTGTGCATTTCTCACTGGGGCACAAGTCATCTTTATTTTTTTAAACTTACACTTTGTTGCACCTCATAATTTAGATATGAATTATAATGTTTCTACTCATCTAGGAAAAACCATCATAGCTCTCCTTTATATTTTGGATTTTAAGGCTATACAGCCACAAAGGTATGAATCTGACAAGCACAGCGTCTTGTGAACATATTCCTTGAAGTTTTTTCACCTACATCCACATACTTCGTGTTTCTAAAATGAATCTTATGTGACAGACCAACAAGTGGTGCATGACAGTAAAGTAAAAGAAAGGGATTAATTAATTCATCTTTTTTTTTTTTACAAATAAAAGTCTGAAAATGTGACCTAGCTGCATTTATATTCAGGTCCCTTTACTCTGGATGGTCTTCCAAAAATCACCAAATTAAAGTGCAGGATTCCTGGAGAGCATTAGTAAACAAAAAGCATGAAGGAGGGTAATGTTATGGAGATGTTTAAGGCACGGTTATAAAACAGGCTTTACATATTGCATGAAGCGCTGCAGAGATCCATGGTTCAGGGGGGAGAACCAGTTGACATGACAACAATGGAAAAGTTTTTGTTAAACAAAAGCCTTTAAATTTACTTGGGCGCAGAACGAGCATGAGAACATTTTGTCCCACAAGCAAAATACTGTATGTGGCAAAAAAAAAAAAAAGTACTGGAGATCAGCCCATTATCACCATCAATGCTCGGGAACATGGCAGTTTCATCAAACAGAGACTGGGAAAGTGGTTTCAGTTTATTGGAAGATGATGTGGCTAATATCATCCAGTCCTGAGAGAAAACCTGTTAGAGGCTGCAAGACGTGAGACTGGAGTGGAGGTAGTTTAAAACAAAGCATGTTTATATTCAGGTGTCCTAATGGTCTAAGGAAAGTTCAGGCATAACAACAAAGGAGAATTTCTGGCAAGACTTGAAATTTTTAATACACAGATACTTCCAAACCAATCCGATGGAAGGACAAAACTGGTGGAGGCATAACACAGAAGATGAGTTCAAGGTATAGACTGATAAATACAAATTCTAATCGCCCTTTTCAGATTTTTGTTTGAAAAATTTTATTCCTCTTTACAACTATGCTCTCTGTTTTGTCGGTCTGACACATAAAAACCGGATCAGATATGCTGAAGTGTTTGGATTGTGATTTGAAAAAAATACATAAAAACAAGGGTATGTGTACCATCTCAATGCACTGTGCAAGAAATTCCTTCCATTTACTATGGATGTCTGGATTACATGTGGGATTGTTTGCGTATGCGTGCACATGTGTGTGTGCATACATATCTTTGTGTGTATGTCTGGGATGGATAAAAGAGTCAAAACTGAACAAAATAAAAATGTGCTCTGGGCCTTCATTCCTTGTTTCTGTCTTTCCCTCTTCCTATCTCGCTCTTGCTTTCTTTTTACCTGAGAAAAAGACAACATTCCACACATCTTACTGCAGATGATGTTGGAATTGTCTCTCTTCCTCAGGATTCTGTCCAACTTCTTCCACTTTCTCTGAATCTGTGACACAACATACCAGAAGAGCAGGGCCCAGCCGCCCTGCTCTTTCTCCTTCTCCTCCTCCTCCTTTTTCCTGCTCTTCCTCCTCACAGCTCTACCTGTCCGACCTCTGACCTCATAAGAACCTCATTTTGACCTCTGGGCCTCCTCTTCTCTTGTCATCTTATTTCCCCCTGCGCTCCTCCCTCGTTCAGTCGAGTGGGGACCCTCTCCTCCTCTTTAAATCCACAGCTCACTGTGTGTACTACTGTTTGTGCACGTGCATGCTGCATGCCTTGCTGTTGCCGTACTGGAGTGTGAGTTTGCGTAAGCATAAAAGTGAGCTTTTTGTTTCAGACTAGCTTTGAAAAGATACAGTCGATTAGGTTTGAGTCTTATTTGGACAGCAGACAAATGTTTAAAATATGTTCCAACTGAGTGAGGTTATTATTTCCAAAGCATTCTTTACAAATGGATTAAGTCAGAAGTTTACATGCACACATCAAAGGCATGAGTGTCATATTAATTTTTGGGTTTTACTCATCCTTTTAATCCCTTTGCATAAAGTTTGACTGGAGATCAGCCCATTATCACCATTAATGGTTCAGCCATTCTTAAAAAAACAAGAACTAGTTGTACAAGTTGGATGTTGTTTGTCATTGTTTGTAATCCACACAGGATTAAAAATATTCAAACTGGCTCAAATCAATTCAGTTCAAATCAGATAATTACGTACACTGTATATAAAGCCTTGATGATGATATCATGGCTTTGTAAGCTATTCACAACATTTGAGTTAAACAAAGGCATACCTGTTGGTGGATTTTAAGGCAACAGGTCAACTTCCTTGTCTGACATTATATTAAAAAAATGTAATTGATATGAATCAATCAAGAATTCAGAAAAAGAATGGTGGATCTACACAAATTAGTTCTTTTTGAAAAATTTAAATATGTCCTGAAGGTGCTATATTTATTGACATTGCTTTAAATATAACCCATGTATATCCATATTGATAAAATGTTTGTATATATTTGGGCCTGTATTTCTAATTTTGAACCTGTTTGGAGTAGAGAAAATTGACCAGACAAAAAAAATCCAAATCTCGGGTCTTGCATCTGTTCTATTTCCAGTCCAGCACCAATAAAGAGGGGTTTAAGGAAACAACCAAAGCTCAAAGATAATATATTATTAATGCTGATGATGAGTAAATGTACATTTCTGATAAATACTGTGTATGAGGATTTTGTACTGGTGAATTGTGGTGTCTGCAGTTTGCCGTTTATGTTCTTGACATCAAACTGTGCATGGCATGCTTTCAGTGTCTGAGTTCATCTTTGCTGTGTATAATGTTCTCTCTGTTCAGTGGGTGTATTCTAATCTTGTTTTATGCTAAATTAACTCAAAAAGTGTTTCCTTTTCTTTACTGTGAGATAAATGGTGTCATTTTAACAATATGCTGTTAACACGTTGACTTCTGCATCGCACATAATGTTCAGAGAACAATGCTGCTGCAACATGAAGTCTTTCTTTCTTGGGCAAAACTCATTAATCAGCCAGTTGTCTTTAAGATTGTCAGAGGTTGGTGTTACTGAGGAGGGCTTGTTGGGTCTTTACACTTTTTACTGAACTTAATGCAAACATTTGCACAAGTCTGAAGGACTCTCAGCATTGTTGAAACATTATCTGCTGGCAGGGATACCGGTGTGAGGGTGTGTGTTTGTGTATGGTTTGGATGTTCAGGATTTATTACCCTACATTTTAACCTCACCTGTGACCCATAAAAACTACTTCATTCATCATGCATAAAAGAATGCGAGTGTATTTTTGTGTGTCTGTTTTTATTTGACCGTTGTTTAAACACTTAGTGTACTGTGAGGTGTGTTGTGAAGTGTGGTGTCCATTTTTTGTTTGATTTGAAGGCTTTTTCAGAGCTAATCTGTGCGTCACCATGTGTTGTGCCTTGGACACTTGTGTGTGTGTGTGTGTGTGTGTTTAAACAACAGGAATAAAAAGGACTAACCCTGACTCAACTAAACTCATTCAAGCTGCCATTCTAACTCATTCCTTCCTGTTCACCCTCATTCTGATGCCACCTCTGGCCATCCTGGCCCTGTTCCATCCCAGAGACACACACTGTAGTTCATAAGTCAATAAATTCTGGGAATAAAACAAATGCATCATAATGAAGTATTTCACTCACATAAGGAGCCATAATAATAGATTACTGCCGCTTTAAAGCCTTAAAATCCTTCTTTTAATGCAGAAAATTTGCGTCACACTGAAAAATGTAGACAAAATTGATCTTCGCTTTGCATACGTTCATTCAGCGGGAGGCAAATCCCATAAAAATAATTGCTTTCAGCAAAATCAGTTGTCACAGTTGTTGGTACATCGACTCTTTAATTTTCTTTACAAACAAGTTTTGGCTGTAGGATACCATTTGGTCTTGTAGCTTTTTGACCATTCCTGGATCTCTTGTTTTCAGAACAAGCTTCCAGGAGGTGGAACTGATATTTCCTTTGCAAAAAGTTGATTTTTATGTCTGCTGAATTATTTATGTGTAGATTTGACCATATGATTTGCATGATTATCCATCACCTTTTAAACAGTCCATGTAACACACTCCGTGTTATGTTGATCTGTGTGAAGGTGGAACAGAAAAAGCTTTTTTTTACATTGCTTCCACATAATCAGTTGGCCAACAGATAAATTATAATGTTTTTATTGAACCTCAGAGAAATGCTCTGATCAACTTTAGAAACTAAAGGATAAATTAAAATATTCTACAATTACACATTTTTCCAACAGTATAAATGCGCTAAAGTTCCTGCTTCCGTGCTCAGTGTGACATTAAGCTCCTGTAATAAAAGATGAATTTGTGTGAAGGCTTTTTGCACATTTTTACTATGGGTGCCAAAAAGTGTTGCGTTTATATAATAGATAGACTCTGTAATAACATGTGTCAGCTGTTCTAAAAATTTAATTAAGCTGTAAGCCTTCAAGCTACTTCATGCCAAAATGTTCACATCTCCATTACTGGGCCATAATGGGTGCTGCTTTAAACATTAAAAGTAAGACAAAAAAAAAAAATCTGAGCTGCAGATCTGCTGAATTTCACCTTTGTTAAATGACACATTAAGCATCAAAAACATGTCATTTATACTCAAACTTGATAGCATGTTGGTTAAATTCGTCAAGTTTGGGAACCTTTACCACATCCACATCCATTAGTATCTAGCTACTGTGTATGCATTTCCTGAGCTTTAGCTTGTTCAGTTAATCACTGACAAAATCACATAAGACATGTTTTCTGAATCCATTTTCATTTCTTTAGCTAACAGTCAATAGATTTTGCTATTAAAATTAACAATATTTTGAAAATTAAGATTGAAATAAACAATCACTAAAAGTTTGAGGCTTTTAGGGAGGCCAGGTTTGAAGGACAACATTAAAAATGTTTAATTAAAAGTTAAGCTGAACCCTTGTATTAAAACCTGTACTAAGTGTACTTTTCTAGATGTATTTGCATGGATATGTTTCTCATAACTATACTTTGGGTTTGACTTTAGATGAAGATCTTTTCACCTTCACTAATGTAAAAATTGCATATATAAGAAATCCTAACAGCAATCCTCTCACGTTGTCCATGTTATAAAGACATTTTTAACTTACGTTTTACAAGAAATCGGTATAAGTGACGTGCATCATAATTTTCTAATTCTGTCAATTTTTGCAGCCGTTTGTTTAACTAATGTTTAAAGTAATCCAAACTACATTCCACAACATTTAAAGTGTAAAATTCTTTCAATTTCCCTTGCTTAATTTCTGCAAAAATTGTTCATTGTGATTCAAGTGAGATTCAGAGTGCACATGGTGTTTATTAGAAAAATCATAATTACTTTTTGAACTATATAATTCCCACCAAAAATTGTATTCATACAATTTTGTTGTTCAATGTGTATGTTTGTGTCATGTACTGTCTTTGAAAAGAAAATGGAAACTTTAGTCACCTAAACTAATTACAGGTTGCACTCGAAGTTAAATGGCATTCAAACACAAAAAAGATATTTGAAAACATGGAATATCTTTCATATACTTAAAGAAACAGTTTGGATTTTTTGAAGCGGAGTTCTGTGAAAAGGTGTTTTGTGGTTATCATCTTAAATGCTAAGACCTCAGATTAAGCATAGAGATTGTCCATCATTTTCTGATGATCTAACAAGTATTCAGAGGAGAGCTCAAATAAAAGTGGATTTGCTCACAGTTGCATTCATAGTTGTTCACTATGAAGATTATATATTAGCTTATGTTGTGTAACAACTGTTATACAACACTGTATAACAGCAAAACTGCAAAAACAAAAATATGAGCTAAGTTGATGTGAATGCTTTTCATTGATTTTTCTTTTTTTATACATTTAAATTAGATTGTTATTCTGGTCAAAGTGTGCACTGAAACTTTTTATTTCTTCAATTTAAACTGGAAGTGGAGGTCCAGATAAGTTTTTATTAAGGGAACCATACAAACTGGTGCAGCTTAAAGGAGGTGTTTTCTGCAGGTGAAATACTAACTACTCCTAATGACTCCATCGTTTATCCAAATTAAATTATTTTTAAATCTATTTACCACGCCTAATGTGAGTATGTACAATTATGTGTGTGCGTGTGTGTGAGTGTTTGCAGAGGGACTTATACTTAAATGCCCGAGGTATAGACTAGGATGCATGTTTCTGAATTGCTGCTGTAATAAAGGAGGATGCAAGAATAACTGTTGCTTGCATTTTTCTTAGCAAAGCCTACTGCTGAGTCCCACTCAGGAACTTATGACATGGGTTGGAACGATAACAGATATTTCACAGAAATGTTGTTTACTGTGTTACATTTAATATTGCAGAGCTGACAATTCCTCCAAGCTGCTTTGCTTCAATTCTGATTTGTATGAAATGAAAGATCTTTAATTGGGAAAACTTAAAAGACCCATCTGCAAAAACGGATATCCTCACTTTAATGTAAATGAATATCGTGCCAACCCCAATATCAACATGGAGCTACTGTCACCTTTCTTTTTTTTTCTTTCTCGGGACAGTTTATGTTCTGGGAATTCACTTTCTTTCTTTGGTAAAATTTTTAAAAATCAAGAGCCCTGCATCATTCGCCTCACAAACAAAGGATGATCCACGAAGCTCTGATTGTATGCCCTCACAACTTGCACAGTTTGCTGTGTCCCAATGACAAAGACCTAGACTGAATTCTTTACATCAGACTAACTTTCTTACATCAACTGGGCAAAGTATTACTCAAAAAAAAAAAAACTTAATTTCAAATGTTCTTGTGTTCTATTCAAGGGCATGCAGATAAAATATAATCGCAGGAGTACTGCAGTTCTGAATTGAATGACTATTTTTAAACATGAAAATCAAACTCAGATAACAGGAACTTTGAACCAATTTGTGCTTAATTTGTCCTTCCATCATTTGAATAGGTTACTTTATCTAAAATATAAACCAGCTTCGTTTTGTGACTTGAATTATTGTAACTGTAGAAATCAACTTTGCCTTTTTGCCCCACTGCGGCTGGTCATTAGCTGGAAAGCTAATCTGTGTTTCATCAACATAGAGAGTCTATTAGTAGAGATCTAGTGGATCAGAATTTTGTGGTCAAGCTCCAGTCTCTGATTATATAATGCTTTGACCTGCTAATGCTTTTAGCCATTTCGCATCTGTTTTTAAAAAATTATGATTAATATAATTCAAGATACTCTTTTAGCCTTACATCTGTTATTAGTGATTTATATTTGGGGAACAGTTGTGCGTAAGAACGTAGTATGTAACACAGGATTTTACCATCCTATTATTACTAAAAGACCAAATGAATATTGCATCGATATTGTAAAGTCCATTATCCATTATCAAACACTGCAGTTATACACAACACTTTGATGTTTTTCCCCTCAGTAACAGTGTCCACTCTGAAGATGGTTGTCAGCATGACCTGGTAGCTCTTCCATAAAGTGACTCTTCCTTTTCAAGCATTTAATTATCGAAACTTGTTGGATGTTTCTGTTTTTGCACATTAAAAGAACTCCTCTTGCAAATTCTGAGCATCCCAACATTTAAAATCACTGAGGTTTTTATAACTCCTGTCATCTGAGCCTGGTTTTCATGAAATGCAGTAGCGGTCAAAATGTATTTCTGACTGATATGTCCAAATTCTTAGAATGTAGAGTCTCTGCTTGTGTATTGGGACATGGCTAAGCTCCACTGTTTCTTAAGTAGGTTGGAGAAACAGTCGACATATAACCTCCCGACCCTCCCCATGGCTGTGCCTGCTCGGTGTTAGTGTTTCTCTTGTCTCGCCCCTGTCATCCTTCCAGGTTATGGGCTGGTGCAGGAGGAGCTTGTGTCCCCGGCCTCCATGCAGTACAGCTTGCCCTCTCCATTGGGTGTGGAGCCATACTGGCAGGAGGTTTCCAGCCTGGAGTGTGCGCCCATTGCCACTACGGAGGAAGACACACTAATGGAGATGTCGGATGTTCAGGTGTGGCCAGCAGGGGTTAGCCCCTCGCTGGTCACAGTTGAGGACTCATCGCTAGATGGTAGCAGTCGAGCAGATGACTCTGAGGGTGCGACGCTTTCCTTGCCCTGCAGCTTGGGCCGCCCAAGCAGCGGAGCCAGTGGGGCCAGCGGCTCCATCATGGAGCTGGAGGAAGAGGAGGAGGAGGAGGGGGAAGTAGAAGAGGAGGAAGTGCCACAAGAGCCAGCGAGTGCACTGGCAGAACAGGACAGAGTGAGGGCCAGTGGCGCTGTTCCCAAGGTCAATCTGAATGGGCAACCGGGAGGTCAGAGGTCAGACGCAAGGAGAGGGGACGGTGTGGTGGTGGGAGGAGGAACTAAAGGAGGAGTTGGTGGTGTGGGGTTGGGCTCAGTGGAAGGGATTTCTCTTGTTGCAGGCCAGCAGGTGTATGCCCAGCATGGTGACATGACTGGGCTGAGGCCACCAGAACACAACGGGGACAACCGGTACGTCATCTTTAAGGTGCACTGCCTCAACGCATTATGAGATCATAGTTCCCCTGCTAACATCAAGCTGTGCTTCATTCTTTGCAGGATGGTGAGAGGTGGAGCATTTCAGCCATACTTACCAGACAAGGACTCCCTGCAGGGCTGGGTGGGCTCGGCATCATCAGGACATGATGGAAGCTTGCCAGGCTTGCACACAGCCCAGGAAGCCTTACTGACGCCGGTGTGTGATACGGGTTACTCTTATGTGCTGCTTGGGCACTTCCTGAAGGGCACGCAGCCTTTTGACAAGGGGCTGGGCTCCTCTCATCAGGAGACGGGCCAACAAGCTTGGGAGCAGGAGCAGAGGCGAGGCCAGGTCAGGTTGCAATGCCAACCCCTCGCCGCTTCCTGCGCCTGGAGAGGGAAAACATCTTCATTTTGTTAACTTTTTTTTTTGTTTTTGAAAACTTAAATTTATATCCAGCCCTTTACTTTTTTCAAATCACAATCATCTGTACTTTTTAATCTTTTTAACGAGTCAACAATCATCAGGCCTGATGATTGGTCATTTTGATAAATTCAGAGACCCACACTAAAAGGATTTTTTCAAGTGAAAAAATTGTTTAACATTTATTTCTCCAATTCAAGAAAGCATCTTAAGCATTCAAAGTTGATAGAGATCATTATTTGATTGTATTTTATTATTTTTTCTTTCTTCAGAAAGAAGACAAGGCAGACTTCTCTGCTGAGGGAAAATGTGTTGAAGAACGCGGAATTGCACTCTCTAGAAAAGTAAGATGTTTCACCTTTTCCATGAGTCACACCTGAATTTTCAGTTTCATGTATGCTATTTTCATTCCACATAGTGAAATCATTCATTTAAAAGTACCATAAAGGATATTGGTCTGTTTTAAACAATGAAACAGATATTGCATTTGCACAGCATTTGTTTTCAAAGATGTAGTATCACATTAACTACTTTAGGTTTTACGTTTCCAGATAAATATGCATTAGCCAGTGGAAGGATAGGCTTAGTTTCTGAACTAAATACTTGCAGGCTTTTTTTTATTAATTATTTCAGAAATATACAGGTAACTTTCTCATTACCCCTGCTGTGTTTTTGTGTGCACAAAAGCTTGTCAACAATCCAGTTGTTCAGTTTAACTTCCGAGGTTTTCTAAACGTTGCAGGATCTTGTTGAGTAGAAAAATATGGTCAATGCTTGAGTAGCATTTACCAGCTGAGAAAAATGAATGAGAATGCGTTGTAATGATGTCATAAAATAGATCAAATGTGATTGTGTAAGAGACTTATTTAAACTCAGCACAGTAAAGGCATGGTGGATTTGCTCAAGGTTATTGTGATACCAAAATCTCACACCAATCATACCATCACACAAACATTACGGGTCTGAACTCGTAATGTCTGACTCTTGTCATCGTAGATCAGCTACATAGAGTGAAACACACTGACGATCATACATAGAAGCCACAAGGAATTTTGTTCAGTTAAACAGATATATTAAAAAAACAACTATGACTCAGATCTTTCAAAAAATGAGAAATTTCATATAAAACAAAAAACAAAATGAGTTAATTTGGTGCCTGATTTGGTTGGTTGACTGCTAAAGCTCTTTGAGACCCTGAACATGTGAGCCATAGTTAGTTTCCTACTCTGGTTTCAGCACGTAACTGGACCAAGTGTTGTCTCCTTCCTTCCTCCCACCCTCCTTACTCCAGGTGGGGATGGATGTAAGAAAGGGTGCTCAGTCATTGCAGCGCACCAGTCTCCGGAGAGTTAAACACTGAAATACAAATACTGCCCGGTCCTCCAGGTACGGGACAACAAGCACTTGTGCATCCCAGTGCTTGGACAATAACCTGTGTGGTGACTGCTACCAATCTGATAGAGCCTAATAGTTTCTTACACCAACTTTGTTTTTATTTATTTATTTAGTTTTGTTTGTTGTTGTTGTTGTTTTTGTTGTTGTTGTTCAAAGTTAGAATCCCTTTTTGTAATGCTTTGAGTGAAAATGTTTGGTTGTTGTGTAAAATGCGCAGTCTGCAAGGATTTGACAGTCATTTAAATTCTATTCTAAACAAATTAAATACAAAGACATGAAGCTTTTCCTTTTTATTTGAAATATAAGTGGTTAATTCTATGCGATTGCCATGAACATGCTTCAGAAATGACAGATTACTACTTTTTACATCAACTGTAGGAAATAAAGTTGATTTTAAGCCTAAAAAAAACTTACTATAGCTGAAGCATAGAAAGAAAAGAAGTTAAGAAAAAACAATGAAGTAAGCTTAAATTTGGGAATGGAAAATGATAGCATTTAGAAATGAAAATATTGTGGTAAAACCTACAAAAGAGACTGTTGTTTGCCTGCCTCCTGTGAGCATACCAGCACTTGTGGCAGCCTACATTCTTTTATGCAGACTACAAAGCAGTAGCCATACTATGGTTAATATGTGCACTCCTACTACCTGTTGTCAACTCTAGTGGTATTTGACAATGATTATATTCCGATTCTTTCATTTTGAAATTCATTGCTGCAAATTTAGCAAATCCATGGTGTCCTGTTTCTCCTGTTTTCTGTTTCAGTGTTTGCAAATCATAACAGCATTTTACACAGCTTCCCAGCCTTTTCTGAAAACTTGATGATGTCATTGTCTACTCCTTCATTATAAAATTTTAGAAGGCCAAAATCATTTTGAATGCATATTGAATCTGTTTTTATATTGTTATTGTTGGGGGGGGGGGTTTCAGGACCGGAAACCCACTGCCAAAACACCCACCACAAAAACACGACCGGAACGGAGATGGAAATGAAGAAGAAGGAGAAGAAGAAGTGGGGAGCAAGTGGAGAAAATATACCAGGACAACCAGAAACATCCTCAACCTGTGATCATGAAGCACCACAAAACAAAAGAAGATGAAAACAAAAAGAGGAGTTGAACTTGTAGTTTTATAACATTTGTAAAGAAAAATATAACTAAACAGAGGCATGGTCATTCATTTTTATACAAAAAAGAAAAACTATCAATGTTCGTAAAACAACTAAGAAAAAAAGCAACAAAGTGCTTCCTGTGAACTGTAATCGCATGATAACTTCTGGTGCATGCCCTTTGACCTTTTGAACTGTCATTATCTACAAACTGAAGGAGTAAAAACTGAAGGTACAGGGGCTGGGCCGTGCATGGGTCATAAGACCTTTTGAAGGACCTCATGCCCACCAACTGGAGTCGTTTGTCAGCGAGTTGAGTCCATTAACACTGCAGCCAAACAAAAAAACAAACAAACAAAAAAAAATACACAACTCCCTCAAAGGATGGCTGTATATGCAGCAAAGCCTCTGCTGAGCCAGCGCTTCTGTCATCGGACCCTTTCTCCTCTTATTCTTAATGTGATATATGCACTCTATGCTCTGTGGACATGTGTGTGCGTGCGTGTGTTTAAATTGCTCTGCAGCATGTGTTACCTTGCTTCGGGCTCTGCGTTGAGCCTCGCCTGCCCTCCCCTGATTGGCTTGTTGTCTCTGTGATGTCACGGCGTGCTCGACCTCTGCAAAGAGAAAGCCGCTGGCTCTTCCCCGCTTGTGGGTTCTCGTCTGCGTGTGTCTATGTTTTTATTTAGATTTATCCTTAAATGAGTTTGCTTCCTCTTCGGTATATGTCCGCTTTGGTTCTCCACTTTATTTGACTTTGGTAGAGAACTGAATCTCTTTAATTCCCTCGTGTCTTCAGGAGTAATGTGTTTTAAAGACATCGGAATGTTTTCCTTGGGAATGAGTCGGTTGCTTGACGCCATTGCACAGCAGCTCTGATAAATATCTTGACTTTTTCCTTCCTTATGAGCTTTTTCTGTTTTTTCTTGGTAGCATATCTCTTTCTGAGCCATCTTTATTGGTAGCCCTCGTTTATATGCAGTGAAAATCGCAGGTCTCTTCTATCCATTTTACTTCTCTGCTTCATCTTTTTTATCTGTTTGTTTCAGCTGCGGCATCTTGCTGTCAAATATTTATTCACCCATTCAATACAAAAGACATAGAAGAAATACTGAAGAAGTTGACTTTTAAGGCATTGCTTGGAAAATTCCTGGCAAGTGTGAAGTTGCAGGTGACAAAATGTAAAGCGTGGACAGAGAGGTAGCACTGTGACTGTCCGGTTATCACTGACCCCAGACTCGTGAACTTTCTGTATGTGGCTTGCAAAGGTATTTATACCTCGTGAACATTTTCTCATTTTAGAACTTCAATGCATTGCATTGAGATTTTACATAATGATGAAACAGAAAGTATTGCATAATAGGTAAAAGGATATGTATGTGTTGTAAATGTTTTGTTACAAATGAAGTATAGGATGCATTTTCAATTGCAGCCCTGCAATTACAGGTTGCACACTTTTTTTTCTGTGCAACAAGTTTTCTCATTAAGTCATCATTTTTTATTTAAAGCGCACCTTTTAGGCTTGTTGTTAACAAATGGCAAAAACAGTGCTACATGTGTCAGAAAACATCCCCAAAATATACACTGAAGTTTGTAGTTGTCACAGTCACATGACAAAATGTGAAGATGTTTTATATAAATACCTTTGCAAACTTGAGGACATTCAGATATAGAACATGAAAAAGCACATAAACAAAATAAACATATGGTTGAAAGATCAGAATGTCAGACAGCTTTGCCACAGCAATAATACCTAACAAAAAGAAAAGATGATTGTCCAGCAATTTTGATCTCTGATGTATTTTTTTTATTATAGTTACTCATTATTTAAAACACTAATGTAGAAAATCTAATTTCGCTGAAGTTATTTTTAAAAAGTTTGTTTGTTGAGATGGAGTCACCTAAATTCGGTTTTGCTTTCACTGAGTTTTTAAGGCTATTAGTGTTTCACACATAAAAAAATAAATAAAAAATCAAGCTCACATTACTGAAAATCACGTATCTTTTAACAATTTATGCAGAAACCAGACAGCAGCACTATGTAGATTTTGTATCACAGTAGCACACATTTCTGGATCGTCTCAGCACTATTTTATCCCACAAGTACTGTAAATGCTACTGTAGCCTGAATGAGTGCAGCACAGAATGAATGCACATATTTTTCATATGCTCTCCATGCAAGCAACCTTCATCAGATAATAGCACATGTTTTCTAACATCATATTTTACACTCAGGTTTTTTTTTTTTTTTTTTTTTGCTCTGTAAAATGAAAATGGGGTGGAAATACAGATCGACAGATCGCTCGATGGAAAAGGAGGATGACTCTAGGAAGGAGTACCGGAAACGAGGGTCGTGAATTTTGTAGTCCTTTTAAAGAGTGACATCTATGTCTTTTTTTTTTTTCATTATTATTGTTATTTTGGGGGACCACATGTAACAGGTTTGTGTACAGATGTGTGTCAGAGTATATTGATTAAGATGACACCAAAAAGTAGTTTTTAATGCATCTGAATGAGTCCTCCTGCTGCAGCCCTGGCAAATGGGTTTTGTTTATCCTACGTCATTTTAACACTTGATGAACAAAAACTAACCAGAAGCACAGGGATAACTGCATTTATTTGTTTATTCTTTTTTTTTCTTTTCAATGTTTGAGTTGAAATCCAGCTGCTGCCAGTAAAATTACTGGCAGCAGCATAATCTTACATTGAAGATTGTAGAGAAATATAACTTTGGGGGAGGCGAAACCTTGCCTCCAGAATTAACCTGTGCCACAATTACTGGAACCTCTGTCAATTAAAATAGAAATAAAATAAATTGCATTTTATGCTTCAATGAGTAGCATTTTGAGGTTACTGTGTGTCTATAGCAACCACTGGACATTACCTACATGCTAATGTGAGGCATGCGGGAAGAATATCTCGTCAGTCCATCTGTCACAAACTTAAACTTGTAGAGCTTGCTAAGCTCTGATGTAACTTTAACTGATAAATGTAAATGGAGAGCTTCTCTTAACAGCACTGGAAACCTTGTTATAGTGCATTGCATCATCATTTCTCTAACTCTATTAGATTATGCTACTGCAATAAAAGATTAATTTGTTTGAAAGACTTTTATGTATCTTTACCCAGTGAATGTGGAGAATCCTCCTTGGAAGCCCTGTATACTCTCACCAAATCAGCTTTATCTGGATGAAACAGGGCCCAGATCCTCACTATCATTCAACTATATTTTATTCACTCATTTTCAGAGTACAAATAATATCAGTCAGCACTATAGTCTGTACTCCAATGTGAAATACATTTTGTGTTGTACCTTTGTTAAAGTAGCACTATCACAAATATTCACTCTGTACCTCCACCATTTAGTCCTTTTATTGATAATGGTAGCTTTAAAATGAAACCATTTGACCTAAGACATGTTGTGAGGCACAAAGCCAAAATTTCTAGATCAGTTTCACAGATTGTGTAAAGTAATTTGTAACACTGTTTTGTGTTTTTTTTTTTTTTTTTTTTTTGTGGTAAGAGTTGAAACTGTCAGTCATACATTTGAAAAGGTTGACAGCTGTAAAGTTATTTAGGGCAGTGGTTCCCAAACTGGAGGTCATGACCCTTCTGTGGATGATGAAAGACCATGTAGTGGGATTTCATCATCAACTTAATTTTTAAAAAAGTAATAAGCCCAGCTTATTTTTGAAACATCTAAATAAAAACAGTACTCGGCTTGAGGCTAGCGTATCTGTCATTCCCCTTGCCAGCCCCTAAGTGGTAAAAGGATACCATTATTGTTGGTAACCTGTAAGGTTTCACTAAATTAAGCAAAACTAAAATCTCAAAGATGAATTGCATACCATATTTTTGCTTCACATTCAGTGGCAGATCATTGATTTAAAATTCACAAGACATGCACTTCATTTTATTGTTTCTTTTCAGAGAGCTTGTGGCACCCATATTAAGAACAACCACTCCTCAAATTTCTTGTACTGCTCACTTATAAGAAAATATGTCAAACAATTTTCTTCTTTAAATTTGTTTCCTCTTTGAGAAGAACTCTCTTATACAATGGTAAACGTCCCTGCCACCATGTTTGTCTGATTGGTGTGAAAGTGTGTGAGCATGACAACACTTGGTTCCAAACCTTGTCGGATCAGAAGAAGAAAGAAGACATTTCTACCAAGCATGTGAGTGAAGAGGGTGTGTAACCTACGACAATGTATTTTAAAACGAGTATTGTAAAATATTAACTGTTGCAAAGAATAGAGATCACCTATACTCCTTTAGACTGGATACATGACAGTGTAAACGCAATATCATATAACTATCCTAAGGAATGCAACCGCGCACATGCACAAAAAAAAGATGGTTTTTATGAAAATGTATGTATAAATATATGACAAAATATATTTAATTAGAATGCTATGCACCCTCCTAGAGTTGTTATGGATGTTCTTTAAGCATTATCTAGTTTAGGCCGACACCCACATCTTGGGGAATGTAGAGGCTTTGTAGCTATGATCATTTGTTTTCTTTTCTTTTGTATTGTCCTGGAGAGGATAAACAAACGTGAATATGTATACAAGCCTTTGGATCAAACATGAAGATATGTATAGATCATGTTACCCTGTACACCAGCTCTTACCATTTACAAGACTTAATAAACAGAAAAGATGGGACATAACTTTGTGAGAGTTTCTTTTGTAGTTTAATGCCTACTGGTTGTGTGTTTTAATATTTTAATTGGCAAAAGTTCTGGGGACTTGTGTTAATTCAGTTGTGAATTTAAAATGATCAAGACTAATTGATTTTCAAGACTTGCAAATGGATGTTCCCAGATCTCTTGTATCCATTGATCCATATTTTGCAAACAAGTATGGACAAAATATATGTATTCTGTACGTGCAAGACATGACAAAGGGGATGTACAGATGTGATTACAGTAAATTACATCTAATTATACATAATGGCATCATAAAGTATTAATTAAAATACTTCCTTACCCTTGAGTCGAGTCACCATGATTCTCTAAAAAGGTCAAATTAGGTGTTTAATACAAATATTCATGTAACTTGTTCATTTTCTTGTTTGACAGCCAGCAAAGGGAAAACTACATTTCCCAAAACCATCGTGTTCTGACGCCCCCCGTTTTCAGCCAATCAGAGCGCTGCGCTCACGTGATGTTTTGTGGGAATGCTGTCACTTGTTTAGAGTTTTCCCTCTCAACCACGTGGAGTGACGGTTCTCACTCATTGAAATCAGAGGCTTTTACATTCTTATTATAATTATTTAGTTTTGTTTTGACCGTGCTCGGCATCGACGCTGCCCCGTGTGTGAGATGTCAGCAGCGGGTCAGCAGACCTCCAGGAGCCTGGAGATCCCCGCTGTCCGGAGGATCGCCATCCACGATGCAGCCCTCATGCCCAAGGAGTACTCCACGACCCCGGGGGGAACTCTGTTCAGCACCACGCCAGGAGGTAAACATGGCTGGACCCTGACAGATGGTGGAAAGTTCAGGATTTGTGTGCGTGTGTTTGTTTTTGGATTGTTAGGTTATAAACTTCAGATTCAGTTAACATTAACCAGATAAGGAAAACATGCTGTCAGGCATAAACTATTTATAGTGCGGCTCTTTCAGCTGCTGCAGAATCATGTTTACAAGAGGAGGGCTCAATTGTGTAATAGCCTACTAAACATTATGGAGATTCATTCAGTTGTCTCTTGAAAAAACAAAAATGTAAAGGACGCACTGAAAGCTATATTTTTGCTGTCTTTATTACTCTGTTCAAAACTGTTCTTCAGTGATGAAATGGACAGTATTTTTGCTGTAGATTTTGAGTTTTTCCACAGTAGAACTATTTTATTCTCAGCTCTTGTGTTTTGTATGTTGACACAGTTTTGTAAGAATCACTGTTACTGAAATTACTGACAAACTCAACCATTATTCTACCTTACAATGCAATGGGTGATGTATTTTTTTCTGAAATTATTACAGAAGGTTAAACATTAGAGATGCAACATGTGTTCACAGTCAATGCTCTCTTAAACAGAAAGTCTTCAATCTACTGCTGTAAAATAAAATAATGTGTTAGTTTTATTGTGTTAATTTAATATTTATTTTACAGTGAAAGTCTATGTGTTGATGTTGGCAATGAAAACTTAAATAAAAAGAGAATGCATATCTTTATTTTCATTTTAGGATGAATGCTTCTGCACAAAGTCCTAACCAGACATCAATAAGCTCTCAATTAAAGACATCCTGGGCCCTCCTGGGGACATTTCCAGCATGGGCCCTTTTGTTAATGAAAAGTGTTATCCCATCCTACTTGCTGTGAAAATTTGGCTCAGATGCACATGCTCGTTTTCACTGATAACATGTTCTGTAACATTACCAGCTCAGACCGGTTGAACACATAACACACGTTGTTAAAGTTTGGGACTGAAGTCTAGATTCTCGGTCATAGGAATCCATGGAGTTACTATTTTCCTAGATGAGAAAATAGTAACTGACTTGTCACTGACTAACAGCGTTTTTCATGCATTTCAACATTCTTGCATCCAATCAAAAAATTGTTCCCTTAATTGTACTAGAATAATCACTGAAAAAATTTGGTGCCATCCCTATGAACATTTTTTTTTTACTTCCATCGTTCTCCCCACATTTGTTGGAAAATCAAACTGAAATATATAAAACATATATAGATTATTAGAAATCCAATGGACTTTAGCACATCTTTAGTTAGGTATTTTTTAACTCTTGTTCTGTCTAAATCCTGATGTCAAAACTGTCAAATTAAGATTAAAGTTTCTACTTTTAAAATTTCACCAACTGCCCCGGTGCATAAAGAAAGATTACTTCTCCAAATTAAAAGTCCTCATATTCCACAAATATTGACACTAAATAAACACAAAATTTTACAAAATAGTCAGATTGTTTTGAAAAAAGGGATCTATCAATCATGTTTGGCCTGAAACATGATCTGCTTATAAGGATCCTGCTTATCTTTGCTCTACAAAAAGGGTATCTCATGCTGGTATCCTAATTCTGTGTTTGACTTGATTTAATCAAGGCTGCGTCTGGCGTCGTTGCAGCCAAACTGATGAAATAGGAATCTGTGTTTGTTTGACTCAACCATATGCACGGGTGAGTGAGTGCACCCACGTCTGCTTTTGAGAAAAAGTGACGGCATGTTTGTTGTCCTGCGTGCTATGAATTTAAAAACATGGCAAACCATGTTAGAAAAAGCCAAATGTCTTTTGTTTATTTATTTTAGACAACTTTAAAGATGTGATAAAAGGTGAAGTTGCACCAAAAATGATTTTTAATTTAATAAATGTATTGTGGATTTTTGGATACTTGTACGAGCTATAAAGTTTTTCTTGGTGGAAAAAACCTTTAATATACTTCTAAAATCAGCTGCTGATTCCTTTGATTTTTATAGTCGTGTTTAAAACACAACTCAACAATAAATGTTCATGAACATAACTTTTGCCCCCTGTGTTATTGCCGCCACCTGCAGGCACCAGAATCATATACGACAGGAAGTTCCTGCTGCAGTGTCGGACCTCTCCTCTGACCCGTACGCCTCCTAAACTTCCCGATATTCCAGGAGTCACAAGGCCGCTTGACCCAGAGTCATCCAGTAATGAAAACCAGCCTGAAGAATTACCCAGCAACAACGCAGACGACCACAGCCTGAACACAGAGGAGAACTCTGGTACTGTTTTTGTTTTGTTTTAATACAGCTGATTTTGTACTCTCCTATTTCTGTCAGCTAAATGTAATATATTGTTTTTCTGTCTTACAGCGGAAGACGCCCAGTTTGAAATGGACATCTAAATGTTAGCAGCAGTAAGCTATGAAGTATTGCTAACATTTATGTGGTTATGAAATAGTTGAAACTGCAAGTTCATTCTAAGTCAGCTTTATAATCTGACAGAAAACAGCCATGTATTTTCTAATGTCAAGTATTTGAAAAATGTTGAACCTAAAACATTAACTAACACTGTTTTTTTCACTTTGTTAAATGTATGACACGTAATTCCTTAAATTGTTTTTTTTTGTTTGTTTTTGTTTTTATGTGACTTATATTTACTTTGAAAATATGATATAAAGTCAATTATTAGGACTAGTGTTGTTGGGAAGCTTGGTGTGAAATCTGTGATAACTTTTATGGCCACATGAGGGCAGCAGACAAAAGTTTCATGGTTTGAGATCCCGTTGTGTTTGTCAATTTCAAGTCAATTTATTTGCATTACTTTGGTTGTTTGAACACTAAGTGATTGTGAAGTTACATAAATTATCAGCAGAGGTCTTATTAATGTCTGACTGCATTTTATTGTCACTCATCAGTTGTTTGTTCCTTAATTTCCAAGATCATTTTAGAATCATTTCATACATTTTTTAAATGCAAATTGAAACCTCAACCGAAATGGTATAGTGAAATATTTCTTGGCTGGAAATGTTACATAATAAGCTTATAGTTGTTACAAACTATAAGCTTAGAAAAACTGTATGAATTTTTTTTTACTGTGAACATCATTAAAAGTCACTGTTAATGCATACCTGTGATGTTTTTTTTTTCTTACTATGTATCAGGAAGTCCATAAAAAAAAGTGCAACCATTAAAAAAACTATTTGAAGCAAAACTGGACACTGCAATAGATCATTTGCCCAAAACATAACAGTATATCCACCAAGGGCTGGCTGAGAAATAAGAAACATCTCACTGCTGAAACTGACCAGTATGAGAGACTAGTTGATGATTTGAGGGTAGGGCATTCTTATATAACCCAGTCATATACTGCAATACAAAAAATAGGTTAATAATACAAAATACATTAGCATTAAAATTAACCTTAATCCAAAATTTTTGGGTGGAAAAAGCTGATGAAACAGGATTGGTCCTATAAAAATGTTCTAAAACCATTTTTTTTGTAGTAAAACAGAACAATTCTTATTCAACATTGTCTTAATTTATTGTATTATCAAACATAGCAGACATACAGATGGGTCAGTATGACCCAAACCTTCCAGTTCTACTATTCTTTATTTTTTCATCAGCATGAAAAAATAAGTCACTGAACATAAAATGAGTAGAGCTTGTGCATAAGAGGCACAACTTGATGTATTTGGAAAAACCTAATAGCGCTTCTGTAAATAGAGTCCATCTCAACTCCAGCTATTACCTCCCTAATGATTTCATTTCTCTTGCTTTGGTCCATGTTTGAGCTTAGATGTAAAGTGCCTGTAATTTTTTTTATCCACTTTTTGTTTGCTCTCAGTGGCAGCCACACTCCTCCACGATCATATTGTCATGATGCCTCATCACCATCCTCCCGTTCTCATGGTAAAGCATCGAAAGCGGTGTCAGGCGAGTGGGCACACAAGACAGACTTGGTACCTTGTCTGGTTGGTGTAGCTTCAACAGGCTCTGTGAGAAAACACAGAAAATTGTTAGATCATATCTCCTCAAATAGGTATTGGTATCATTAGATATGTATACTGCAGCATTTTAGCCTCACCTGCATGTATGCATGGTTAGTCGGAGCGAAGGTCTCATCTACAGGTGTAGGACATGTCCCTTCACAGCGATAAGCATTGTACCGTTTGGGATAGACGATCCACTCACTCCAGTTGAACTTCTCAAAGTCCATCCACATGTCCTCCTTCCTGCAGAGATCACTTTGCTTCTCCTTCCTTGCAGTGTTTCCCTGTCTCTGCCATTTCTGTCCATACCTCTTTTCCCTGTGGCCCCTCATCCTGGCGGTGGGCACCCTGTCCAGGTTGACGTACTTGGAGTGTTCTGCTGTGCGGATCAGGGTTGGCATTCGCTGGCTGCGTGGGCTCTGCCTGGAGAAGACCACTATCATCACCCTATTGGCCGTTGGGTGCTGGATTCTCTGCTGCTCATGACCGTCTTTCACCTGAGCTACATCCTCCTCCATTCTCTGAACTGGGGGTCCCTGATAAAGCCAGCGAAGGATCATTTTGGTCATGTTGAATACTTTCCATGGTGAGATTGAGACCACTGAGCGTGGAGGAGCTCTCAGGTGTCCCAGAAGAAGCCTGCTCTCAGAGCAGTCCGTATCAGGACATCGTCTCCAGTTGGACTGATAGATGTCTACAGAGGCAGCGGAAGACTGTGTGAAGGCAGGCTGGCGGATGTGGAGCTCAGCCAGGTGGACGTTGTCACTTGAAGACATGGAGGACAAGTCGAAGATAACTGACCATTTCTCACCGATCTGATGGCAGCCTGGAGAATAAAAAATAGAAATTTTGACAAAAATGCAAAAGAAGACTCCAAATTTTTCATCTTATTGGAAACTCGCTGGTCAAATAATTTTTTTAAAAAAGGAATAGAATGCAACAGCATTTCTACCTATTGACTGAAGACAATGAGACAGATGTTTCACTATAAAGCTGAATAGGAGCACTTACTCACTTTTAGCGACTATGCTGATCACAGAGTCGGATGCGTGGAGGACGGGGATGCCCTCCCTCTGGATGCTGATGATGTCTGCCGAAGATCTGGTCTGATCCTCGGGCCTCATCGTCCAATAGAGCTGCATCATGTACACCGGAAGCCTGTTTCCGATGCGTGTGGAGCCCACGGAGCGACCCGCCATCCCTAGGAACAGCGCGTCGGGAAGCATCCCGTGGAATGGCTGCGCACAGAGACCCAAAATCAAATCCACCAGAAGAAAACACCCAAACTCCACAGTGAGACCAGTCATAGTTCCCATTTGTGATGAAGATGGTTCCACGAGCAGAAGCAGACTGGTCCCCGCGGGATGCTGCCACACAGTTTTATAATCGTCCTGTAGTCCTTTGAAGAGAAGCATCAAGGCCCCGGATGTCTCTGATGAAAGGTCGTCATGAACCGAAACCAAAATGCTCTTTGAAGTGGATCATTGGTTGTGAAAACTGCAAAAGGAGCTGCTGACTGCTTTTCTCTGCGTTACAGATCCCTTGACTGCAGTGATTAAAGAGACCATGAGTTAATCAGGTGGACGAGCGCTTTCTTTGTTAAAGGCCTTGACATGCTTGGAGTCTGTGTCTCTCTCTCTGCAAACAGAGAGAGAGACACAGGTACTCAAAAACATATCAAGAAATCATAGACATGTTATTTTAATTATCACAGTTTATAGGGAAAGTCATGTTTGAAGAACATTTTTAATGCATTTCCTTTAAATATTTTCTAGACCTGTTTTGAAGTCTACACTTTGGCCACTTTAATTATTGATGTAATCCTACTTCTTTGAATATTAAGGGCTGCTAATTGTCACCCATTTAAAATACAAACATCGCACTTACGTTCTAAGAAAGAGAGTAAAACTTTGTACTTTTCAAAAAACTTTTCTATTTATTTAAAACTTTTAAATATGTATTTGCTCCAGGCACGTGTTTCCGTTGCATAATTGGACTCTTCTTTAATTGTACGAGATAAATTTGACCGGAAGTCAGTTTCTCTGCGGTAATCACGCGTCACAAACGCACCTGCTGCAGCACAAACTGTTTAAAAGCTCAATCTCAGGTGTTGCTGTTTGTTCGAATGAGTCGCGGGGCCGACATGGACCTGCGCCTGGTCGTTTGCTTGATTTTTCTGCCGAATCTAAGATTTCCCTCTGGTAAGTTCAGTTTCAGTCGAAAAGTCGCAGTTTTCTGGCTTCACGTTCGTATTGCGACACAAACATCCTCAAAAATGCGCGCGGCTTCTGCGCTTTCCTCGATGTCTGCTTTGTTTTGTTTGAGTTGTTTTTAATTCTCCGTTTAAAAATCTAAAAGCCGATGAGTTCATGATAGACGAGTAATAAAAGGAGAAACGAGTCAAATGGGCATTGTACCTGCGACCTCTCCGCTTTACATTATAAGAGATGTAATGAATAGATTACCCAGTGGTTTATTTAGCATTCGTTTGTTTTCTTCCCTAAGTGACTGGCAGATAATTAAAACCTACAATTTCTTTTCTCAAACTTGAATTGTAAAACTAATTTGAAGAGGGATTTTTTTTTTCCTTGTTTGAAGTTTCTAAATGCATTTGTACACTAAAAGGTATTTTAGTACCTATGTATATATTCAATAACTTTCTATTTAATGGAAAAATTAAAGCAACTAATGCTCTTAAAGCACCATTTGCTTTATGAAAAATATTTGGGGTATCTTCATTGTGGGCTCCATTATCCCTCTTGCCTCTGCCCCTTTTTATACATTTTACTTCCACTCAACTTTTAATTAATATGCTTCCCCAGTTTTGTGAACAGTCATAACATTTATGTTTAACTTTCTTTTTCCCCCAATGTGTGTTTATTTTATTTTTTTTTTTTTATCAACCCTGAATAATTTACTTTTTATGTGACTCTGTAACCTGGTCTTTTGATAAATGCTCAAGTGGAAAAACTTCATTTATTTATTTTTTTTTGCTTGTGAGAAATTCTTTTAAAGTGAGAATAATTTGCACTGTGCTTTCTATAATTTAATTTGGGCGTGAACATAATCTGTGATCAAAGGCTATGATTACAACTTTTCTAATATGCACTCTAACCTTGTCTTTGTCTGTAGGCCAACGATTGGCTTGCTCTGAGGATCAGTGGCAGTGTGATGATGGAACCTGTATTACTGCTGTGTGGAGATGTGATGGAGAAGGAGACTGTCTGGATGGATCTGATGAAATGGACTGTAATGGTATGTCAAACTTTCAAAACAAGGTTGTCAAAGAACTGTCAGATTTTACATGACATCTGCTTTAACTTTTTCTTGTTGCAATCAGCCTCCACAGACTTGGATTGTCCAGCTGGTCAGTTTCCATGCATGGACTCTGTTGGCTGTGTAGACATGTCAGCTCGCTGTGATGGACAGAGGCAGTGTCCCACTGGTTCTGATGAGGAGGACTGTCCAGCCACAGAAGGCTGTCTGGAATCTGAGTGGATGTGTGGAAACTACATCTGTATCCCCAAAGAACTGCACTGCAATGGACAAAATGACTGCATGGACAACTCTGATGAAGAAGACTGTGGTGAGAGACACAAAGGGCTGAAATGGTTTGTGTGGCTTGATGGATGGTTGCAAGATTAACTTAAATGAGTTTTCTTAAGAAAACTTGCTCTCTGGAAAAAATATGTGCCAAATGGTTTTCATTGGCTATGTTTGAGAACTTTTTTCAGACTGGAAATGAATATTAGAAATATTGTAATTCCACTAAGGGAACCAAAACTTTGGGTGGAGAAAGTACCATAATTGGTAATTGCCAATCAAATCTTCCATTAGTTCTTATTTTGTGCCTTTGTGGTGATATCAGGATTTTCTGGGGTAGTTGGAAAGTAAACTTTTTAAGTGTGTTTTCTGACTTGGAATGATAGAAATTTTCAGGAGTTTTTCTTGGTTGGGTTGTGCCAACAGGGTTTTTCTCATGTTTTTTTTTTTCCAGGTAAATGTAGTGAGAATGGCCTTAGGTGTCCTGAGGGAAAGTGTCTGTCAGCTGAGCTAAGGTGTGACGGAGAGGTTCACTGTTCTGATGGCAGTGACGAGCCCATAACCTGCGGTAAGCCTGACTACATGAACTCAAGTTCTGTAAACAAGACTCTTTACTTTGTAACCACTGTTGCGTTGCATTCGCTTTAGGTCGTACCTGCTCTTTGTACAATGGCGGCTGCAGCCATAAATGCACAGATGAAACCTGGGGAGTTTGGTGCATTTGTCCTGTTGGACATAAGCTCTCCGCTAATGGTGCTGTTTGTGAAGGTGAGTGGGTCATCGTACCCTGAATGAATGATCCTTCCTTTTTGAATATGTTGAATTAAAATGTCTGTCACTGGTTGGTTTAGCCATAATGCTCTTGGTCACAACCAACTTCAACCTTTTTGCATTTGAATCTCAAACCCATTTTTATTGTTAGACTTGGATGAGTGTGCTTCATCTGTTCCTCAATGTGCACATTACTGCACAAACACCATTGGATCTTACTACTGCCACTGCAGAGAGGGGTTTAAACTCAATGGAGATGGTACCTGTCAAGCTTTAGGTAAAGTTTTTTGTTTATTTCCAAACTCAATGTTTCTCTAAATGTGTATTTATTTTGGTCAAAGTAGACATTTGGACAAAATATGTTGGACTTAAATACTTTTGTTAAATAAATTTGAACCCCCCAAAAAAGCACTAAAGTATTCTACCAAAGCACACACTCTTTGTACAACTGTTTTTGACTCCATCAGGCAATGCTACCCAACTGCTGATGATGGAGAGGAACAGTATAGGACTTCTGAATGTAAAATCCAAACAGTTCACCGCCATTAAGACCCCAGTGTCAGACCCAGTGGCATCAACATACGACATTACTAGGGGGTGGTACTACTGGGCCGATGGTAGCGGCAACATTTACAAAACTGATGGCCGGAACACCTGGACAACATTTACTGGTAGGTGCATGCTTATTTTAAGTTTTGAGTGTTGCCACCATGGTCATTATTGGATTCCTGATGAAGCTGCCAAGTAAAAAGAAATGTGTGTTTGCAAAACAAAAAACAGGACCACCTGGAATCAAAGGTCTAGCCTGTGATTGGCTAAATGGATACCTGTTCTGGACCAATAAGAAGACTGAGTCAATCTACATGCAGTCAAGTGTCGATAAAAGCTTTACAGCTCTGCTGAGCAAATATGTCAGTCCATCAGAATTGGTGCTTCTACCCATTGAGAGGTGAGTACAACTACCTGTTTAAATGCTCATTATCAATTATTAGAATATTAAACCTTTTTTCTATACCCTTGTTAGGTTTATGTTCTGGATCAACAAAGGTCTGGGTGACAGAGTGACTTTAGAGAGGTCCTGGATGGATGGATCAGAGAGAAGCACTCTCGTGGTTCTTACTGCCCAGTTTGCCCACAGCCTCACAGCTGATGTAGCTGCTAGAAGACTCTACTGGATCAGTGACTCAAAGAAGGTAAGTTCTGGAAAGCAACAGTATAGGATGGCCATCATTTGAGGCATGTTTAGGATTTGTCCCCTTTTGAGGTTGCTTTGGAAATTCAGCTAAACTGCAAAAGCCCATCCAAAAACCCTAAACTGGCTATTTGAATGGTACTTTTCACTCAGATTTCCTACTGAACCAATCTTTAGGTAAATGTGATGTAGCACAAGTCGGAAGCAATAACACTGCTTTACTATCTATACAGTTTCATTTTAAGTGTCTTGCTTTATTAACAATGCTCGTTTTAATTCAATATTAAGTTGTTCTCAGACAACTGTCCAGCTATTGCTAGGTGTTTTGATATTTTGTAGTCAATACTTTTCTGGGTATTTTATTGGATTTTGTTGCATTTCCAATTTAAGAACACTTTGAGAAAGCAATTGGGTCCAAAGTGATTACTTATTAAAAAAAAAACAAACAAAGGTTGTTTAAAACCTTCATAGTTCAGTAGACCCTTGAAATGCTTGTGAGCAGTGGCCTAAACTACCACACTTTCTCTGCCTTATTTTCTCATGATTTCCTAGACTTGGACCTAAATATCAACATTTTGAATGTTTCTAAGACCAAAAAAATGTGCAAACAATACAGCATCTGACAACCTAAATATTTGTCTCTTTCAGTCCGTAGAGACAGTGAAGGCAGATGGGACCGGCCGATACTCTTTCACAGGACTCTTTAACAAGAGACCAGCTTTGAGCCTCGCTGTCTTTGAAGGAATGTTCTTCTGGGTTGATCAAAAGGGACTTTGGCAGGCTCCCCAAGACCAGTCAAAGCCAAATAAGTTCATCAGAAAAACTGACTTGCCTCTGCTGTCGGTCTTCCATGAGCTCCAACAACCAAAAGGTAATTTGTGGATTTAAAATGGGTCTTTCTACATGTTCATACTGATGAGGGAAAATGCCAACTTATATAATTGTTTTGTAATACACCAAAATGTTTTTTTTTTCTTCCTCCAACTGTCTTGAAAACATTTAGGTTCTTCTCCTTGTGCTAAGACTCGTTGTCTCCTCTGTCAACTGACTAAAAACAATCCAGCTGGATTCACCTGTGCTTGTCCATATTTTAAAGTACTGCTGCCTGATGGGACATGTAAATGTAAGTTTATAATAATTTTAGTTTGTAAAATGTACAAAGTGAATTAAATTTTGCGCATAATTGAAATCTTTTCTTTTTAAAGCTTGTGCTGTCACTCATTAGGGGCTGCATTTTCAGAAGAATTTCTGTACTTTATTTTACAGATCCTCAGTTTTTATATGGCACTGCAACAACAATCAGCTTGTTGGAGTTTAAAGGCAGAGAGTCATCTGAAACAGAACTGTTTTCTTCAGAAGAAGGAATCCTGTCTTTTGATGTCAACTGGTACAGAGAATGGTTGTACTGGGCCAACCAAACTGGCCATGTTCAATGCACCAAGCTAACTCTGGACAAGACTGAATTCATTTCCACACCTTTACCAGGTCTTATTTGCAAGAAGCCAAATTGTAGCATAAAAAATGATTATTGCCGTCATGCCAGTTAACTGAAACAAATTGCATTTCACTTTTAGTTTGTCTGCTGTCTGTGGACCAGAGGAGTGGCAACCTATTCTGGGTATCATGTGACCTGAACATCATTGGCACCACTGCAGTCAGTAGTAATTACCCACAGCAGCTGTACCACACCACAAAGGAGATCAGCAGCATTTACCTCGACTGGCTGAGAGGTGGATTGTTCTGGTTGGAGGAGGGTAGGATCTTTGGCATGGGGATGATGGGAGGAAAGGCTGAGGAGCTGCTGCATATGGCAGCAGGAGGAGTGGGAGGGAACGTCGCCTTTGACATCGGAGCCGGCAGTCTCCTCTGGAACTCTAAAAGAGGAGGTTGGGACAAATTTCTTAAATGTCCTGATTTTCTTAAATGTTGCAATATTTAGCAAGTTTTAGATTCAAAGGACAAAGTTCTCTCTTCAGATTCTGCTTGGATTATGAAGCAAGATGAAAAGTAAATGTACTTTTAATCACTGCAGTGACTTGTTCATGAAAAATTTATATTGCCAGCATTTGAAGATTTGTCTTTTAAAGGTAGAATTGTATAACCCAGCCATTTCTGTGTATAAAGAAGTTGTTGCGTGACTTGGAGAATTAAATGCAATGTTTGAATGTAGGCCACAAATTAGTTGAGCTGTTTTTAGCTTTTGTAATTAAAACTAGATTTTTATTGGACCATTGGAGGCCCAACCACTGAATTTGTCTCAAGGTATAGAAACTTTTTGTAGGTGTGATCTGTTAAGGTTTTGTGTGTGGTTATCTTTTCCAGGTCTGACAACATTGAGTTTGCTGAAGGAGAAAAGCCACCAAGCAGGAAGAAGGTGGAACATCTCTGGCTCAGTAGTGGCTGCTTTTGAGCCTTTTCTTTTGTCAATCTCCAACAAAGTGATAACTTTATGGGATCGGCGGGACGGGAGCAAAATTCAGTCAGTTTCTGTGCAAGGTCCAGTGTTGCGCATCGTCACTGTACTCGGGGATGTTCAAACAGGTCAGACACCGTTCTGTTCCTGAGCTTTTGCTTGAATAAAATTCTAACTTGAGCTCACTTATAAGAAACATTGTCAAAATTATTTATTTTTTCCTTAGTGCCTGATACCCAAGTCTGCAATATGCCATCTTGGCCGTGCCATCAGTCGTCCATCTGCCTTCCACAAAATCTGCTCTGCAATGGCAAAAGGGACTGCCCTGATGGAGACGATGAGGAGCTCTGTGTCAGCGCTTGTCCTCCAGGTAATGTGACATGTGATACATTTTAATAGCCAACTCAGGTTTTCATCAGAGGACTATGTCTTCACAAAGTAACCAAACATTTTGTTCAAATTTCAGAAGATTTTATGTGCATGGATAGAAGAAACTGTATTCCTAGAATCCTTCTGTGTGATGGCCGTGCACATTGCCACGATGGCTCCGATGAAGTTGACTGTCCAACAGTTGCAGCGCCTTTATCACGGACAAATGTCTTGAAGTGTCGCAGCGGCTCAGTGATGTGTCAAGATGGCACAGAGTGTGTTCTGTATAGTCATGTCTGTGATGGAGAGGCAGACTGTAAGGATGGATCTGATGAACTGGGATGCAGTAAGTTGAGCAAATTTAAGGGGTTTTTGTTTTAAAACGAGTAACAACTTAAAATGCTTAAATTGTTTCTGCTTTGTTTTTAGGTGCAACTCAAGAACCCATAAGTTCTACGAAGCCAAACAAAAAGCTTCCTGTTACCAAACCTCCTCCCCTCACTCTGCCACCCTGCCTCAGCCCCTCTGTCCTTTGCCCTTTCTTTAAGGCATACATTTGCATTTCCGAGAGTCAGTTTTGTGATGGCATTAAAGACTGTCCAGATGGCTTTGATGAACAGAACTGTGTGGAGAGATGCCTTTTAAGAAGTAAGCCCCACATATTTTGCCAGTGCCGCCTTTTGATTACATTTTACACTGCACACTAAATGTATGTTTTGTAGGTGATTTTCTCTGCAAGAATCATCGGAGCTGTGTGCCGAATAGTGCAGTCTGCGACGGCCGCCGTCACTGCCCTGATGGCTCAGATGAAGTGGACTGTCCAAACGTAGCTCAAGGTGTACCTCATAATGAGTTAAAATGTCGCTTTGGGTCCAAACGTTGCAGAGATGGCCTGTCATGTGTTCTCATGAGCCACGTCTGTGATGGTGAGAGGGACTGTCGGGATGGATCAGATGAAGATGGTTGTGGTAAATATTTATCCTAAACACTGAAAACCTAAAACTTTAATCCACCTGGTATTTGTCATGTTTGAAGTCTTTTCAGAACAAACGAGAACTGATTTCATCAAAAAATGTGAAATAAATGCAAGTTTAAATTGCAACATTTATTTGTTCTGTATCATTTCTAGACTCTCCAGGAATTACAACAATCGCTCCCACAACACCTCCATGCACCAGTCCTTCAGTTCTGTGTCCAGGTTCTTCTATATGCATCAAACCAACACAGATGTGTGACGGGCGGAGAGACTGTCCTGATGGATCTGATGAGAAATGTGTCAAACGGTGCTCTTCTGAGTGTAAGAGCTCCAAAATACATATTGTGACAAAAGATATTTTATATCAAAAGTGTATTGAAACTCATGCAAATTTCTTCTTGTCCTCAATAGCTGATTTCCACTGCAAAGACCGTCGAAGTTGCGTTCCACTGAGCCGAGTGTGTGATGGTCGCTCTCAGTGTAACGATGGTTCAGATGAGCTCAACTGTCCAAGTGAAGTGCCTCCTGCAGCTCCAAATAAAATCCTAAAATGCCACTTTGGTTCCAAACTCTGTCAGGATGGTCTGAGATGTGTCCTTCTCAGCCATATTTGTGATGGAGAGAGAGACTGTCACGATGGATCAGATGAAGCCGGATGTGGTATTTATCCAGAAACTACTTCTGCATTCAAATGTGAGATTCAGACTTGATATTTTTGTCTTTTTTTTCTTTTCTTTTTTTAAATCTAGATGGTGCACAGAGTGGTGCTGTTGAAAATGAGCCACTTACATCTCCGACACTCACTAAAGAAGTAACTCAGCCTCCCACCATGTCTCCATGCACCAGTCCTTCAGTTCTGTGTCCAGGTTCAACAATATGCATCAAACACACACAGATGTGTGATGGAAAGAGGGACTGCCCTGATGGGTCTGATGAAAGATGTATCAAGAGATGTACCTCTGATGGTAAGTATTTCTTTTGTATACATAACATTTTTTTATGCTTTCACTTTTTGTTGTGTGACAACCAGAAACTTGATTGTGAAGGAAATGGAGTCAGATTTTTTTTTTCCACAACTTGTCACCATGAGCAGTGTTCAGCCTCCTTTACTTTGATAAGTGACATTGTGTAAAACAAACTGCTCAGGAGTCAAAAAGTTAAATGGCCTCTTAAATTACACCTGTGTGTAATTCAATCCGTAAACGTATAGCTAGTTCAAGGTCAGCGGTTCATTGAGAACAAATTGCCTCCATGAAGATACAGGAATGTAGACAATTCAGAGAAATGGTTGTGGAGAAAGTTGAAGCAAGGTTAGGTTGGAGAACAATCCCTCACTTACAAAATAGTTTATTCAATTATCTGAAAATCAGGCGATGCAGAGATTTTATGATCTGGTTGGTGAAGGGTGATCAAGCTAATGCCATTTATGTTTTGCAGCTGACTTTCCTTGCAAAGACCGTCGGCGCTGCATCCCAAAGAGCCAAGTTTGTGACGGGCGTTCTCAGTGCACTGATGGCTCGGATGAGGTGAACTGTCGGAGTGCAGTGGTTCAAGCAGCTCCAAAAGAAGTGTTGAAATGTCGCTTCGGCTCCAGACTTTGTAATGACAGGATGGCGTGTGTTCTGCTGAGTCACATCTGTGATGGAGAAACGGACTGTCAGGATGGATCAGATGAAGAAGCCTGTGGTATGTATCTAGAAGTTTTAATTGGATCACAAATGTTTTAATTCTTTTAATATGTATCTTATTTTCACCTTGAAGATTCAGAGCATGCTCCTGGCAATTCTATGGGGAATGAGTTCTCAAGTAAATCTCCTGAGCTGACTAAAACGGTAGCACTGCCTCCCACTAAGCCTCCATGCACCAGTCCTTCAGTTCTGTGTCCAGGTTCGTCTATATGCATCAAACACACACAAGTGTGTGATGGAAAAGAGGACTGTCCTGATGGTTCTGATGAGGAGTGCATAGAAAGTTGTCCTGAAAGTAAGTGGAGTTTGAAGATGCACTTCTTAAATGAAAATCTTTAAGCACATGCATATTTGCTATTTAACAATTGACTAAGATAACTTGGTACATTTAAAATGTAAAATCAGTAACTGAATACTAACTTATCATTTTTCTTTTGTAGTGGATTTTCTCTGTAGAGACCACCGCCACTGCATCCCAAAGACCAAATTGTGTGACGGTCGCTCGCATTGTAACGATGGTTCAGATGAGGTTGGCTGTCAGAGTGTAGTGCAGCCTGCATCTCCTACTAAAATCCTGAAGTGCTGGTTTGGGTCCAAACTGTGTCGAGATGGGATGTCGTGTGTCTACCCAAGTCACATTTGTGATGGGGAACCAGACTGTCAGGATGGATCAGATGAAGAAGAATGTGGTATTTATCAACTAGTTGTCTTTTACTTTCCTGTTTCCTCATAATTTTGGGTAAAGATTCCAACTTCAATCCTTTTAAGACTTTACAGAAAGCATTTTTTCTATTTTCTCTAGACAATGGGAGCTTGAATCAGTCTCCCACACCCACTGAAGAAGTAGCTCTGATTCCAACTAATCCTCCCTGCACCAGTCCATCAGTTCTGTGTCCAGGTTCTTCTATATGCATCAAACCAACACTGATGTGTGATGGAACAAGAGACTGTCCTGATGGCTTTGATGAGAAATGTATTGATCAATGTCCCTCTGACAGTAAGTAGAGCTGGCCATAATGAACTTCAGGTTATCTGTAAGAGATGCACAAAAAAATTGATCTTGATAGTTCATGATGCTTGACCTAAAATTGCAATGGGAAGCCCTTTCCAGCTGGAGAAATCTCCATGTTCAATGTGATGGTGGTGCACTTGCCAACACCTTTTATTTGTACCAGATAAAAAGTATAAAGAGTGATGTGAAGGGATCTGACATTTCAGCTTGATATATGTGGTCTTCTACATAAAGCTTTTTTTTTCTCACCACAGCTGACTTCCGTTGCAATGACCGTCAAAGATGCATCCCTAAAACCAAAGTGTGTGATGGGCGTTCTCAGTGCAACGATGGCTCTGATGAGGCTGACTGTCGGAGTGTAACTGCGCCGCCGCTTGAGTCCAATGTATTAAAGTGCCGCAGGGGCTCAAAGCCATGCAAAGACGGCCAAGATTGTGTTTTATTTAATCATGTTTGTGATGGCGAAATCGACTGCTTGGATGGGTCTGATGAAGAAGGATGCCAAGAAACATGTGATGAAGGTTGGTTATATTAACTTGTTTGTGAAACTGAAATTTGTTTCCAGTTGGTCATGTTTGTGCACTACTTTCAGGAGAGTTTCAGTGTGCCCACGGGAAGATGTGCATCCCTGAGAATGAGGTTTGTGATGGCAAGCCACAGTGTCGGGACCACTCTGACGAGGTGGATTGCTGGCAGCGAACAAGAGTTGTGAACACCGTTGTGCTGATGGCAAGCGGTGCATCCCGAAGAAGTTCCTCTGTGATGGAGAGCCAGACTGCTTGGATGGAACGGATGAACTGAACTGTAGTATGTTTTCAGTTTAACACAACTGATCGTTCATGGCAATATCAATTAGTAGGTTAAAAGTAAAATTTGCTGCAAGAGTAAGGCTTGCTTGGCATGCAAATCCCACTGTTTAATTTTTGGACTTTCTATTTCAGATTCTGCTCCAACTGATTTTCCTGTTGCCTCGACATCAGCTTGCATCACTCCTTCAGTTCTGTGCCCAGACTCATCACGGTGCATCTCTCAACATCAATTGTGCGATGGACAAAGGGATTGCCCAGATGGCTTTGATGAAATGGAATGCATAGCACAATGTGAAAACCCAGGCAAGTCCACATCTGCAAATATTGTTTAAACATATCCTGATGGCATAAATGAGTTTTGCAACCAGCTTTTGGAATGTAGAAATTTTTGGATTTTTTTTTTTCATAAAGATTACTCATTTTATTGACCATTTCTTGTCTGAACATTAGCGGACTTCCTGTGCAAGGACCAGAGGAAGTGTATCCCAAAGACTCAAGTGTGTGATGGCCGTACCAATTGTCCAGATGGTTCAGATGAGAAGCAGTGCCAATCAGAACTTACATCTGCATGTAAGGGGAAAAATACTAGAACATGTAAATGGTAAACTGTTCATAAACTGGAAAATAAAATATGAACATGCTTCCCAGCAGTGAGTGTCAAAAACAAACTTGAGTTTATTCACTGCCTTTGGACAGTAATGGCTTTTTCTGGCATTCTGGTTAAATAAGTCTAGGGTCTACAATTACACCTTTACATTTAATTAAGAATAAATTGAAGCAAAATCATGTTGCAGCCATAAAAATTGGGTTTTGCATAATTTGAATAGGAATGCTAATAAGATGCAGAGTATTGTACCTAAATTGAAATGCCTACTGACTTAAAGGTGCCTCATCAAAAACTGTTTTTGTTTTTTTACATTATCCTCACCAATTACAACATTCTAACATTTTTTTTTCTTTCCGCATTACTAAGCACCACATTAGCAAATGTTAAACTTTGCATTTGTGAGGTCCACCATTTTTCTCCCAAAAATAAATTTGCAGAATTGCAATCAGTTCATCTAATGTAACTTCTCTTTTTAAAGCACCAAGAACAAGACCTGGGCCTCTAAAGTGCCGCACAGGTTTCAAACTGTGTAAAAACGGCCTGCAGTGCATCATGTACAGCCATGTCTGTGATGGAGAGCGTGACTGCCAGGATGGGTCTGATGAAGAGGGATGTGGTGAGTTTATCTAAAGGCTAATTTTACACTCTAAAGGATGAGATTCAAGGTAATAACTTTACATGTCTTAACTGCTTGTCACTTTAAGATGCTACAGAGGCTGGTGCCCAAAGTTCTGTGGATAATGACTACATGAACGAATCTCCCAAACCAGTGAAACATTTTAGTCAGCCTATCACCACTCCACCATGCACCAGCCCTTCAGTTCTGTGTCCAGACACCTCCATTTGCTTGAAGGCCACACAGATCTGTGATCGAATGAAAGACTGTCCTGATGGGTTTGATGAAAAATGTGTGAGAAGATGTCCAGGCTGTGAGTGGTTAAAAGATAATTTTACTGTTTTCATTTACCCCTCAAAGCTTAATTTATTGGAATTATAATCATATTAAACTGTAAATTTAGAAAAATATTTTCTCCTTCAAGCTGATTTCCGTTGCAAAGATCGTCGAAGCTGTGTCCCAAAAAGCCAGGTCTGTGATGGTCGCTTCCAGTGCAACGATGGCTCAGACGAGTTTAATTGTCGGTCAGTAGAGTCTCGACCATCTCAGAAAACCGCCCTGAAATGTCGCATGGGGTCCAGAATGTGTCGCGATGGGACAGATTGTGTCCTCTTCAGCCATGTCTGTGATGGGGAAAGGGACTGCAGGGACGGATCGGACGAGGAAGGCTGTGGTGAGTCTGCATACCCAATATGTAGACATTGCCAGTGTTCATTGGTAGATAAAAGTGCAAACTTTACTGAAACTTATTTATTGCAGAATTTTTAACTGTTTGGATAAATAGGCATGGGGTAGATTTCTTTCAAGATTGCAGGAAACAACCTTTAAAAGTAGATGCATATTCTAAAACTTTCAACCACAACTGCTAAGCTTTTGACATGTTTTCTCTGATCCACATTTTTTAGATGAAGAAGAAATGATTGAATCCTCATCCCCCAACAAACAGTTCTGTAGTTTCCCTTCAGTTCTGTGTCCTGATTCAAATGTATGCATCAACCCGTCTCAGTTATGCGATGGGATCAGAAACTGCCCTGATGGATCTGATGAGAATTGTGTGAAAAAGTGTGCTGACAAAAGTGAGTTTACAGCTTTTTTTTAATTCTATTTTTTTGTCTAAACACTTTTTGATGTATGCAAAATGTATCTTTGTAGCCGACTTTCTCTGCAAGGACCGTAGGAGCTGTGTGTCGAGCAGTCTGGTTTGTGATGGGCTCACTCACTGCTATGATGGCTCGGATGAGGCTGACTGTCGGAGTGTAACTGCTCCACCGCTTGAGTCCAATGTATTAAAGTGCCGCAGGGGCTCAAAGCCATGCAAAGACGGCCAAGATTGTGTTTTATTTAATCATGTTTGTGATGGCGAAATCGACTGCTTGGATGGGTCTGATGAAGAGGGATGCCAAGAAACATGTGATGAAGGTTGGTTATATTAACTTGTTTGTGAAACTGAAATTTGTTTCCAGTTGGTCATGTTTGTGCACTACTTCAGGAGAGTTTCAGTGTGCCCACGGGAAGATGTGCATCCCTGAGAATGAGGTTTGTGATGGCAAGCCACAGTGTCGGGACCACTCTGACGAGGTGGATTGCTGGCAGCGAACAAAGAGCTGTGAACACCGTTGTGCTGATGGCAAGCGGTGCATCCCGAAGAAGTTCCTCTGTGATGGAGAGCCAGACTGCTTGGATGGAACGGATGAACTGAACTGTAGTATGTTTTCAGTTTAACACAACTGATCGTTCATGGCAATATCAATTAGTAGGTTAAAAGTAAAATTTGCTGCAAGAGTAAGGCTTGCTTGGCATGCAAATCCCACTGTTTAATTTTTGGACTTTCTATTTCAGATTCTGCTCCAACTGATTTTCCTGTTGCCTCGACATCAGCTTGCATCACTCCTTCAGTTCTGTGCCCAGACTCATCACGGTGCATCTCTCAACATCAATTGTGCGATGGACAAAGGGATTGCCCAGATGGCTTTGATGAAATGGAATGCGTAGCACAATGAAAACCCAGGCAAGTCCACATCTGCAAATATTGTTTAAAATATCCTGATGACATAAATGAGTTATGAAACCAGCTTTTGGAATGTAGAAATTTTTGGATTGTTTTCATAAAGATTACTCATTTTATTGACTATTTCTTGTCTGAACATTAGCGGACTTCCTGTGCAAGGACCAGAGGAAGTGTATCCCGAAGACTCAAGTGTGTGATGGCCGTACCAATTGTCCAGATGGTTCAGATGAGAAGCAGTGCCAATCAGAACTTACATCTGCATGTAAGGGGAAAAATACTAGAACATGTAAATGGTAAACTGTTCATAAACTGGAAAATAAAATATGAACACGCTTCCCAGCAGTGAGTGTCAAAAACAAACTTGAGTTTATTCACTGCCTTTGGACAGTAATGGCTTTTTCTGGCATTCTGGTTAAATAAGCCTAGGGTCTACAATTACACCTTTACATTTAAGACAAAATTGAAGCAAAATCATGTTGGGTTTTGCATAATTTGAGTAGGAATGCTAATAAGACGCAGAGTATTGTACCTAAATTGAAATGCCTACTGACTTAAACCTGCCTCATCAAAAACTGTTTTTGTTTTTTTACATTATCCTCACCAATTGCAACATTCTAACATTTTTTTTTCTTTCCGCATTACTAAGCACCACATTAGCAAATGTTAAACTTTGCATTTGTGAGGTCCACCATTTTTCTCCCAAAAGTAAATTTGCAGAATTGCAATCAGTTCATCTAATGTAACTTCTCTCTTTTTAAAGCACCAAGAACAAGACCTGGGCCTCTAAAGTGCCGCACAGGTTTCAAACTGTGTAAAAACGGCCTGGAGTGCATCATGTACAGCCATGTCTGTGATGGAGAGCGTGACTGCCAGGATGGGTCTGATGAAGAGGGATGTGAGAAGCAATGCAAGCCAGGTTTGTGTGACGCATTGGAAGAAAATGGTGAGTGGGTATGAAAGAGGACAAACATGGATGTTGAAAATGTATATTCCCCCATCAGGACAGTTCCAGTGTTCTCATGGGAGAAAATGCATCCAACAAGAGCAGGTGTGTGATGGGCAGAAGGACTGTCAGGACCATTCAGATGAAATAGACTGCTCAAAACCAATTGAAGGCTGCCATCACCTTTGTGACGACAAAACTCGCTGCGTTCCAAAGACCTTTCTTTGTGATGGAGAAAAAGACTGCACCGATGGGTCAGATGAAGATAAATGTGGTGGGTGAATTTTAACTGTAGTCTTTAGACACTTAATACACATGTTTTCCAGAATCCATTATTTGAGTTCATCTTGTTGCAGGTTTGGGAGCCTGTGCTCCAGATCAGCATCGATGTGAGAGCGGGCAGTGCATTTCTGAGGCGTTTAGATGTGATGGTTATCCTGACTGCCACGACCACTCGGATGAGGCGGGCTGTCCAAGAGCCCCTCACTGCCCGGCACAGCTCCGATGCCCACACAGCCATGAATGTCTGCAGAAAGAGTGGCTTTGTGATGGAGAAAAGGACTGTAAAGATGGCTCCGACGAGAATGTGAGAACATTGTTCTTTATTCCTTATTGTGGAGAGAGTGAACATTGTCTAATAATTCTCTATTCAGAACTGCAACAACCCTCCAACAAAGTGCAGGAAGTACCAATTTCAGTGCAGACAGAGCGGTTTCTGTGTTCCTCAATCCTGGAGGTGTGATGGAAAAGAAGACTGTGACAATGGAGAGGATGAGGATAAGTGTGAGTAACTTGACAAACACAGGTTCTGCATTTATGAAACAAAAGTGAACATAAAATGGAAATGCCTTATGATTCAGTAGAGCCACCTTTAGCAGCAAAGTCTTGTCTGTTCTTTAACAAAGAACAAGACAAGACATTCTACAACAATGCTTCAGTTCATTGTTTGCACAAGCATTTTGGTTGAGGTCTTGAATTTAATTGGGAACACTGTTATGCAAAGAAGATATATCTAATTCCTACAGCTGCAAAATCTAGTCTTGTAGGACGTTTCAAATTTCACCTCGTGCAATAAGCTGTTCTGATCACTATGCCTCTTGAAGTTTGGATGTCTAATCTCATGGATGACAGAGAATTTACTTTCAGTTTTAACAACTGAATCACAAACCTTCCATCTCTGTGATTGACGGTTCATGAGATTCATGCTTTAGATGTTTAGCCATAGGCTGTTGGGAATTCTACCTGTGAAAAGAACGTTGTTCAAGAAACAGTGTGGTTCATTCAGATGCAGCTTTGCATGAAAGTTCTCCTACCATAGTTTTTATACTAAGGCTTTTTCCTCATCTCCCAAATAAAATACCTGTTCAGTTGTTGGACTATCCATGAATTTTAACTTCCTAACGTGCATGCATAATCTAAATTTAAGTTTTTTTTTAAAAAACTCCTTCAAATATTATGCAAGGTGAAAGTCATTTATCAAAACATTTAAGACTCATCACTCTGCAAAGTTTTTTTTACAGAAGCCATTTGAAAATTGTTGCTTCTCTTTCCATTATGACAGTGATGCATAACTGCCTTTGGTGTGCAAAAAAATCTGTAAAACTACTTCACAGGTATCCAGAGGAAATGCCCCTACCACCTTTACCAATGTGGCAGCAAAGAATGTCTGGAACCCAGGCTGGTGTGTGATGGCATCACCAACTGTATTGATGGCTCAGATGAAGGTGTGGGATGTGCTCAACGCAACTGCTCAAGTCCTTCAGCTCCCGCCTGCGACCACAGATGTGTCAGCACCCCTAATGGACCGGTTAGTGCAGAACTGCTGGTGTTGAATTTCAGTCCAGAACAGCTTTAACTGCATTTGGATCTTTTTAAACTGGCACAGCAGGACTAATGCTCCGATTGGGTTGTTTTATTTTCCCTACATTAGAGGTGTTACTGCGGTGCTGGTTTCAGGCTGCAGTCTAGCTCCAAGTCCTGTATGGACATTGATGAGTGCACTGCAACACCAGCTACTTCATGCAAGCACCTTTGCCAGAACACTCGGGGATCCTACAGCTGCCTCTGCCACCCGGGTTTCTATCTTGAGCCAGATGACCAAAGCTGCAAGACAAAAGGTGCCGTTAAATCAAATTTCTGCATTAAATTTGTGGTTTAGTGCAGCACAATTAACTAAACTTGTTTGAATACATCCATGGCTTCTAGCGTCAAGTCAGAATTACAAAATTGTATTCTTTATGCACCTAAATCCAAACATTTATGTTTGCAGTAGTTCAATCAGTTTGATTAAAACATCAACCAAAAACAGCCATTTTTCAAAGTACAAATTTCACAAGACAATTGCAGTTGGTTGCTATTTAAACAGCTTTGTGCATGTAAAAATGTTTCTACTGGGAAAGTAGTAAAACTTAAGTTATTTTACTGTTTACTTAAAACTGTATTTTAAATTTGTAGATGAGCCTCTGCTTTTGGCTTCGGTGCAGTCCGAAATGCTAATACTTGGAGTCCATAGCGGTACATTGCAGCTTCTCTCATCTGCTGACCGGCCCGTCTTTGCTCTGGATTTTCACTGGGCTGAGCAGAGAGTCTACTGGGTGAGCCCTGACCACCAGAGCATCCGCTGGGCTGACATGAAAACTAAAACTAAAGGGACGCTGACCAAAGGTAAATCTGTTTTCCTGTATTCCCACAATCATTTCAACGTTTCACAAATTAACTTTTTGTTTTTTTAAATAAAGGCATGAAGTCTGATTCAATCGCAGTGGACTGGGTTGGTAAAAACCTGTACTGGGTGGACAGACTGGTTGGACATATTCTGGCTATAAAGCTAAGCAGTTCAATCATGAAATCTCAGGACTATACTGTAGTTCTTGGAGAAAACCTGGAGCAGACAAGCTCACTGGTCCTGATACCAGACAAGGGGTATGACTTATTTATTCATTCGTCTGGTTTAAAATTTGTAGAATAAATATTTTTGTGTCCTTGCTCTTCTCAGATTGATGTTGTGGTCTGAGATTGGCAGCATCCCTCAGATCGAGCGGTCTGGGATGGATGGATCACAGAGGAAAGTACTGGTGAGCCGGGACTTGAGCTGGCCAGTCAGTCTGGCATATGACTTCCTGGAAGACAGGGTCTACTGGGCTGATGAGAAGCTGCACTGCATAGGCTCAGCCTCACTGGATGGAGATGATATAAAGGTGGGTGAAAACCAGTTAAAGAAATGTCTAGTCTATTCGGTTGAAGAGCTTTTATGGATCAAATAAGTGTTCCACAACACTTTCTGGTATTTAGGGTGTCTTGTTGGCTTTCTTTTACTAGATCCTCCAGTTGACGGAAACCCCAAGCCCTTTTTCTGTGGCGATTTTCAGCGACCGCATGTTCTGGTCCGACACCAAGAGAAGAACTGTTCATTCAGCTGACAAGAAAACTGGCAAGAATCAAACAGTTCTTCTGAAGAGACCTGGGCAGCCATTTGGATTAAAAGTTGGTGTTTCTATTCATTACATTTGTACATGGGAAAAGTTATTTTGGGAGTTCTGTAAGTAATGTAACCATTCTGTGTCTTTAGCTGATGCATGCCCTCTCCCAACCAGCTGTATCAAGCCCTTGTGACCATCTGCGATGCTCCAATCTCTGTCTTTTGGCTCCAGCACCAGAAAAATCTAGAGCTGGAGCTCTGGCAGTAAATGCTGCAGTTTGTCGATGTCCAAAGGGTTTTCTTCTTTCTCAGGACAGAATGACCTGCTTTCTTCCCAGAGAGTCATCTTTCATCCTGCTTTTGTCCCGCAACAAAATATCTCAGGTAAAAATTCCACAAACACTGACGTTTTGCCTATATATATATATATATGTAAATTTTTTTTGTAAAGTTTAGTAAATATAATTTTTTGTTTTAGATTTACTTGAGCTCTATGCGCCGTTTCGGAATCGCACTGAAGAAAATGCCAAATGGCAGAGACTTCAATCTCCCAGGAGTACCTGAGGCTATGAGTCTGGACATTTCTTTCTCAAAGCTCTTTGTGTTTGTTGCTTATTTAGAACATGGATCTGTGGATGTGCTAAAACTCTCAAACTCCATATCAAAACCAGAGCTTGTGCTTGCTGGACATATCGTAAAGCTACAGGTATGAATACCATGACGGTTAAAGCTGCAGTAATACATGTCAATGTTTTTTTTGTTTTTTTACATATGTCAAAATTCTGAGCTACAGCACTTCACCCCACAGTGTAGCCGGCCATGACTATGCAGGCTAGTAAGCGTGTCCACAGATGGTGGATAAACAGTTGCCCTGTAACATTAGGTTATTTTTCTACCATTAGCATAGCTGCAGTAAACTGGCAATCTAGATTTATGAATGCTACAGGAGAACATGTGAGCCATATGTACACAAGCGTAACTGCACATAGACATTAATTTGGACTCTAATTGATTTCTGAACACAATGAATTTCTGCAGCTGGCAGTAGGATCACTGGAAGGAGGAAGAGGAGCTTGTTTTGTTCCCCCAGACTCATGTCCTGACAGTATACCAGACTAAATGACTTGACACAATTTTATAAAAGTTGAATGTCTTTAAAGATGTAGTTTGATTTGTTTACATGGAACTTTTGTTTTGTCTTCCATTCTAAAAGGATGATTCAGTAACTGCTCTGGCAGTGGACTGGGTGACCTCCAGTTTGTACTGGAGCAGCATGAAGAGGCCAGACATACATGTGACGTCGCATCTCGAAAACCACACGACCTCTCTGCTGCAAGGACCTCTCATTGTAAATTTTCATGGCCTTTGGCTGTACAAAGACAACTTAAGATTTTCATTCAGGGCAAGCCAAGATTTTAATTGAGATTTAAATTCTTTGTTCAGGGAGTTGAATCAATCGCCCTCCATCCTATCTCGGGTAGGCTCTGCTATTTTGCCTTAGTAATAATGGGTTCAAGGAGCCAGACGGAGCTCCACTGTGCATGGATGGATGGCCGTAATAAAGTAGTGCTGTGGAAGCGGTTAAGCATTCCTATCTCCTTGGTTTTCACTAATGATGGAACCAGAATCTATTGGGCTGATGCTGGTGAGAAGTTTGACCTTTTCAATGCTTCCATTGGCTTTGTTCCTGCATCATCTAAGTGCTTTTTATTTATTTATTTTTCCTCAGGTGAAGGAATAATAAGCTCTATTGGAGTGGATGGATCGGCATATAAGGAGTACAAAACCGGTCCCAATCTGCTTGTGTCCTTCACACTTATTGAGAATTTTTTCTTTTGGGTCACTCAAGTCAAAGGTAAGAATGAAACATAACTTCTGTTACTGTTGATTGAGACACAGTTTCTCATTGGAGCAAGTTTGATCCTTGGAGTTGACCAGTTTCTCTCCACCTCATCCAGCAGATGGCATCACAAATTTTATTTTCCCCCAAAAAACGTTTGTACTGAAATTCTTTCAGAAATTTTAAATGCTGCTTTTATCCTTTGCAGATGTCAGCAAATTATGGTTCAGTGATGGATTCCAACCGAAGCAGTTGTGGTTCCAAACAAATACAAAGGTTTCCGAAATCAGGTCCTACAACAATGAAACCCAGTCTGGTAAGTAGAACACAGCTTGTAGTTTACCATCAGAAAATCCTTAATTGAATCTTTTGACTTACCAAAATGGAGATCTAAACTGCCATGCAAATGCTTTAGATTAGAAAAATAAATTTCCACAAGGATTACATCAAACTCCATTCACCTTGTGATTTAATAAATCGCTCATTTTTGGGGGAGGTGGGGTTTCCACAATGCTTGGAAACAAGTTATCCTAAAGATCATTCATTTGATAATGACAGGAAAAATGTTGAATACAATATTTCTTTAGTTCTTTCTATGCAAATGTGCCATCAAACTCATAACTTATTGATTTAATGTAATGTGTGGTGGTCAATTATATTTATACATTCACACCATTGATGCCAGTAATGCATCAATCAGCTTTTAGAACTGTTTTGTGCATTTCAAATGAATCTTAGAGACTGATATTAAAAGCTAATGGCGACATAATGTAATAAACATGAATTTGGTGCAACAAGTCAGTTTTTCTAATACTCTGGTACCCTAATTAAGTATCTGCTTTTCTGTAGTTTTTCAAATTGGTGCATATAATCAGATATTGTTTTCAAGGCATCATGCTGTAAATACTTGCAATTTCTGCTACTGAAAAGCTGCAATTCTGTTTATCCATTTCATTTAGGAAGTAACCATTGTTCAAAAGGCAACGGTGGCTGTATCCACCTCTGCCTGCCCTATCCAGGAGGTCGGACTTGTAAGTGTGCGAGGGGCTTTTACAGTGCCAATGACACTTCCTGTGTCCCACTTCCTTCCTGCCCTTCTGGAGAGAAATCCTGTTTAGACGGCAGCAAGTGTGTCGGGAGCAAAAGGTTCTGTGACGGGCGTGAAGATTGTCCAGACCAGTCGGATGAACAGGACTGTGAGTTTACATTTACTACAAGGAATAAAACATTCGTTTCATTAGTTTGCTAGTAACATCAATATTATGATGGTAAAATACATTTTTGTGTTGGACTAATTTACAAAGAGGCTACTTTAATTCTGTTGTGAGTTTAGTTATATTTCAGGAATATTTAACAGTCTTAAAAAGTAATCAAATATTATGCTGCAATGATTTTAAATGGGAGAAGGGGACAAGATGCTTTGCAACTACAAATTCATGGCCAATTACCTACTAGTTGCTATTGATCTTAGTTAACTTTAAACACTATAAATGTCTTTAGGCCCAGGATCTGCCACATTTGGGACAATAGTTGACCAATCCCCACAGTCTTCCCTTCACCATCCTGACACGCAGAAAAACCCCATTGTGCCTGATGAAGTCTTGGCATCATGCGATCTCCAGCGCTGCAATGGCCACGGCAACTGCATCACAGAGGGCAAAGTCACTCGCTGCCACTGTCTACAAGGTTACACAGGAGAATTCTGCCAGAATCAACAAAGACAAAGTCACCCAGCAATCATCGTGGTGTCCATTTGTCTGCTCTCTGGAGTAGTAGTGGGTGCACTCATCTTCACTAAAAGGTAGCCTGAGTGTCATTTCTTTGGCAAGAACTTTGCTTTTTTTTAGTAAAACCAGATGACATTTAATCTCCAGCAGCTTGTCACCAACCATATTTTGTGACATCTTGACTTTGCTGTTTGCCATTACAAATTCTCTTGCACACAGTTAACATTCTGAGTGTGAAACACTTTAAAGTAAATGTAGCCTTCCAAATTGAAAGTAAACTGACTTGTTTCAACAGAAGGTGGGAATACATGAGAAGTAGATCTGCACATAAAGAGAAACTATTGACAAACATGGTTATTCCAGATGAACAAGATTCTGAGGTAAAAACCAATATATCTTTAAGAGTATAGCGTACACTTTCTTGTACTTTTTTTTTTTTTTTTTTTTTTTTTTTTTTTTATTTGCAGCTTGTTATAAGTATCCTAATGGCCCAAATCTTTCTTTTGCAGGAACTGGAATCCCCTATAGATGTAAAGAACCTGCTGCCCATCAAATGAACTGCAGATGAAATGACCTAAACTTTTACTGTATGCAATAAAAAGATGAACCAAAATTATTTTTGTATTTATGGATCTTTTTCTCTAAATCACAACTGCCCTTACATACTCTAACTGTGGATTTTGAGAAATGGGTTTTAGCGCAAAGAAGTTTTAACTGCTCAAACTAATTAAATGATTTTGCACAAAGATTTTCAAAACGAATATACTCGAACTGAAGTTTTCTATTCAACCCTACTACAGTCATATGAAAAAGTTTGGGCACCCCCATTAATCTTATTTTTATTTCTAAATATTTGGGTGTTTGCAACAGCTATCTCAGTTTGATATATCTAATAACTGATGTAGTTATATTTCAGTACTGAAATGAGGTTTATTGTACTAATAGAAAATGGGCAATATGCATATAAACAAAATTTGACAGGTGCAAAAATTTGGATACCCTTATTTAATTGATTTGAATACTCCTAACTACTTTTCACTGACTTACTGAAACACAAAATTGGTTTGGCAACCTCATTAAGCTTTGAACTTCATAGCCAGGTGTATCCAATCAGAAGAAAAGGTATTTAAGGTGGCCGATTGCAAGTTGTTCTCCAGTCTGGATCTCCTATGAAGAGTGTCATCATGGGCACATCAAAACAACTCTCAAATGATCTAAAAACAAAGATTGTTCAACACAGTTGTTTAGGGGAAGGACACAAAAAGTTATCTCAGAGATTTAAACTGTCAGTTTCCACTGTGAGGAACATAGTAAAGAAATGGAAAACCCATTTCTTTACTATGTTAAACCCAGAAGTGGCAGGCCAAGAAAAATATCAGGGAGGCAGAGAATGGTGAGAACTGTGAAGGACAACCCACAGACCACCTCCAAAGACCTGCAGCATCATCTTGCTGCAGATGGTGTCACTGTGCATTGTTCAACAATTCAGCGCACTTTGCACAAAGAGAAGCTGTAAAGGAGAGTGATGTGACGGAAGCCTTTTTTGCAAGCATGCCACAAATGGAGTTGCTTGAGGTCTGCAAAAGCACATTTGGACAAGCCAGCTTCATTTTGGAATAAGGTCCTGTGGACTGATGAAACAAAGATTGAGTTGTTTGGTCATAAAAAAAGGCGTTATGCATGGCGGCAAAAAACAGCGTTCCAAGAAAAACACTTGCTACCTACCCACTGTGAAATTTGGAGGTTCCATCATGCTTTGGGGCTGTATGGCCAATGCTGGTACTGGGAATATTGTTAAAGTTGAGGGTGGCATGGATTCCACTCAATATCAACAGATTCTTGAGACTAATGTTCAAGAATCAGTTATGAAGTTGAAGCTACGCCGGGGATGGATATTTCAGCAAGACAATGATCCAAAATACCGCTCCAAATCTACTCAGGCATTCATGCAGAGGAACAATTACAATGTTCTGGAATGGCCATCCCCGGACCTGAATATTATTGAACATCTGTGGGATGATTTGAAGCGGGCTGTCCATGCTCGGCGACCATCAAACTTAACTGAACTGGAATTGTTTTGCAAAGAAGAATGGTCAAAAATACCTTCATCCAGGATCCAGGAACTCATTAGAAGCTACTGGAAGCGACTAGAGGCTGTTATTGTTGCAAAAGAAGGATCTACTAAATATTAATGTCGCTTTTCTGTTGAGGTGCCCATATTTTTGCACCTGTCAAATTTTGTGTTTATGTGTACTGCACATTTTCTTTTACTGTGTCCATAAGTTATTGGTTATATCAAACTGAAATAGTTATTGCAAACATCCAAATATTTAGAGATGAAAATAATTTGGATTAATAGGGGTGCCCAAACTTTTTCATATGACTGTACTAATCACTTGCATGATTTGGAGGCTTATTTCCTCTTACCAGTTCAGCCTATGTTTTAGTAACACTTCTGTCAACATTATTCAACGATCTGGTTCCCGTTTCTAAATGTTGCCCATTATATTGAAATTCATTGGAAATTGTGTCCTATGAATTTTATCAGAGAAACCAGTTTCAAGTATTTCATGGATGACTTCAACTTTGTTTTTGGTACAATAAGCATGTGAAACACAAGTATGCATGTAATCATTTTCAGTCATACAGATTGCATATGAAATCAGATCCTGATGTTGGAAAAACTAAATTTCAAAGTGGTTTGTCTAACAGATGACAAAAACCTGAAAATCAGGTTTTAAACTTGAATGGGGCTCATGTTTAATACAGAGTACTCGTACACTGAATGTGCCCTTAAAACTTGTAACTTTTTCCATAAATTGTGTCTGTGCAGTGTGACACGAAGGCAATAAGCATCTGGTCTGATGAAGTGTTAAAACTCCGCTTGGTTTAATCAGCATTACAGCAGATATCTGAAACTCTGACAATGTGAAAAATGTTCTCTCAAACTTCCTGGTTGATGTGCTGACTTTGGAGAGTGGGCCAAACCCAGCAGGCTCCCCAAATCCTCACTGAAATCTTCCTACTTGACCCAGGGTGACTTGGATGGATAGGTGTCAGTGCACCTACCCATACTTTAAGTGTGAACTCCAAACAGCCACACGTTTACCAAATGATTGTCCAAGTAAATTTAATGCATTTTTCCACTTGTGTGAAAAAATGTACTGAAACCTAGATCTGTGTTCTACTTCATTTGTAAAATGGTGCCTATTGTTCCTCATTCCTAATCTTCAGGAGTCGATGCATGTCTACCATCCTCCAAAAGGTGTGTGCAGGAGCATGCGTGCATTGAGTCATACATGATCCTCTCTGGGCTCTGCCTCAGGCCAGAGCATGTGAAAACAAACATCCGGCTTTAAACATGCTCAATAGCCTAGAGACTAATGTTGCACTAATGTGCATGTGCACTGAGGCATTCTCAGACATTGAACCTGAAATGAACTGGTGTGAGGCAATGTCTTTTCAAATTAACATTGCCAAAATGTTTATGAGAGGAATTGCCCTTTGTGACAAGACAAAAGATTAATTAGCTTTGAGTGACTGAATGCCATTTTATCTAATGATACATCATCTCTTGCTTTTGCTAATAGCTAGCTGGTTAGCTTATCTCATCCATGCAGACTCTTCATCAAATGGCCACTTTAACCTGAAGATTGAAATGTCTGCCAATCGTCTATGATGTCATGAACAGATGCTCAAACTAATTTGTTTAATTACAAAAAATATTTTTTTCAGCTCGTTAGCTAGTACTTCTTGGGCCTTAAATGAGAATCATGTTTCTGGTAGAAACGTGTTCAACTGGCATTAATTTAAGCCACAGGGGTTGTTTCTCTGTTTATTCAAGAACTGAATGAGTGGCTTTGCTGTTTAGTTGGCTTTTATGGGTGTTGACTCCAGCAATGTTTACTCTAACGCCGTCTTCTGTAAATTCTCAACAAGGAAGAAACAAACTGTTTTACGATGCTAACATAAGTTACTCCAAAAATATATCTTCTTTGCATTTGGTCCTTTTACATTTCTAGGTATTTTTATTTAATATAGAAACTTTATTTCTATATTAACATTTGTTTTGAACATTTTTTTATTCTTGTTTGACCAAGGCTGCTGCTTCTTTTGAATTTGAGACTGAAATAAAATCTATATCTACAAATGCAAAAAAAGCTTTCAACATTGTTTCATTAATACATAAAACTGCATTACTCAATTGCTTAGGCTTTTTGAAACATTCCTAGTACTTTGAGAACATGAGTCACTAATAGAATAACTTTTTTATGATCGTTAATCTCTAGTATTGAAACAATGGATTCTGCAACACAAACTCATCAGCCCTGCTTAACTGTTTAGCACTAAAGTCAGAACACACAGTTTTATGACTGTCATACCAATGACTCATGTTAATTTTAAACTGTCTTTAACAACTTCCTGTTGTGTTTGTGTTGCATTTTTGTTTTTATTTTATTTACTTATTTCAAACATGCTTTTTAAAAACTAAAACAAGCAATCAGTTGGACATAGAAAACATGTACATACATAACCAAGATCCAATAAGTGGAGGTTGGATTTCATTTCATTTCATTTTCTTTCAACATAATTTTTCTTGTAAAAGGAATAAAATGCTCTCTCTTTCATGTATGTTGAATGTATACATACATGACGGCTGCAGCTCTTCATGTTCAAACTATTTTAAAAGGACAAAGGGGTATCATGTCTCACTTGACATTTGCCCAATGGCCATTGTCCTGAGAGTATTTGTTACTGAAAATTGCTTCGATGTGGAAATAGTTTAGTTCCCTTTAATCAGTCCTTCCCCCTTTTTTCTGTTGAAATCTGAAGAGCTGATAATTCTTGTCTAAGATTACTTGACCAGGAGAAAAGAGGGAAGGAGGGAGGGGGAATTGTGACAATAGATATCAGAGTTGAAATCAGATACACAAATCAGTTTGCATCCTTGAGATCATCTTTGCACATAAAGCTATGTAGAAATAAGGAAAAGGGTAGTTCAGTTTGCAGCCTTGTTGCAATGACCACATTCTAATGACTGTGATTTGTGCTGGCTAATTTGTGTTTGGATTCAGCAGTAAGCCATTACAGAACCAGTGAAGCACATGTGGTACTTGGTTATGGTGTGACATGGACTTATAAACGCGGTTCAGAAGTGGAGCACTGCTGTCTGCAGAGTTCACAGAAGCTTAATTTAGTTTTGCCTCCCAGTCTGGTTTGCATAAGGGCTTCCAGGGCTTATACAACTCTAGTGTGTGTTCACATAGACATGTTGATTTTGTCATGTCTTGTAGGGCGAGTCTTGCACTGACTTGTGTGCTCCTCCCACGTCAAAGCTTCCAAACACACCTACTGTTACCGCTCTGATATCATATTTTCAGTAAGTATGAACCTTTTCTGTTCTTCCTTATGCGCATTTAAATTCTTCCCACTTTCACGCCAACGTTCTTGTGACAATTATTTCCAAAATTCGTTTTTGTTTTCCACATGCTTTCAAATTTAGCTTTGGAAATCAAGGTGAGTCACTGGCAAACCGAAACATGCAACGAGGTGGATTTAACCTTGTGACATGTCAAATTATGACATCCCTGACAAAGGATGTTTGTGTGATGTGGTTCATGTGAAGAGAGGGAGGAGGGGATTTTCCTTCCTTGTTTGTGGGGGGAAGAAAACAGACATTTGTTCACGGTACTCAGTTTTTGTCCTCTGTTCTCCGCCCATTTTTTTTTTTCCCCCAGGTGATCAGACTGAAAGGGAAGTTGAAAGAATCTTGCCAAACAGATGACTGGACGAGCCAACGGCGGCAGCAAAACCTCCAGCTCACACGTTTGAAGAGCCCAGAGTTTTCTTAACTGTTTCTGTGAGTTTTTTTATTTTTGGGGGGGTGTTTTGATATAGATTTTTTTCATTTTAAACTTCTTCAGAAAAGAGGTGCAGCACTCTAAAGCTATACTAACCAAAGGAATACTATTTCATAGGTAGAATATTGACACAAATTGTTGGGCAAAAACTGATGTGCATGTCTGGATTCTGTCTTATGGCGACTTCAAGTTATTACAGCTCTTTTAGACGGAAGACTTGTGTTATAGATTGAAACAGCATGTGTCAGATTAGTCTACTAATTAAGTTAGGACGATAAGCTCAAAGCAGAAATGTCAAAAACTGATAGCATTTTGTAAGGCCAAAAGAGTAAAGTCATTTTTAAATGTATTTTTCTTTAAATGGTTCAGGAAACTTTGTAAATAATTTCTTTGTGATGTCATCTTTAGAATATTTAAGGGCAGAGTGCCAAATCAAACAATGTCCTATTCTTTGGACGGCAACACCTTCCACTATGTCCCTGCAGAAGCCTTTCTAAATAAGACTCCAGGGTAAAAAGTTGCAGATGATGAACTCAATGAAATTTTAGCTACATGAACATTTTTTTACTGTCCAAAAACATTGGAGATGGTACATTTAGCTGAATAGAAGGGGAATCGTTTCAAATGAGATCCGGTGAAAGAAAAGTTTGAGCCATTTTGCAAGAAAAAGTATAAAAGAAGAGTTGGGTTCCACACTGTGCTTTCTGACCACTCTTGTCAAACTTGTTTTCTGACTAGTTTTTTTTTTTTTTTTTTTTGGTCTGGTTTAAAAAAAAAACTAATTATTTGGTTTAAAAAATTTTACTTTTTGCACAATAAATTGTAGTGACATTCAAAAGAAAAATTCCTCTACCGTTTTTTTATTTTTATTTGTTGAAGTGTAGAGATTGTTCATGTATTAAAGGGAGCTTTGCCTCAACCCGTCCTCAAGACATCAATTTCAGCTCCTGTTTTTGTTTTGCTTGTCATTCTTTTAGGACGTGACCTAACCAATAATTTATAATCTTCCCTCCTTCTGCTTTCCTCTTAGCTTTACGAAGTTGTAGTGTTTTGTCCTCCCCTTGAACTTCTTCTAATACCATGGAGGACGACCAGTGCAGACACAGCCAGTGCAACAGCCACGGGGCCTGCGTGCCTCTTCAAGATGGCGATCCTAATCTGGCTTGTACGTGTGATCTGGGCTACCAGGGGGAATTCTGCGAAACAACAATCAATGGGCATTTGAGTGTACCACTGACCGTAAGCGTAATCGTGGTCATCGTCGGCCTGGTGATCCTCGCTTTTGTCTTCGCTAAGCTGAGGCAGAGGCAAAAGAGGAATAAGAGGTACTTGGACTTATCATATGAAATAAATGTCTTTCTTTTTTTCACTAAAATGAGAACATTCACTATTGCTTGGTTTGTAGCATTCATTAAATATTTTGAATTCTTATTTGATGTTTAACATCATTTATTTATTTATTTAGAATTGGGGAATTCAGGATTGTGTAGCTGTCTGAGTATTAAGCTACATATCTATTTCAAGATATTTGTTTTCTCATGATCAATGTTTTATTCAAAATTTACACCCCAGTTTATTTTGTGCTTTTTTTGTGGATAATTTTTTGGCTCTCCAGTGGAGTTGCCTTTTGTAATTTGCCCCTGCAGGACATTTCTAGTGTTGCACTCATAGAAACTCATTGATTTGTACCCATGTTATCCAGATTTGGATACCATTGGTGTGTTTAATGGAAAGTATGACAATACTGAAAAAAGAAACTTAACTCAGTCCCACTATGTTTTTTTTTCTTTGTCAACAGAAAACAACTGGCAGCTCAACAAGGCTACAACGTATCGGCTCAATTTGGATAAATATGGAATATGTCTAAGGTAAGCATGTTTTGACCTCACAGCTCCTTATTCTTGGATATTGAAATGAAGTAAGAGAAAGTATTTCCAAATTTCTTAGTACTTGGGTAATGTGGGTGCATAAATACCACGAACATTCAAATTTAAGCAAAATAGGACATGTCTGTTGTCGCCAATTTATGTTAAGTAGGGGAACCACTGCTGACACTTAGATCAGCCATTTCGCAATTACTTTCCCATTAATGTCATATTTTATCATATTTATAGTGTAAATATGATTAAAAACCAAAATCCAAATGTCTTTCATTCTTTTCCAGGTAAACAATGTCTTGGATAATTTCCACCCCATCGTGTTTCTGGTTGTTTGAGTGTGATCCTTCCAAACGGAAAGCATTTTTTACTCACTGCAACTGACTTTGTGCTTCAACCTCTTAAGCCACAAACACTGAATTTACAGAAGCACCTTAACTCAAAATCCTGTTTGCTTTGTTCAGCTGACACTCTATACAAAAAATGTTTTCTGCAGGACAAATATGAAGTTATGTTGGATTTTGTTTCTACAATCATGGCACTGTCATTGTCTTGTCTTTATAGTCAAGTTAAACTCACTCTGACAGTTTTCATGCAAAGTCTTCCAGCACAATCATGCAAATGTTCAACCACTTTGTATGATCAAGCAAGAACTTTGGGTGGATTCATTGATCTCATGAGAACCAGCTTGTTGTATTTAACTGGTGCAAGCAAAAATTTTTCAAGGTTCTAACATTTTGATATCTCTACAAACAATGTATAATTTATCCATAATTGCATAGTTTTATATTGGAAATCATTAATGTACTGTGTAGTTCACCACTTTAGTTCTTTTGGTCTGTTTTTTTGTTTTTGTTTTTTTGTTTTGGTATGTTTTCTGGTCTGTTTTTTAAGCTACACATGGAAAGTTTTATTACTTTTTATGCCCTGCATCAAAATACACCATACCTTACTGACTTTTGTATACTTAGAAAAATATGAGTTCATCTAATCATTGTCTAATGCAGTATCATAATTTTTTAAATCCATTTTATTTCCTTGATTATGCACACAAGTGATCGTTTTGTGTCCCATAATAATTACAACAACTACCAATGCAAAGCCAGACTGTATAGATTTTTTTACTTTGTTTTTGTCATTTGTCTTTTTGTTTTGTTCTGTGCAGCATTTGTTTGGCATATGTATTCAACCAACATTTCTATTCTTAAGTGGTAGTCATTACCTGTCACATAGTTGAGCAATATTTGTTTACAGTCTTTCTTGTAAATAACTATTTGATGTCTTAATTCATGGATCAGATCATGGCTCTGACATGTAATTGCATATAAAATTAGCTTCAATTGAACACCTTTTAAATGTATAAAATGTCTGAAGAAGGCAGCGAGTCAGTTTGTAACCAGCTCCATTCACATTAGCCACTGATTTGACTGTCTGGTTAGAACCTTTATTTCTCCAAACTAAGGTTCTTCAGATGGTTGTCTGCTATCGGTAAGATGATGACTGCACCCAATGTCCCCACAGAACTCTTGCATCAAAGATCTAGGTAGACTCTTCAAAAAATCTGTCACTTGTGTCCTAAACAAGTTTCCTGTTGCTATCAAATCCTCTATATAAGGATCTCGTCAAAGCTTAGTGTGTTAATCCTGTCCTTGCACACTCTCACTCATCTGCTTTGATAAACTGCCAACCTGCCTCGACATGTTGTACAGCAGCCACAGAACCTACCAAACTCCTCCAGCAGGTGGCGCCAATCTGCTTTAGGAATGATGTGGGTTACACAGGGGGAATATCTGCAAGTTAATTTCCCACTGACCATCATCATCTTCACTTTTGCTCTCACCAAGAGGCTGCAGAGGCCAAACCACAGCTTCACATCCAATTCTCGCAATGAATGTGAGTAGAATGAAATTATTAAATTTCTTTTTACAATTAAATATGATGTTAAAGGATTAAACCTTTTTATTTAATTCAAGTCTATGATCTGTACTTTATAACTTTTGTAACAGTAAATTATTTTTATGCATACAAAGCAAACTTAAGGAGTTTTGTCAATTTCTGTCTAATAAATTAGGTATGAACTATTTCATATGGCTTAGAATTAACTTGTGAAGTAACAGCACTGGTCCTTAATTTCCTCAAGGGCCAGTGCCTGAACTTTTCATTGTCCATTATTCATATTTCACTGATATATATTGAATTTTATTCTGCCTCATTGTGTTTTATAGGAAATAGATTTGACATTTTTTAATCTCTCCCTAAAGGTGAGCTGGGATTTTGCGATAAAAGCACTTAATCATAGCCTTCATATTCCTCAAAAATTACTTCTCTATTTTTGTGATTTAATCTTGTTTCCCATCTAGTTTGTTCAAAATTATCAGTAAGATTAAAAAATTAACTAAGAAGTTTGTTCTTTAATCTACGGAACTGTTTGTAGGCACCAATTCTCAAAAATTTGCATATGTTGAAGCTCTACATAAGCTTGTGATTGGAAATATTAAGTCATATGTATATGGCTATACATGTGTTTTTGTATATATGTGTAACCTACTATATAGGTTCAGTGGGTGAATATTTTTTTTCACAAAAAAATGAATGTCCATCAGGTTTTCACCTTGCTCAACAAAAGTGAAGACATGTTGCATATGTCTGCTTCACTGCTCTCTAGGGATCAGCCAAATCTTCACTGGAAGACAGACCAGTAGACTGACAGAATAACAAGTCCACAGTCTCTGCTGAAAATAAACATTTGTTTTTCAATATTATAAGTGTTCTTTTCTGATTTTTTTTTTTTTTTACTGTTTGGCTACCTTTTCTTAATAGAGATGAATTTTAAGGTTACTTTAGGCTATAATGGCTACTCATAAATATACATGCAGTGATGATGATTATATTTTGCTTTCTAGTTTTGTTCAAGATTGTCATTATTATTGACGTGTCTATTGGGAAAATGCAATAAATCCTCTACCTAAATATTTTTATGAATACTCTACAGTTTACTTCTAAGTACCTTTAAATTTTTTAGACTTTATGTAAAATGTGTAAAATAGTGTTCTTTTTAAACTAAAGAAAGAAATATTGAGATTTAAAATGGTCAGTTAGATGTTCAAACTTTCTTGTATGTTGCATAAACTACTACAAATATAGGGGAAGAGATAATATAGCAGAGTTAGAAGTAATCCTTTAAGTTACTATTCATTGATTAGGATAATTAATTTCAATGTCATTCCGTGTTTGATTCCAACACAAAAACTCCAGTAGTCATGCAAGACCACAAGCAACCAACCTTGGTCACCTGAGAAAGTGTCAGAGACCAGATCGAACTCATGCCATGTCAACACGTGTTTTTAAAGTAATGGGCAAACCTCACGATTCCGGTGCGTCGCAACATGAAACTTGAAACTCTATGCTAATATTGACTCTTCTGGATACTTAATAGGAAGTTCAAAAGTGCTATAGCACTTTCACTTTGTAACTTTTGTGAAGACACAATCTTGGCCAGAGTCCAAGTGTAGAAATTTTGCAGCAAACAAACTCTCAATGGAAAGGTATTTTGGGACATGTGAAAAACTTGCTACTGGTTAAATAAAGAGGGATGATAATAAAAGTGTTTAAGTGCTTTGCTTTCAAACTGAATGTATTATGCCATTTTGGCAAGCTAAAATGAAACTTCTAGTTACCTCCTGTAATACATCCTTTTATAATAATTTCATGTTATTTTATTAAGTGAATCAACTTGTTTCTCTCTGAAAACCAAAAAGCATCTCCAATAAACTAAAGAAGGGAAGACTTACCTGTCGAGTAATATTGATCATTTTACGCCCCGATGCACAGAAGAAATGATCTGATTTTATGTGGAAGAGGAATCACCAAGAGTCTCCAGAAGTCTGATGATTAAGGAACTAGAAATAAAATACTGAACAATATCTTTTGTTAAACTTTCATTGCAACCAACCCAGCACTCAAAACACAATTAATTGGGAGGACATTTCCTGCAACCAAGAATTATGACATCATTAAGAATATGAATGAATAGACTGTTAGATTAATAAACATACAAAATGGAGGTTGCAGTGAATGTTGGTCAATGAATAGAAGAATGGATACTGATGTAATGTAGGATCAAACAAAGCGTAATACAAAGAACAATGAGCAGATGGATTTCAGGGGTCAAATAATGGATGTATAAATAATGAATTACTCAAAAGACAGATGGATAGATTAAAGTTGAAATTGAATGAATACAATTAGAGATTAAAAACCATGTTTTTGAAAATGAAAGAAAAAGACAAAAATATATATTAAAACCTGTCACATTACAGCAGTCACACCACACACATCAGATAAGACAAAATGTTTACAGTCAGATTTTTCTGCCTGAGTTACTGAGAAACTGTACAGAACAGTTCAGTTTAAAATGTTCAATGACCCCATTAGTCATGTGTTGGTGTTTATTATGCTTGGGTGGTTAGGTTTCTTGCATTTAGATTTGTGCTTTCGTTTCTCATTCGTTTGTTTTGGACAGTCTGGCCCTTTCTGTTCTGTCTTCTCTTTTCTTCCTGATTTCTTACTGTTTCTGAGTTTCCCGGTCTCTTTATCAACATTCTGTGTAGACCAGGAACCCTGCAGTGAACAAGTAGAATCTGGATGGAACTGAACAGAAGCTCCACCAACAACCTTGCTTATCTTCAATGATTTCATCCAAAAAAGCAATCGCAGCCTACGTTGGATTTAAAACTGTCATGAAAGCATTGAGAGAAAACTTTATTTCTTAAATATCTGGGTTTTGACGTTGTTCAGGCATTGGAAGGGTGTGAGAAAATATGCTTGCTGCAGCCCAGACACGCCTTCACTTGTGATAAACCAGCATCTCTTGGGTATTCAATGTATGCATAACAATTCACATCTGTAAAGCGGAAAGTCATCACCATGTTTCATTGTCTAGGTTTTTTTACTACAAATAACACTTTGCCGGCATAAAAATTGTAATTAAAATTGTTTTATCCAGTATTTATATTATGGAGTAATTTGACTATCAGGAGGTCCCAGAGAATAAACATCTGATTCATATATATTTAAAGAATTCAGAAAATATGTCACTGATCAGGACCGCAGCATGCTTTTTTCCTTTAAACCCCCTTCCTCCAAAAAATTGCAAAGCTAATCAAAGCCTGACTCCTACTTATACAGAGGAAAATTCTTCATATTTTGATTCTCTTTTAAAATAATATTTCGAATACATAAACTCAATTTCAAATATTCAATTGTATACAAATGTACAATTTTGAATATACTGAGTTCAGTAATTTTGAAGTGATATTCTTTTTAATGCATTGTCATAAAGTTGTAAATTTGACAAGAGCGTATGTATTTTTTAAACATTTAAGTTTTGCTGAGACCGTGCCTTAAATAACAGGTCCTGCGAGAAGAACTGCATTGCAATTTTCTTGCGGGATCATTTAGTGACAAAAGACACACCAGGAACCTCACCTCTCTTTTTTTCTTGGAACAAAGAAAATAATGCTGTTGTACAAGATGCATGAAGTGCCCAGCCTCTCAGACAGGTCAGACTACATTGTCTGTATGCTTTGGGAGGAGAAGCCAGTAAACATACGGAACCGAGGAGAAGAGAAATATCGCTTTGTTTCTTTGTGCAGAGGGAGGCCAAGACATTATCCTGAGCCATTTTTTCTAATTTTATCAGCATCATTGCAAATATTTTGCTCCAACAGTAAATGCTCCACCCAGCTTTAACCTAAACCAATATACAGGTAAATGTAGCAAACACAAAACTAAAGCAAACGTCTCCAATTTTTTGAGCTTTTAAGTGAAAAACAGGGGCTCAGTAAGGAAGCAGAGTGCACATTTAATAGACATTCAGAACAAATGGAAACATATTAATCATTTGGGGATGCTTCATTCAACAGAGACTGCCTTTTATAAAGGGCATAAGAACACAGTATTTACATAAAATAGAAGTACAAAAGCTGAGAAGATCATAGACAGCAATATTTACAAAAATGCTTTCTTCATCAACAACAGACTGGCCGTTAGACATACTCGTTTTTGTTCTCGAATTACAACAAATGTAACTTTTATATTTGTCTATTTAAAAACTACAATACTCTTCATTTTATGTTCCCTGTCTTCTCATTGTCTCCGTTTTATAACAAGTCTTTGACTCATTCCTCTAACTCAGATGGGTCTCATAGATCAGCATCGTAGGGTCTGCCGGTGAAGGAGGGGTTGCTGGCTCCTGAGGCGGCCCCGGGGGTCTTGGCCCTGGGGAAGGACACATCTATGTCATCATCGACCGAGTCCCTGTTGGAGGCTGGATAGCTGTTGGCGGCGCTGCTCCTGTTTCGGCTCAGGCTCGGCACCTCCACGCGTCTCGGTTCCCTTTTCGGTTGGCTCCTGGGGCCGAGGACCTCTTCAATTGGCCTCTCTCCGCGGTTCCTCCCGCCGCAGCAGCGACAGCAGCCGATGGCCATGACGACGCCGCCCAAGACTTCAAATATCCCCCCGATGTAGCCCAGTACGAGACAGTAGCCGGCGCGGATGTCTATCCGCGGGGTGTTTGAAGTGATCTCGTTGATGATGTGAGTGTACCAGGAGACGGGGATGAGGGTCAGGACGCCTGCGCAGAAGATAAGAATGCCCCCCACTGTGCAGAGCGCCCAGTGAGGTTGCTCCTTCCAGCAGCGCACCCCCGGGATGGCCACACAAATCCCCACAATGTTCACGATCAGGGAGGCCAACATCAAACCCTTGGAGATCTCAATGATGTTGTTGGAGAAGTAAGTGGTGTCCGTTTGACCACACTGCTGTCTTTCGGTGGCGGTGGCGGCGATGCAGATGTCAAAGATCCCTTGCTCGTAGACCCGGTTTGGTGGAAGATTGGTGAAACCTTGAAGCGTCCTCCAGTTTGGGGCCACTGTCGTGACGAGACTCAGGACCCATCCGCAGGGAGCCATCACCATTCCGAAGATCAGGATCCCCGGGGTGCGCATGGATGTGCGGACCCATTCTGTATGTCTTCTTCTGAATAACGACGGCATGGCTGTCCTCAGTCCCCAACCTCGTGTTCAGAGTGACTGACTTTTGACAGCTTTGAGCGTTGGCATTAAAAACAAGTCCGACAGAAACTTTGCAGTGGGCGGACACTTCCCAGTTCGCTCCAGTCTCTAAACAGGACAGGTGCGGCTCTCCGCGATGGAGGCGGGCGGGGCATTTATTTATTTATTTTTTTTTTATCTTCACCTGCGACCAAAAACAAAGACAGGTGCCAGTTTCGACGAGGCTTTTTCTGTTTCAAATGTGCATATCTGATGGAGAACACACCAGTTATTAAACACGTTTCAAATAGTCAGAATGGAGATACATTCAAACCTTAGCAATACATGCAACTAGTTCCTCTACACGTGAGAAATATTGAAGCTGTCAAAACTTAAAAAAAAGTATTTTTGACTAAGTATTTCGTAAAGTTTTATAAGACACGGTCATGTTTGTGTCTATGTTTTGGTATGTTTGTATCACTCTGGTTTTTCAGGAATTCTGGTGTGAATTTCCTACACATCATCAAATTAGTAAGATATTAAGTGAGATTTATTGTTCATTCAATTTATTAACCTACATTTGTGTGTATGTAAAATTTACCCATTTTATTACAGCAGCATTACACAACCTCAGACATTTGTTAAGGTTTTGGGGGTTTGCTTTGCCACCCCAAGATTAGTGATCAGTGGTCTCCATCTTGCCAGTCTATTCAAAACTTCTCACAAATTCATCTAAAGCTTCAGAGACAGAGTCTCGCAGTCATGTTGAAAAGGTCAAAATGCCTGCGAGAGAACTAGAAATGCAAGGAATGTTGTTCTGCTGGGCTCTCTTGAAAAAGCTTAGGCTCATTTGTGCTCCAGCATCTTTCTCTTTCTGGCCCGGAACAAAGTATTTCTGCTTCTTCTATTTTCATTCTAATGTTCACAGTGATGTCTCCCCATAAATGACTTATAATGGGTTTCTTGAGGATTTGTTTCTTCATGGTAAGCATAAGCCTCAAGGGCACGGGTGTTTCTAAATTGAATATAAATATTTGTGAGTTTCAATGGGCTCAGTAAAAGCATTCAACATTCATAAGATTCCTTCAAAAGTATCTGTTACGTTCATAGAGCTCTCAACCAGTCTTGAAATTATCAACAAAACAGAAAATCTCTGGGAGGAAAGTTAGATTCTAACCCAATGGAAATGATCTTTTTCTTATTGTAACTTAAATCTTATGTAGATGAGAAATAATGGCCTTTTTTTTTTACTGATTGACATCAGTCATTGATTGAATGCTACTTTATGCCGATATCTTCACTGAAAGTGCGAAATTCCACATTTGAGGTCACATTTTCCTGAAGGTGAATGAAGTTGTTTGTAGTTTTGTTCCCAGAACTTTGAGAGTTGTGACACATGAAGAGCAGCTGGCAGAGGAATGGCAGGCATGTCATCCAACCAGACTGACTTTGCATTGTCATGGCGATAAACCCTGGACAACATCTTATTTTTCTGTCCATACAAAACCGAATCCTTGTCATGGTGACTGTAATCAGATGTCACCCAGATTTTTAAAATTTTTTTTATTATTATCATTGGCATGAAACTCACACAACAGTCCAAATACTGTCCACACCACTGAATTACATGATTTGTTTATCTGACGTCCTCAGTGTGACCACCTTTGTTAGAGCAGAGGGTTTGCTCGCCTGATGCATGCAGGTGTTTAAGACGATGCCAAGGACAGAAACATTAGCTGTAAATTTCCATCACTTCCCATCAATCTGGAAGATGTTATAATGCCATCAACAAACAATATTAATCCATCAGTGATAGGTGACAAGAAAAAGAGTTTAGATTTTCTCAGGAGGGAAGGTCCAAGCAATTTCCCCAGTGTTAAGTCTCAATCTTGGTGTAGAGAAGAGATGATTCATGTTATATAGCTAACATAGAACCATAACACATTGGAGTTATTAGGATGACCATTAAGTCCTCTGAATATTAAAGTATTCTGATGTCAAATGTGTGACCCGATAGCTGAATCGAAGCTAAAACTGACTCAGCAAAAGGACAATTTTGCCAAACACGATAGAATAGATAGAAAAGAATCATAGTGTTGCAAAGACCAACTCAAAATATAGAACTCAAACTGATTCAAATGCCATTTTTAAGTGATCAGTGAAGAATGTGATGTTTATAAATTTTAGTGAACTGAAGCAATGTTATAAAGGAGACAATCTGGGAAACTTAGAAAGTCAGACAAAATAACAGCTTCAAGTTATTGCTGCTAAAAATAGACCTACCTGCCAACTGACCATGGGATAAATACATATTTATAAAATACAATAATACGTTTGTACTTTTTCACATGCATTATTTTAGTTTTTTTATGTATTTACTTAAAAAATACAAGAACAACAATAATACAAATTCTGCCTTACTTTACTTTAAAAATATTAATGTGGAAATGGTTGTGGCATGGGTTCTCATATTCAAAACACAATAACTAAAAGAGGATGTATTTTCATTTTATGTTACACCGAACAGCCCAACATTTTTTTTTTGTCTGTGTTTTGATTTTAAGGCTAGTTTAGTAAAACTAGGTTGATCTAGTTGTTTCCTGTAACTGTTGCCAAATATTTACAGGTCCGCAGTTTCGACTGACGAGCTGACTGACGAATTGTTCAGATGCCAATGATGCCATTTTAGATGTTTCTTGATTCATTTAAAAAGTTGTTAATAAACAAAAGATATTGGACACATTTGTATTAATCATTTTGCTTAGTTCTGGGACAATTATTGAGCTCAATTACAATCAATAAAAAGCTTATAATTGTTTTATAAGATTTTTATAAAGCAATTATTGAGCTTTCATAAAGCTCAATAATTGCTTTTATAATTAGACATGTGTCTAATGTTTAATTAGACACACTGTCTAATTAGACATTAGACTTTAGACTAAACACATTAGACTAAACATATATCAATACTTTTTGTTTTAATAGATTGCATAATATTCTAACTTTGAATTGTGAATTTTTACTTGTTCAAACATTTGTTTTTGTTCATCTTTATCATTTTCAAAGCATGCTCTAAAGCTAAATCTAACAAGGCTTTATTTTTTTATTATTATTTTTTGAAATTTCCTTTATTTAACCAGGTAAACCCAGTTGAAATCTGGATCTCATTTTCAAGATGGATCTGGGGATTCTGGAACTTCTGCTGCCATCTGATGGTAAATACGTGTAAAAGCTGTAACATTGCTGGATACATGCTTAAGGTTCCTGTTTCAAAAGTGTTTAAACATCCTTATTGTTAATATTGCAGACACAATGGACTTTGTTGTTTGTCTACTCTGGGTTTAAGGATTTTTTTGTTTATTTAATTACCTTTAAAAATCTAAAAGTGTTAAAGAAAAAAAAATAAATTATTGATTTCTACACTTGTGATTTCTATCACAGGGCAAGACACAGAGGCACATCCAACAACCAAGCATAAACACATTCACACCAACCTGGAGTTTAGAGGGACCAATTGACCTCAAGGTTCTGTTTATGGACTTTGGAAGGAAGCCTGGGAAAACCTTATTGATCCACCGAGCAGTTTGTAATTATTTTTAAGAAAATAAATTGAACTATCTATGCTGCCAGATATGTCAGTAATATTGTTCAATATAGCAGCTATAAACCACTGAAACTGACATAAAGAAAAACAGATCAACGCATAAAATAATTACAGAATATAACAGAACAATACATTATTTGGAAATCTAACGATTTTTAAATAGTTGAAATAGTTAATAAATAAAGTATTATATAGTTTATTTAAATAAATAAAGCATTGTGTACTTTATTTAAATAAATAAAGTATTATATAGTTTATTTAAATAAATAAAGTATCATATAGGTTTATTAAATAAATAAAGTATTATATACTTTATTTAAATAAATAATTGTTCATTATATAAAGTATTTCATAATTTTCTTCACAAACCCTACGGTATTTTTTATTTTTATTTGTTTCCGTGTACTAAATAAGACTTATGTCTTATTTATTGAGTTTTCGCCGGGCAGCTGTTATCCCGGTAATCCCGAGCGGAAGTTTGGTTTTCCTGGCAGGAAATCGTCAGCAGTGTTTTTGTTGCTGCTAGGGACTGTTGTGTTGGGAAAATGGCGACGCCTCGTCGCTCCTCCCAGCAGCAGCAGCAGCAGCAGCTGAGCGCCCAGCTGTCCTCGCCTCCTCGCAGCGCATCTATATCCGTCAGCCCGCCGGACTCGCCGTCTGCACCCTCCGAAGATGCTTCCCCGCTTTCCCTTGGAGCAGAAATGGAAAACGTGGCTGACGGTGAGGTAGCGCCGACCTCTCCCAACACCACTTCTCCGGCTCTGGCCCTCACACCCAGCAGCAGCAACAGCAGCAGCAGCAGCTCAACTAGCTCCCCGACCACCACCGAGGGAAGCGAGCCCAGCCCTGGCTCTACGCCGGACTCTGGCGGTGCTATCCCCCGCAGCAGCAGCAGCAGTAGCAGCAGCTCTATTAGCGGCGATGCAAACGGCGCTTTTCGAGAGCTATTTGAAGCCTGTCGAAACGGGGATGTTCCCAGAGTCAAGAAACTCGTAGATGCGGTGAATGTGAACGCCAAAGACATGAGTGGACGCAAATCTACACCCTTGCATTTCGCTGCAGGTAACTATACAAAAACATCGCGAAAAGTAATTTTTGTTTTGCTGTGAAAGGATTATTTTTTGTCGAGCCAGAGAGCTACAGGAAAAGTGTGAGCGCAGAGTGCATTCAATCGCTGTGTGCATGTGCAACAAGTTTTCTTCCATAAAAGACAACGTTTGGAGTGAAAAACAAAAAAAAAAAAAAATAAATAAATAAAAAAATAAAGAAATTACTGATTTTTTTGACGAAATGTCATTTTCAGATTTGTCGAAATTTGCTCAATATTTAACCTTTGGTCTTTCCTCACATACCCTCCAGACAAACATTGATTTCCCTACCTAGCTGAAACTATCAAAGCTTCCGGCCTGAATGCATTGTCTGCCAAGATACAGCCGACTGAAAGCATGCTTTGAGTCCAGCACAGAAACGATGCGTAGCTGATCCTACTTTTGAATATTGGTCAATAGCCAGTGTTTATGTTAACCTGTTTTTCCAATGAATCATTATGTGATTCTGTAGTTCAGTGTCATAAAAGTGACATAACACATCCCTAAGTTTTACCTTTGAGTGAACACCCACATCAAACTGTGTATATTTAATATGGTCATCAGCATGGATGACACGACTGGCTGATTTGAATGTATGCAAATAGATCAGGGTCACAGCAAAAAGTGTGAGACTAACATTTGCAAAGAAATGCACTTTTAATCAGCACCCTGCCCACTTTCATCTTTTGTCTTAGGTTTTGGACGAAAAGATGTGGTGGATCACCTGCTCCAGACAGGCGCAAACGTGCACGCCCGAGACGATGGGGGGCTTATCCCGCTCCACAATGCTTGCTCTTTTGGTCATTCAGAGGTGTGAACTTAACTATTTTACCAAAGTTTTTTTTTTTGCCTTTTTTTGCTTTTTTCTGCCATTTAACTGCAATGAAAAGACCCATGTCTGTAGTTTTTGATGTGTTAAAGACATGGTCGACAGGGTCGGAGTATATAGGTGTGAGTGTGTGTGCATGGCTGTTTGTCCTTTCTGTCTCTGTGTTGTCCTGCGACAGACTGGCGTCCTGTTCAGGGTGTACCCTGCCTCTGCACCCGTCCCGACTTCACTAGGGAGAAGGGTATTAGAAAATGGATGGATGGATAACGCAGTTAAAGCTTGTTTTTTTTGTGTTTGTGTGACATTAGCATTGCAATACCGTGAAAAAAAATATTTTCTATACTTTGTGCAGCCCTGCTAGCCTTGCTAATACTTCAGGATACCTAATTCTGTAAATTTGTAAAATCAAAATATGATTCTTCAATAGAGTATTGATGTAATTCTAAATCTTGTTTTAGGTGGTGTCCTTGCTTCTGTGTCAAGGCGCTGAACCCAACGCTCGAGACAACTGGAACTACACGCCGCTACACGAAGCAGCTATCAAGGGAAAGATTGATGTCTGCATAGGTAAGCCCACAGAAACAGATGCCAAGGCTTTGTTAATTTCAGCACAATAAAAGCTGTTGGCTCCTCTGTGATGTGAATAGATCCCTTCATTTCTTTAGTTAATGCCTTGATTAATTTCTTGACATTAAAATCTGTATTGGCATTTACATAAAGTGTATGTTTGTGGTTGTGTCTGTTGAGGTGTGTGTGTGTGCGTATCAGGACACAACCTTGAGTTCTGTGGCGTCACAGATTCGTTTTAGGAACTGTAATGAACCACCCAGAGGCTGGATGCGTTCATTTCCCATCTACAATAAAGCATCAAGTATCCTATAAATTGCAATTACCGCATCGGTGTTTATACTCATCCCAGGGAGAAGAGGCCATTGATTTTTGTGTCTCACTGGAATTTCACATTAGTATTTCAGAGGCTGCCTCAAAAGCATTACAGAGGTGTTTGGTTCCTTCACTCCATGCCAGCCCTGGCTTTTGTTTGGACATATTTGACATCACATCTAGATGCCTGTCAGTCAGCCATAAACTGAAGCTGGCAGACGAGAGCGGGCTGACTGACAATAGACAATCTTCTGAACAAAAATAATCTGTGAAATTGTACTGGAAGGAAACAGATTTGACAATATTGATTGATCCATTCTTTTTATTTCCCCATTCTTGTAGTCTTGGGTTAGCAGACTGAGTCTTGGATAAAATAAACAGATGAGCAACAAACATGTCTGTCAGTAATTTTGTTTGAAACTGCTTTTGTTGTAAAAATTGCTAAAAACCAACTGAACATTAGAATCCATCTCAATCCAAAATGTCTGTGCGTTCTTAAAAAAGTTTTAAAATAATTTAAAAAAAAAGGAAGTTGGCCTTAAATTCATTAACAGGTCTTGAAATTTGTCATGGCAGCACTATATAATGTCGGACATTTAAAAATTTTTTTTAAAAATCTTGCTGGATGTTTCTATCACGCAAAAACTTGAGTTGTGCGTAAACATATTCATTGGCTTCTGTGCTTGCTAGCTTGTTTTGCGTCCATCATGGGTAAATGAAAATATGTCACCAGTTGGCTGAATGACATTTTTTTCCGCCACTGGCTCACTTTTGTTGCAAACTCTTACAAGGCTAGGTGCAATTAGTAGGAAAATAAACAAACTTTTAAGATTAGCACTATTGGGTTTAAGGCTGCAGAGAGCCATATGCACTGCGAAAAGCACAAAGCCGCTGCAGGAGGCATGAAAAAAAAGAATTACTATTATAGAAGAACCAACCATCCCTTATATTTGCAATGTTTTGGTTTTACATTTCAGTGGTATCGAAAGAAAAAAAAAAAAGAAAGAGGGGGCTCTTAAAATCTGAATCTTACAAACTTAATCTTGTACAGGAGACTGCAAAGCCAGGATTTAAGATTTAAATAAATGATACGTAACATTAAGTTGCGAGTTGTAAGTTGAAAAAATGTGAAAATGCCAATGCATACTCATGTAAATTATGTGAACAATTGAATTTCACCATTTTTGAGAATATCGAGTGCTGAAACCTCCATACATTTCAGACTGACAGAAGGTTAAAAACTGCTAAAAGCAAACATTTTCAGGTCACATTATAAAATTCTGATGCGTTCAGGACTTCAAGGTTCAGTGTTCATCAATTTCACCCCTCTGGCAAAAAAAAAAATAAAAAATCTACAATGCGCTGCCTACTTGTCATTCCTCTATAAATCAGTCTTTCTTGGTTTGATTGCTGCATAAATCAATCTTAATAAAACATATAGGCGCTCTTAGCTTTACAGCTACCCATTTTGAACAGCTCTCCTTATATTTACAAATTTGATTATAGCATAATGCAGCTGTAGCTATAACTAGCTGTGTGGTTTTAAAGATTAAACTTTAGCTGCATTACTAATAATGAGAAACACATACATAGCAACCTTTTATCTTTCAACATTTATTTACTAATGTTAAAAGTTTTGTGGTTTTCTGACCAGTTTTACCTCCATTTAATAACACATATATGACTTTATATGCCATTCAACTGTTGCTTTTTGTTTTTATGTTGCCTAAAGAATTTTTTGACTTGAAGTTGATGGTCTACATAATCCTTTAGTTTTCACATTCAAGTGGAAGTAAAGCCATTAAATTATGTCCATCATCAGTCTTTTATAATCTGATTTGAAGCCAAATCAAAAAGGGACACCCTGCTTTTTTGGAGGCGTTAATTTATTGGATTTGATGAATATGGTGTTCAATCAAGTCCGCTGGTGTCACTAATTTCAAATCTAGCAACCAGTGTTAAACCTGGCACTGATGTAACAATAAAACTCCATAAAAAATTACATTTAAATTTCTAATTTTTATAATTGCCTTAGTTACTAGCTTAGCTAGTAATGGTGCCTTTGAATAAGTTTGCCACTAATTTTTAGAGGCCTAGAGTCAAAACTTTATTCTTTATTTAGCACATAAAAGATTTGAGCTTCTCTCTTACTAGGCGATGAAGCACCCACACTCAAAAAAATCAGATGTCATTTTCATATTTTTGCATTTAAAAGTTGGAAATAATTGGTTATGTTGCAGTAGAGATAAGTAGTCTTACATTTTGAAACAGCTTTGGAAGTTTTTGCCGTTTAAACACCTGAAGCTTTTTATTTGAACTCTGATCAAGACAGTCGCTCCACAGCACAGCGTTTTCTCACTTCTAAAAGTGTGATTGTACTTGAGAAGAACTGCTTTTATTAATGTCTTCCTTTTATCATTTTTACACATTTAAAAGCTGCAGGACAAGGAAGCCCATCTGAATATGTGTGACTTCATTTTGTATCGGTTACATGCGTTGGCACAGACGTTGTCCGTCATAAGGCTGCAAATCTGACATTGTCCTGAAAACTAATCCCGCACAAAAATAAAAAAGGATTTGTGTTGTTTGTCGAGGGCTTTAGCAGCTATTATGGAAAAATCATAATCTTTGGAGTCGCAACAGAAAGTTTTGCTTGAAATCAGACTGCCATTTTTATAGGCATGGATTTATCCTTTGGATGAGAGTTGTAGACCTGCAGTGTCAGGGCACTATTTTCTGATCTTGTCATGTTACAACCACAAATCTTATTGGACTTTATGAGGATGTTATTTGATGGGCCAACACAAAATATCGCAATATATAAAATTTATACGCAGACCCCCAGTTCACACACAGTCAACTTCATCTCTTTTGTTTCATGTCGTTACCAACTTTGCATAACTCCTAGAGGCAAAGACTGTACAATATATTGCAAATGTATTTTCATCCAATATCAGTGTGTGCAATATTCATATCGCAAATGACTGTTTAGAGTGCAATAACTTTTGGCTAATATATTCAAAGTATGATGATCCTGTGTTTTACATGCTGATGTAATATTTTGCCAGTTATGAGCATCTGCTGCTGCAGTGAGCAGCAGATGCTCATAAATGACTTTGACCAAAATGCTAAAAATGTAGGAAGCACAATGAAAAAAACAAGAGAAAGTGATCATAAATCACAACTGATGTAGCCTATGGAGAATTTTCTGATGTTATGTAGCCCTGCATAAGATTTACATTTGTTTACCAGTCGTCTTTGCTACATTAAGCTCAGATTGGCTCAAGAATTTATGTGACGTTTTCAGGCATTGACACAGATTATTTGGAATAATCGTGTATTGATTTGAGCTACATTCAACTACTGAATTTGATGGGATGCAACAAGGCAAAGCAAATAAATGATGCAACATCATTACCCAAATCTAATCTACATTTCATAAATGGGTGTTCTCCAATAATTCTGGTGCACTTTTATAAAACATGAATTAAAATGGAAAAAAGCAATAAAGCTGAGCAAAATTAAAAAAACCAGTGCCATGCTGCATTGCTAAGCATTCATTCAGTCACACTACAATGAGCAGCAAAACTACATTTTCTAAATTATGAACAATGAGTAAGTAAAACATTTTAATTGCAATACCAATTTTGCAAATTATGACCATATCAATTAGAATTAACCAAAGTCCAGTATCAATATTAAGTCACCAAACACCAAGGAGGCCCTATACTTAATGATTCTCTAAGGTGGGAAATGAATAAAAAAAGGCAGAGGTGTTTGTAAATGTCTTTGAATCTGTTAGGCTGCAAAGAAGGAAATTGGAATACTTTGATATTTCAATTTTTTTGGGCGCTGCTCCCCTGTTGCATATCTGAACCTGAGGAAAAGCTGAGACACATTTTATGTTGTCAGTTGTATGTATATTATTTTTTAAAATCGCATTCAAAATATTTAACTCATTTGTTGTAACATGTGTCTTGTATGCTCCTCCAAATTGCATTTTTCCAGAGCTCTTCGACAAATGGTCTTGCTTGTGTCGCAATTATGCCAATTGGTTGATCTTAGCTTTGAAATTAGGGTTGTTGTCCTTATAGAAGGAGAACCTTCTTACCAACTTCAAGCCTCTGATGGCACTTAACAGAATCATTCAACATTGCTCTGTATTTAGCTTTCTCCATCTTCCAATGAGGTGGAGAAGAGCCGTCCCACTGCATGAAGCTGTCATTTCCTCCAGGGTCGTGATTGGTGTTAGTTTCATATCACTTAGCGTTTTGAATAAAGAGCAAATGTTGTAAAAGCTGTTGCCTTCCAGTTCAGTTGTGTGCTACTTTGTGTTGCTCTGTCACTTCCTTCCCCATTAACACACAACAAGGTTTGTGAGTATGACTGAATCTTTTTTCTATTCATGTAGTTGTTAAGAAGCAGCTATGTTCATATCCTTCAGTCCGAGAGCTGAAGGATATGTCCGCTCGTCTCTGTTTTTCCTTCCTCTCTGGTGGATTTTAGCAGTGCATTGTTTAGTGCCTCTGAGTCAAAGGGCATGTGGAGTGGGAGCCGCTCAACAATCACAATAGTGGCATGTCGGGAGGCAGAGAATTGACACCGGTGCCCTCAAAAGAGCTAATTTACAGCAAAACGGAGTGCAGGTAGAGTTTGTTATTCAGCTCATACCTGTTTGCCAGGCACACAACTCTCTTCTCTTCCCTCTTTCTTTCCTCGTCTCCTTCAATCTAATCTGAATCTTTCTATATGCTCTGCCGCTATTTCCCATCTTCTTGTTTTTGCTTTCCCTTCCCTTCTTCTCATGCCCTCTCCTCCCTCCCTCCTTCCTCTTTTCTCCTCTCTCTCATCTTCCTCTCCGCTGCATCGCTCACTCAGTCGGAGAGGCGAGAGTCTCTCCGCTCGCACTTCCTCGCTGCCGATGCCTCGATTAGCTCACCCCCGGTCTTGCTCCTCTCTATTTATCCGTTTTGCTCAGTCGGAAGCTCCCCCTTCCCGATATCGTGGAAGTGTGATGGCTTTGGTGGTCTGTCACGTTGCCGTTTAATTAGGTCCCACTGTTATTTTGCGGCGGAGTGCTTCGGCGAAGCAGTTCGGTGCTGTTTTGTTTTGACATGTCTGTTTACATCAGCGGCATGGCTCGCAGGGCAGGGGCACCCGGGGGCAGCGGAGGGAGCAGCACTAGCAACAGAGGAGGAGCTGCTGGGGGAAGAGGAGGAGATGAGAAGCGGGAAGCAGGGCACGCCGTAACGCTGCCCGGAGGTCCGGGAGCCCTGGCCGTTGGAGGGAGAGGGCCAGCAGAGGAGGAAGCGGGGGGAAGAAGTAGCGGCTCAGCCAGGCCAGTGTATGGAGCGGGAGGCGGAGCGTCAGGATGGGGACTGAGTGGAGGTGTTTGTCGGGGAGTTTGTGTGTCAGTTCAGGAGCTCAGCTACTGTCTGTGTCTGCCCTGTTGTTGCACAGTGCTACTGCAGCATGGAGCAGACCCCAACATCCGCAACACCGACGGCAAGTCCGCCCTGGACCTGGCCGAACCCTCCGCCAAGGCTGTCCTCACAGGTCAGTCATCTGCAACACACATACATGCATGCACACAAAGGCACATACTTCCTACAAAGTTTGGTAGAGTCTTTAAGTATTAGATTTAGTGAGAAGTGATTTTTTTTTAATCATAAGAAAAAGATCCACTCATAAATCATCATCAACTTTTATTTAACCAGGATAAAAACTTCTTGAGATGAGAAATCTCTTTTATAAGAGTGTCCTGGTGGATATGTCCATCTATTCCTTACAATTCATTCATCCATCCATCCATGGGCCACCTCAGCTCATTCAGTCATCCATCCAGTCACTTTGTGTTTTATGTGTAATCAAAAATGGTCTTTAAAAAAGCTAAGGTATTCTTAATATTTTGGCCTAGAAAGTGAACCTTATACAGAATAGTGCACATATAGACAGATTCTGTTCTGGTTTTTCTCTGTTACGCTGCTCCTTTGTCCTACTTTCTTGTTTGTTTTCCCCTTCTGCCCATTTAGCATTCTGTCCATAACTGTGGGGCTACAGGCAGTGTCACCTTTCCATTTTATCTATCATCCATAGACACAATCTTATTGTCATTCAGACTGTACACCGTATGGCGCATGCCAGGAAGAAATATTGTTGCAGTGGCTCTGAAAGACAAAATCCTAAGTTGATTAATAATGAAAAAGAGAATACCAATTTGTATAAACATTGCACCTTGCATTTGTGTGAAATATTCAACTGTTACAACCGTTTAGGAACAGAGAAACATCTCCCATAGTCTGCGTACCGTATGCACAATTTATTTCTCATACTTCCCATGCCTTTAAGGTTCCTGTTCCCATTTCAAGCTTCTTTTGGCTCAAACAGCATTCATCAGTCTGCAGCTCAACAGAGCCACTGTCAATGGAGGAACTTTCTATTTCCTGCCTTCCCGGTCCCTCTCCAGTCTTTGCCCTGCAGCTTCTTTTGTCATTCCGCAAACAGCATGAAAGCAGTTTGAGCCCAGAAGGAGTTGGCACCTCTCATTCATTATACCATTGGTATGTGGAGCAAGGATCATTATCATGACTACCCTCATCATCATAAGTGTGCATCTTCAGCTAACATAATGCGACCTAAATGATTTGAGTAAACATTATATAAGTCCTGGTAAATAAGAATTTTCCTTAGAAATGAAACTTGACTTTTGCTGCAGGTAAATCCAAACAAAAATAGCAGCCTGATTGGTCTGTGTGCACAGGAATGGAGATATGCATTTCAGTTTAATTCATTTCTATAAAGTGGTTCCACAAAGAACATTGAAGTTTTTGGGTTTTCAAAGGGTGCAGCATCTCTTCTTTGTGGCTGCCCAATTAAATACATTAAACATACAAGAGTAGCAAATTAAAGTTCCCTCTCATTTGGTGTTTTATTTGAAAAACTTTCATTCGTATGGAGCAAACAAAAAGCCTTAAAAATACAGTTTTAATTCAATTAATTTGATTATTACTTAATGAAATAAAAGCTTTCTCTGGCTGGCTTTGTATTAGAATTCAAGTACAAGTTTTAGTGTGATATGGAAAAACAGCCACATCAGTCTTTTCAGTTACTCAGCAGGGAGCATAAAGATGCATTTTGTAGATTGAGAAAGAAATGGAAACTCTCAGTGTGTGAGTGATTAGAATAATGCATATAAATTTACACATTTATTCCCACTGCATTATAGCCCACATGCCATGCGATGATGCGTTTCTGCAGGAATACTCTTTGATCCACTTACTGATAAATATTAAAGCAGAGATACATCAACCCATCAGCCAGAGATTTTAATTAAACGATTTTAGTTTGATCCGTTCTGATTAGTGACTGGGAGGCAAAAATATTGGCTGTCCAACATTTTTAGTCTAAAACACATCAACCAGCTACATGTAATTTGCTTTGAGATTTATTAAAAATGGATAAAGGACATACGACCTCTATCAAAAACCTAAAGTATAGTTCTTAGAAAAAACTAGCTTCATAAGCTTGGTTTCATTTGGTTTGTCTTGTTGCTGTTGTTTTCCTTTGTTTTGAGTTAGAAATTTTTTGAGACACAATGTACTTCAAGTGGTAATTATTAGAAACTTTCTTAATCTTGATATTGTTTGGAAAAATTGCACATAAAGAGTGCAATTAAGAGATTTGTTAAAAATTTTATTGGGAATAAATTGTTGTGATTTTTACGTAGGATTAACTGTGATGAAGTCACTGAGTCATTCATTGACTTATTGATCATAAGCCACCCGAATAAGGTTATTTTTCAGCATCTCAATTGTATTTGAGTGAAGACTTTTACTGGTCCATTCCAAAACCTACACTTTAGTTTGTCATTTAGAGATGGTGTTGCCGCTGTGTTTTGGACTGTCGTCCTGCTGCATAAGCCAAATGTGCAGGAACTTGTGTACCAAAATTGGTACATAAGTCATTCAGCTTCAGGACTTTCTGGTTGAGAGCAGAATTTATGGTTCTGTCATTACAATCTGTCCAGGTCCTCAAGCAGCAATTCTGCCTTAGAGCATTAAATTACCACCACTGAGCATTGCTGCGGTTCTTGTTTTTCTTTCAGAAATGTTTTAAAGTAGATCAAACGTTGTGTACATAAGGTTTCATAAGGTTCCACTTTATCAAAAGTTAGGTTTGTCATCCAGATGTTTTTGGCAATTATGTTTTGCCAGCTGTCCCATGGATGCCATTTTGGAACAGTCTCTCTCATAATGTTTATGCATGAAAACTGGATTTATCTGAGGCAAGTTAAAGTTGTTCAGGGTTCTTTTATGACGTCGTTGATTAGTTGTCCATGAGCTTCTGGTAATTCTGGTTTTCCACTGTTCTGTGTTTTCTCCATTTGATGGTAATGAATCTGACTGCAGTTCATTCTAGTCCCGAAGTCTTAAAAATGGCTCTGCAATCCTTTCCACACAGATGAAAGGTCAATGATGTTGTTTGTCATGTGCTCTTGAATTTCTTTAGATCAAGGCATAATGCGTTGCTGCTTGACATCTTTTAGCCTTCATGCTGTTTGACAGATTCTATTGAAGTGATTTGTGGTTTTCTGCATGGCTGCCATCTGGCTGTTCTGGGTGTGGTTGGTGAAATTTACTTCAGCTTCCCAAACGGGTTAATTGATCACTTAATTAGAGAATTAAAAGAGTGGAGGTTATTGCTTTTAATATCGTTTAAGTATAATTTAATAAATTACTCATGATTTAAAAGCCACTTTTTGTGTTTACTCAGTTTCCTTGTTTGATTTAAAAGTTTTTGCTGTAACGAACTCACTAAAAACTGAAATATGTAAGAGGCCAAATATTTTTACACAGCACTCTAACTAAATTAACTTCATTGTCTTAGCTGCACAAGTAAAAACACATTGAAATTCTTAAGTTCTAACAGAACTCATCACCTCTTCTTCACTATGGCTCTTGACATTGACTCTATTGATTTTCGCAGCATCAGATCTGTTTTTGCACACAGTTGCATCATCAGTCCCCATTGTTCTGCATCTATGGTAAATGAGATGGACCTCTGGACACTTCAGAGATGATCCAGACTGTGGCAGAACATGAGGGCCAATGAGAATGATTTATTTATGCAGGCAAGATCTGGTGTTGGTGTCAGGATTATTAAATGTTACCACATCTGTCGCTAACTACACAGCTGTTGTCAAAGTGGATTTAAGGCGAGGGGAACTAAGTTGGTACAAAAAGTGTTGCCACATATTACATGCTCATTGAAGTCAATATGAGTGTGCTTGTGGAATATGATGGCATGTGAAGTGGTAAAAGTTTCAGATTTACTTTATTCTGTCAAACATTAAGGAAACTATGAGCAGAAATATTTTTGCTTCGACAAACACAATCTTCAACTAAGATGATGATATAGTGGGAGCTACAATAAACAAGTCCATTCTTGTCCAAAGCAAGAACCCAGTGGTGATTTAATTATTGTGGATGTTCATGCTGCTTTAGTTTATGTAGAAGCCACTATGTTAGCTACAACTGGGACAACAACTCACAGAGGCAATTAAAACGTATTATTCAGTTCTAGCATTTCTTAACAAACAATATTAACATCGGAATCTATAGGGACAAAACACAATCTATAATTCTGCCTAAATTAGAAATAGCAATGAAAATGATGGCTACACCTTCATTTGGATCAATAGGCAATCAAATGCAGAGTGACTCAACTTCAAAGTGGATTAAAAATACAACAAAAGTGATTGAGGAATCAGCACAACCAAAGTTGACCAACCTGGACTCTAATATTCTTAAAAATAAATAAAAAATAAAGCAAAATCACTGGAGGAGTAAACAGAAAGCATCACAAATTTACTGTCTATATAAACAAAACAAAAACAATCAGGTTATTATAGTAAACATTTTGTTTTTAACGTCTGACAGCCAACACTTAACCATTGTTAACTGAACACTTTATGCTTAGATTTAAGAGGGTCCATCCTTCCAATTTCTTCACTCAGTTCGTCCATGCATTGTCTCGTAGTAGGTAGTGAATACTTCTAAACAGTCAGTGGGGGAGCATAGGGGTAAAACTAAATTGTCTGTTAATGTAGGTTCAATGCAGAGACATGTGAGACAGGCAAGTGTTCACACACTTGCTTTAGAGGGTAGAGACATTTAGGAAATATAGACCAATGTAAATGGCAGTAAAAAGGGCTAACTGTCACTAAAGGAGATAGTTGGTACAGTGTTTATAGTATGTCATTTAACAGAGACATAAAATAAATTGGGAAAAACAAAAAATGGGACTGAGCTGAACAACTGAGGTGAGTCCAGTTCTGTGTGATGACAGTCTTCGGTTGTCCCATTGTACATGGTACAAATCACCAGGAAACGCATCAAGAAACAGGCCAGAGAGAGACTTGAAGTCAACTATCATTTAGCCATCCATTGGTGGGAGTGGATGTAAATGTTTGAGCTTGTATCTGATCAGAGAAAATCTTTTGTACATCAACAAAACATGCCAAAGCACTATTAATAAAATAAACTGAAAATATTGTT